CAGGAGTAATTCCTGAGTGCAGAGCCAGGAGTAACCCTTGATCACCAGTTGTGACCCAAAAAAGCAAAAAAAAAAAAAAAAAAGAAAGAAAAGAAAAACTAGGATATTTTCCTATGTAAACTCAAGATTTTACTAGTAGTATTCTTCAGGGTTTAAGAAAGAACAAACTGCAGCACTATTTACAATAGCCAGAATATGGGAAAAACCTGAGTGCCCAAGAACAGATGACTGCTTAAAGAAACTCTGGTACAGATACACAATGGAATACCATGTGGAATACCATTGTTAGAAAAGATGAAGTAGTGAAATTTGCATATAAGTGAATCAACATGAGATGAAGAGTATCATGTTGAGTGAAATGAGTCAGAGAGAGAGGGACAGACATAGAAGGACTGCGCTTGTTTGTGGAATATAAAGTAACATAATGGGAGACTAACACCCAAGGATAGTAGGGATAAGGGCGAGGAGATTGCTCCATGGCTTGGAAGCCAGCCTCACATGCTGGGCGGAAAGGCAGCTGAGATAGAGAAGGGACTACTAAGCAAAAGATGCTTGGAGGTCTCACTCTGGATGGGAGATGTGTGCTGAAAGTAAGACTATAGACTGAGCATGATGGCCATGTATTACCTGAATTGTAAACTATAATACCCAAAAGGAGAGAGGGAGGGAGAGAGAGAGAGAAAAAGAGAGAGGGAAAGAGAGAGAGAGAGAGAGAGAGAATGTACCTGCCACAGAGGCGGGGGAATGGGGTGGGGTGACAGGAGGGGTACTGGGAACATTGGTGGTGGAGAATGAGTAATGGTGGAGGGATGGGTATTCTACCATTGTATGACTGAAATGTAATCATGAAAGTGTGTTAAGTCTGTAATTCTCACGGTGTTTCATTAAAAAATTTAAAAAGAGAGAGAGAACAAAAAGCTTAAAGTTTGTGTTTCCACCAAAAAAAAAACTTCACAGTATTTCTGAAAATAATATTAACTGCTTTATAATAAATCTTATCTCCTGTTCTTATCAGAGCTATTAAAATCCTGGAACACAGACAGGACTAGATGGGGTAAGTTCTCTCTAATTTGTCTGTAATTTGGTAATTAGGGAGGCTGATCCAAACAAGTACTTATTTTAAAAGTAAGACCTCTCATATCAAATAAATTCCAATAATACCATTCTGGACTTGAAAAATAACTTGTTTTGTATAAACAGAAATAATCTTGAAAACAACACAGTATATATTCTTTCAAAATATATTTCTTTTCTACTCTAATTCCATAAAATTTTAGAAGTTTTTCATTTGAGTGGTTTAATTTGTGTGTGGGGGGGAGTGGTTTATTTTTTCTTTTTGGGTCACACCCGGCAATGCACAGGAGTTACTCCTGGTTCATGCAATCAGGAATCACTCCTGGCGGTGCTCAGGGGACCATATGAGATGCTGAGAATCGAACCTAGGTCGGCTGTGTGCAAGGCAAATGCCCTACCCACTGTGCTATTGCTCCGGTCCCCCCCTTTTTTTGTCATCGTTGGGCAATACCCAGATGTGCAAGGGCTTACTTCTGGCTCTGTTTTCCGAGATCACTCCTGGAAGTTGCTCAGGAGACCATATGTGTCAGGGTTCAAAACCAAAAGGGTCATGTGTAAAACAAAGCACCATACCCTCTGCTCTCCACCACTATCTCTTAAATTTCAGTTTTAAGGACAATTTCTAGAATTAAGTATTTTACTCTTCTGTTCTTGTTTGAATATAGCACAGCGGGTAGGGCATTTGCCTTGCACACAGTTGACCCAGGTTCGATTCCTCCGTCCCTCTCGAAGACCCCAGCAAGCTACTGAGAGTATCCCGCCCCCACGGCAGAGCCTGGCAAGCTCCCCGTGGCATACTGGATATGCCAAAAACAGTCAAAGTCAATAAAAATTTTTAAAAAACATTTTTAAATTAAAAAAAGTCAAAGTCTCACAATGGAGACGTTACTGGTACCCGCTCAAGCAAATTGATGAACAACGGGAGGACAGTGCTACTCTACTGTTGTGATTTCTTGAAAAAGTAAAATTGTTATGTAGAAAAAATTACTTAGGGAGAAAACAGAGGGAGAGGCAAGGATGAAGAGTACGAAGAGGGAGAGTCGGTGGAGGGAGAGTGATGAGGAAAGGGAGACGAAGAGGAAAAGGAGAAAGTGGGGGAAACATGTTCAAGAAAGAATGCAGGCTTTTCCAGAGGGAAGAAGGCCAAGAGCACATATCTCAGACAGATACAGGGGACGCTTCACATTAGAGACTGTCAGAGAGAGAAAGAGCTTAGAAGGCACATCTCAGGTTGAGATGTAGATAAATTTCCAAGAAAATGAGTTCTGTGATGATTTTATACCTTGGGCATTTTATACCTTTGAACACTTTCTTACAAGGATCTTGCTCATTTACAACTAATTGAGATTTGTATTTTTTAAAGCACTACAGAGATAGCTCATGAGTGTGATAACTTACCAGTAAATTTAGTATCTAAATTTTTCAATTAAATTGCTAGCATTTTCAAATTTTGGAAATACTGATGGTTCCCTGTGAAAATTCCTATCGAAAAAATACCTTTGTAGGGCTGGAGCAATAGCACAGCGGGTAGGGCATTTGCCTTGCATGTGGCCGACCCGGGTTCAATTCCCAGCATCCCATATGGTCCCCTGAGCACTGCCAGGAATAATTTCTGAGTGCAGAGCCAGGAGTAACCCCTGTGCATTGCCAGGTGTGACCCAAAATTGTAATTTAAAAGTTCAAATTTGCATCACCAAATTTAATCACTGTCAATCTTATGCAATATTTTTTAGTGAGTTGGTTTTTAGGAAAAACTGTTGGGGCAGGGATCGGGGTTCCTGTGTTTCTGGAAACACTCTACTTGGCCGTGGCATCTAGACTGTGCCACTCAGCCCCGTGGTGGTGCCAGAGTAACCAGAGGAGCTGCATCTGGTGTTCAGACAGTACCAGGGATTGAATCTGGGGCTCAGTTTATGCATGTGCTCCAGTCCTTTGAACTATCTCCTTCACCCACTAATGTGTTTACATTTCCACAGATGAATCCAATATGTGTCTATTTCTTGGGCAAGCAGGATTTTAGTGTCAGAATTTTAAAAAAAAATTCTTTTTGGAAGGAGGGCGGGATTTTGGGGCCACATCTGGCGATGCTCTGGGCTTACTCTTGGTTCTGCACTCAGGAATCACTCCTGGTGGGCTCTGGGGACCCACTGTGGTGCTGGGAGTTGTATCTAGGTCCACCATGTACAAGTCAAGTACCCTGTCCACTATACTAGTTCTCCAGCCCCAGGATAAATTCTTATATGAATAAGTTATCAACTAGTCACATAGGAGTTTACAATTATGACTTTCATTGATTAGCATGTATTTCTCAATATGTGCTTTTTTTCTCAACTGCTGTGCTTTGTTGAAGGCACTGATTTTAATAATTATCTATTAAAATATATATATTAAAAGCAAAAAGATGGGGAGCCAGAGCGATAGTATAGTAGGTCAGGTGTTTGCCTCGCATGCAGCCAACCCGGGTTTGATTTCTGGTACCCCATCTGGTGCTCTGTGTACTTCCAGGAGAGATCCTTGAGCACAGAGCTAGGAGTAGCCCTGAGCACTGCCAGGTGTAGCCCAAACAAACAAAAAAAAAACAAAAAAAGATAAATATCAAACTGTGCTATTTCTGTGACTAAAAAAATATGAGAAAGTAACTCTTTTTGGGCAACTCAGTATTTAGTTCTTAATTTCAAAATGCATTCTGTGTTATACAATAAGACTAAACAATATGCATAGTTTATATACATATAAACAAGCCAATGTTTATAAGGTAGTGTAAACAAGACTGTACAGGAAAAAATTATCTCAGATTAATTCTATTAGATTATTAAAGATAGTATAGATGGATGATTTCATACTTCACACATATACTCCATGTAAATCAGATATATTTTCCTGGAAATGTTAGCATGTTTTAGTGTTATTATACCATTTTTATCCTGTTCCCTGGAAATGTATCCATTCTTCCTAATTTTAGTACCAAGACAAGACACACTGGTTAGGGCAAGATAGAAAGATGAAACTCCATTTTCCATAATATTAACAAACCAGTAACAGCACTATAAGTAAAAAACAATTCCAGTAAAAGAGCAGAGACCATATTAACCAAATAAATACTGACCACTCAACCTCTCTGGATCTTAAGGACCATAAATTCATTTTACTCTACAAACCTAGCCAATTTGTTTTATCCCAGAGACAGCATCTTGTCACAAAATTGCAACTGTGCCAGAACATATGCAGCAGGTGACTCTCCCTCTGCTAAGTAATAGTACTTAGCATAATCTCTAGAAAATAACACAAACATACAGTTTACCCTTGAATAAAGAACTGGAGCACGGATTCCCTACAATGAAAAATCCTTGCACTTACAGGTTCTGCATCTAGGACTTTTCATGTTGGCTGAGCCCAAGAATGTAGAACCCGTGGTAAGTAAATAATCCAGGTATAAATGGACCCAATACAATTCAAATGCATGTTCTTCAAGGGGTCAACTATACTTATGAAAACAATCAGAGTGTAACTTCATATGATAATTTTATGTTAATATTATATAATATACATGTGGTAGACATTTTGGTTCATCATTTGTTTTATTTTTCACATAGACCTAGAAAAATATTTAAGCAAATTTATAAGTGAAAGTATTTAAATGTTCTATTACTTTATACTAGTATTAGAAAATGTTTCTTTGGTTATTATAGAAATGTATATTAAAACTCCCCTGATATACTATACAAGATACACACACCTATAGTATACAAAAGGATTAGAAATTCCTTCTTTCTCTTCTTCTATCCTGAGGGGAAAACTATGGAAATTCACTTATAATAGGATGAAAAAGGGAATCTTTTGCTTGTATTTTTTTGCAATAATCAAACTCAGACATTCCCATATGTAAAGCATTTGCTCTATCTCTGAGCTATATTCCAAATCACCAAGCTATAGTATTAGCCCCATAGCTATTGAATTTAAAGTTCTATTATTACGTTTTCAAGTCACGCAGTTTCCTGTCTACTTCAATGGAATCAGCAGTGATAGATCCAATTCCAACACCCGACCGCCGTAATGATAGTTCCAGGGCAGAAATCTGACGTAACTCTTTGCGACACAACTTTACAGGTGTGACACCATGAAGCTGTCCCGTATTTCCCACTGGCTGAATTTGAGCTGATGGTGGAACATGAGATTTTGTAAACTGATTGTCATTTCTTTCTGTTTTATCCTCAATGTTTAATAAATGCCCGGGAGTAGGTGCTAAAGAGCGATAAAAGGAAAGTGATTCTGTTCCATCTTCACAGAGCTGCTGAGGTGGTATTAACAGGTTCGTTGAACTATCTAATTCTTTTTCCTTTCCACTTAATCGTATACTTTCAGTTCTAGATGCCCATTTTAATTCTTCTGAATTCACGCCTGATTCTTCTGCATTCAGGACTCCATCTGCAGCATCATGATCTAAAAATAATACCAAAAGAAAAAAAAACATTAGAAACAGCTCTTAAAAATAGCTGTTTATCTCTTTCTTTCTTAACTTACTGGTTGTGGGGGGCACACCCAGTGGTGTTCAGGGGCTACTCCTGGCTCCTTTGTGGGTCCTCCCAGAAGTGCTTGGGGAAGTGGGGAGGGACCGTGGTGTTTAGCGGGCTTGCTAATAGTAACGACAATCTAAATCCTTATTAAATAAAGCCAGAACAAATATTATCCCATTACCCACAGGATAATATTGGTTTTGTTTCAGTAGTATATGTGCAAAACTCCAGTTTTGGTTGGTGTTTCTAACATAACAGCTGGCTTCTTCTCTGAGCATTCTCAGCACAAGCTACAATGTCCTCCCTCAAAATGGGCCTAACAGCATAGCTCCCTCAGTGGGGAAGGTCACAGTGAGAAGAGATTACTGGGAGGGAGTGAAGAGATTAAAGCTTCAGGCAAATGCATCATAAAATCACTTAATATAAAAGACAAAATCTTGGACCAGAGAGAGAAATCACTCAGTGTGGGTGGCTCTGGTTCTAACCCCACCACTGTATATGGTCCTTCGAAAATTGCCAGAAGTAAGTCCTGTGTACAGAACCAGGAAAAGTACCCAAGCACTGCTAGGTGTGGCCCCGAAATAAAACAAAAAAGATAAAAACCTAGCTTTATGAAGTCCAGATAGGCCTAAGAGGAACACTGACAACTTTTAACATTGTTAGGTGGTTATTATACGTCTACTATCTGAAGAGAAAGCTTAGAACAAAAGTTTCACATTGCCTATAGACATTTTACTTAGCCTATAAAGACGGCCCCAAATTTTAAAGGTTTTATGTTAAAAACACAGACTTCCAGCTCCTATAAGAAGAATTAAATCATTTGACAAAGCAGCTGGAGTAGAATTGGACTATCCAGTTAGTAACTTATGTGATACCTAGACAGCTCACTCTGACTGCCAGGTCCTGCAGCTATTGTAGTTCATGACTTGGAATGCTATGAAGCTATTAGGAGAGATTAAGTCAAGAAATTTGCTTATAAGTGCATAGACACGGAGAGTATCATGCTAAGTGAAATGAATCAAAGAGGGACAATATAGAAGGACTGCTCTCATTTGTGGAGTATAAACGAACATAACATGAGGATGACACCTAAGGACAGTAGATACAAGGGCCAGGAAGATTGCTCCATAGCTGGAAGCCTGCCTCATGAGCAAAGGGGAGAAGGCAGCTGAAATAGAGAAATGATCGCTAAGAAAAAGATGGCTGGAGGAATCGGTAGGGAAGGGAGATGTGTGCAGAAAATGGATAAAGGATCAAACATGGTAACCTCTCAGTATCTGCATTGCAAACCATAATGCCCAGAAGTAGAAAGAGAGAATGGAGAATATTGTCTGCCATGCAGGCAGGGGGAAGGTGGGAAAGTGGAAGTATACTGAGGGTATTGGTGGTGGGGAATGTGCACTGATGGAAGGATGGGTGTTTGATCATTGTGTGATTGTAACTCAAACATGAAATCTTGTAACTATATCTCACAGTGATTCAATAAAAAAACATTAATTTCCCAAAAAGACATCATGCTAAATGGGAGAGAATATTTTAACATCATATAGCTGACAAGGGACTAATATCCAAGATATATAAAGAACTCACACAAGCCAGAGTGATGACTTAAAGGGCTGGAGCAAATGTCTTGCAAGCACCAGGTCACAAGTGTGATCCCTGAGCACTACCAGATGTGACCCTGGTGGCTCCAAGCACTGGTCCAAGCAGCACTTCATTCCTGGGCCTGAACACCAAAATGTTAACCCACACTGCTAGGAAGAAGATGGCCAGGAGTGGCTCCTGGGGCTATTGAGTGTTACTTGAGAGGACCTTAAAAAAAATGAACCAATAACCAAGAACTGGGTAGAAGAGATGAACAGACCCTTCCCCTTATGAAGGTATATGAAAATAATGTTCATCCATCATTTATCAGGACATACAAATCAAAATTACAATAAGATTGTTACCTCACACCTTTTAGAGTCACCCATTTCACAGAGGCCACAATGACTGATGTTGTGGAGAAAAATAAAAACTTGAATATTGCTGATGGAATGTAAACTAGTCCAGCCTCTTTGGAAATCAGTATGAAGGTTCTGCTGTAGTTAAAATAAGTCATATAAACCTGAAATTCCATTCCTTAGTACTTATCCCCGAAACACAAATTTGGGGGCAGAGAGTATAGCGGTTAAGGTGTTTTCTTTGCATGTTGCTCATCCTAGTCTGACCCCTGGGACAGCATATGGTTCTCTAAGCACTCCCAGGAGTGATCTCTGAAAACAGAGCTGGCAGTGGCCCCAAACTACCCCTTTGCTCAAACAACAAGCAAACGAGAAAAGATATGTGCACACCATGTTCAGTGAAAAGCTATTCTCAATAGCCAAGATCTGTGAATCACCCAGGTACCCAACAACAGATGAGCAGGTAAGAAAATAATGCTATATATGAAAAGATAAAATCCTTCCATTTTCAACAACTTGGGTGGTACTGGAGGATTTAAGACAGAGCAAATTAAGACAGGCAGAGAAAGACGAGTATTTGCTCATCTCACTCATATGTGGAATATAAAGAAAAAAATCTAAGGGTTAGTGTTAGTGGGCAAAGTACCTTGCATTCAGCCCACTTGGATTCTATCCCCAGCACCCCATATCACTACCCCCAGGCCAGCCAGGAATGATCCCGGAGCACAGAGCCAGGAGCATACCCTGAGAACTGCTGGGTGTGGCCCCAAAAAACTAAATAAAAAACCCTAGAAATGTAGTGTTTTTTTTTAAATATGGAATACATCAAAAGATAGATGGAAACAATCCAACACTAACCCTTAGATTTGTACCACAGAACTGAGGGTACCAGATGGGGGAATGCATCGGTGGCACAAAGCAGGAAGATTAACATAACTTTTCAATAATCTATAGTGATGTGAACCAACATTAACTGCAATAAAAGAGGAAAAAATAAAAAACAGAAAAGGCTGGGAAATAACACCAAGGGACTCTCTTTAGGGACTAAAACAGAGCAAAGATTTTAATCTCTCTCTCTCTCTCTCTCTCTCTCTCTCTCTCTCTCACTGGTGAAGTAAGATAATTTTTACTGAAATTTATTTAGAGAGACGAGAGAAAGAGAAAGATGTGAAAGGACAGAAAGAAGGGAAATGTGTTCAAGAGAGAACATGGACAACAAAGAAACAGACACAAGCAAGACACATGCTCAAGTGTATTCCATATTTAAAAAAAAAAACACTACATTTCTAGGGTTTTTTATTTAGTTTTTTGGGGCCACACCCAGCAGTTCTCAGGGTATGCTCCTGGCTCTGTGCTCCGGGATCATTCCTGGCTGGCCTGGGGGTAGTGATATGGGGTGTTGGGGATAGAATCCAAGTGGGCTGAATGCAAGGTACTTTGCCCACTGTACTACTTCATTAGCCCCAATTTTGTAGTTTTTAAGATTCACACACACACAAAAAAACTCAGAATAGCAAAAGCAAAGATATTAGAATGAAATGGCCATATACAAAGTTAGTCACAGACTGACTGCTAAATATTTTTGCACATTAAGTAATCCTTTTAAAAATCAGATGCCATTGCAGTTCTGTTTACAATAGCCAGAATCTGGAAAAAACCTGAGTGCCTGAGAACAGAACAGATGACTGGTTAAAGAAACTTTGGTACATCTACGCAACGGAGCACTATGTAGCTGTTAGAAAAGATAAAGTCATGAAATTTACATACAAGTGGTACTACATGGAAAGTATCATGCTAAGTGAAATGAGTCAGAAAGAGCGGGACAGACATAGAAAGACTGCATTCATCTGGGGAACATAAAGTAACAAAATAGGAGACTAACACCCAAGAATAGCCGAGATAAGTACCAGGAGGTTTACTCCATGGCTTGGAGGCCAGCTGCACACGCTAGGGGAAAAGTCAGCTCAGATAGAGAAGGGAGCACCAAATAAAGGGTGTTGGGAGGATCCGCCCAGGATGGGAGATGCATGCTGAAAGTAGACTACCGATCAAACATGATTGCCACTCAATGCCTCTTTTGCAAACCACAGCACCCAAAAGGAGAGAGAGAACAAAAGGGAATGCCCTGCCACAGAGGCAGGGTGGGATGGGGGGAAGGGGGGTGGGAGGGATACTAGAAATCAGTGGTGGTGAAGAATGGGCGCTGGTGAAGGGATGGGTACTCGATCATTGTATAACTAAAACCCAAGCACAAAAATCTGTAAGTCTACAACTGTACCTCATGGTGTTTCACTAGTAAAAATTAAAATAAATAAATAAATATCATATGCCTTGCATTTGGAGAGATAATAGAGTGGGTCGGGCATTTGGCTTGCACACAGACCACCTAGGTTCAATATCCAGAATGACATATGTTTCCCTGCGCCCTACAGGAGTGATCCCGACCATAAAGCTAGGAGTAAGCCCTGAGCACCACTTGGTGTGGACCCCAAACCAAAAAAATTGTTAAAAATTGTGATGTCAATCATGTCGGAGGGATGGGTATTTGATCATTGTATAATTGAAACCCAAGCACAAAAATTTGTTAGTCTACAACTGTGCCTCATGGTGTCTCACTAATAACAATTAAAAAAAAAAAAGAAAGATGGTATCACAAGAACTCATAAATTTTTTACGAACAAGAAAACATTATATTTTCCCATTTTTATTTCTGAAGAGACAGTAATCATAATTTATTAGGTCCCTCAAAAGTAAAAAATTATGAAAAATTTTTAAAAAATTGTGATGTCCAGGAAACAATGTCAGGAGGAGGAAGCACTGTCAAGCTCCTATGCAAAGGAGCAGAAATAGTACACTGAGGCCTTCATTCCCAAGCTACTTGGATTCTTCACAATCAAAAGTTTATATATCTAAAACAGAACTTGAAATATTTAAACAATGGCACAGGTCGTATATGTGTATAACTGATTCTAGGAGGGAGAGGGGTTTCCAAACTGTGCCAGGGGGTTGTGGTGGGGTGCTCAGGTATCTGTAAGATGGTATATTTAATATCAGTAACCCAGAGCTGTTTCAGGGTTTCTCTTGGCTTGGTACTTAGGGGGTGTTCCTCAGCAGTGGGCAGGGGACTAATTGGTGCTGGGGACTGAACCTAGGACTCCTGGAGCAAAGCATACGCTCCAGCCCTGAGTCATCTCTCCAGCCAAATATGGTGTACTTTAGTCATAGCAATACAGTAACTTCACGATACTGCTTCTGCAAAGTGTTGTTATATTTTTCAAAGTTAGTATTTATTTATAAGAGAATATCTCATTTTCAAAAATTATTGAATCACTGTAAGATTTACCTTTCAAAATCATGACTGCATTTCAGTCATAGTGTTCCAACACCCATGCTCCACCAGTGTCATTTCCCAGCACCAATGTCCTCCCCTTCAAGCCAGCCCCCACCCCAACCCCCCACCTCTCTTCTCTCACTCTCTTCTCATTTTAGGCATTGTGGTTGTCTGCAGAGTGTTTTGTTATGTTTCTTCATTTAGGAGAGAACTATCAGCCTTTCTTCATACAATTATTCAAGAAAACATCTCTATCTCGAAGGGCTTTATTACATTTTTGAATTCCCAGAGATAATTAAGAGATATGATTTATCTTATAAATACATACTTCATTTTACCTTTGTTCTTTTTTACCTTTACCCTTAATTTTCTATGTTTTCTATGGTTTTGATAATCAGAGGGTTTCATTTACCACAAAACTAGAAACATCATCTATTTTAGAATGTCGGGTTGCAGATTAAATGAATGAAAGACTATAAAAGCTTGTGGTACATGATGGGCAATCACAGACTCTCTCTCACATATTCACATTTGTTCATTTACTTCTCATTGGATTGTCTTAGACATAAACTAGACCAGTGCTTCTCAAACAGAAGCCATACAACCCCTACGCTACTCAAGGCCATGGCTGAAATCCTGGGAGGCCATAGCGTGAGACTAGGTGACCACCCAGGAGGATAAGAGGACCAAAGGGAGGAAACAAGGTTGGAAGGGGGCCAGAGAAACACTAAATAGAAAATTATTTTTGCTTATGGAGACAAATTAAATATCTCTTCTTGAATAATCTAGTGAGCTGGGAAAGGCTCCTCTTCAAGTCAGACCTGGCCCGCCAAGAGCTAGTGAAACAGTGTTTGCTTGACAAGTAACACTAATTGTCTTACATTCAGATGGTAACATTTGCCTCCGAATTGCTTCCCCTACCAGTTCTTTAACTTTCTTCTTAAGATCTCTGCTGGTTTTCTTATAGAAATAAAGATCTTTTTCCAACTGCTGAATTTTATCTTCATACGTCTGTAAAGTTTCCATAACGCCTTCCCCATCTTGTTCTATAAAACAGAAAGTTCCATTTGAAGCCAGTCAGAGTGAGAAGGATAAACACCAGGAGATGTCCCAAGTTATCCAATAACAACCACCCCCCCTGACTCTGATCACAAACAGCCTGTCAAAGCGTGGAGGTCTCCATGGTGGCTGAGCGCTGGGAAAGGAGAGAGAGATGGACTGAGGTGACAGAAGGACGGTGGAGACTCTGCATCTCTTCTGCGGTAGTGGCGGTGAAGTGACTTTGTATTCCATAAACACTAATGTTAGCACAACTGTAGCCAAGTTACATACAATAATAAATAAAATCAACCTTAAATAAATGATTGAAAATTATGTCTTAACATAGTCCCATGCTTTGTTGAAAAGGTCAGACCATGTCACACATATTGGTTAACTTAATGGATTTGTTTTCAGCCACAGTTTGGATTCCTGTGCCTGTAGAACAAAATATTTATTTATCTATTTATTTATTGCTTTTAGGGTCACACCCGGCGATGCTCAGGGTTTACTCCTGGGGGTACTTGGGGGACCATTATGGAATGCTGGGAATCGAACCTGGGTCGGCCACATGCAAGGCAAACACCCTCCTCACTGTACTATCACTCGAGCCCTCCAAAATTTTTTTAATTGGGGCTGATTGATTGTATAGAGGGTAAGGCTCTTGCCTTGCATACACCCAACCCAAACTAAATCCCTAGCACCATATATGGTCCCCTGGGCACTGCAAGGTGTGATCTCTGAGCCAGAGCCATGAGTAAGGCCTGGATACCACTGGGTGTGACCCAAACCCAACACAACAAGAAAATTCGGTGGGGAAGGGCATACCCAGTGATGTCCAGGACTTACTACAATCAGGAGAACCTGGTGTGCTGGCTTTCAGAACATAGTTTCAAATCCACTCTTTTTATATTGGTAAATTTACAGAATAGTTCAACTTGTTTCTTCTGTTGTAATTGGCTATTTCTTTTTAATGCTTTTTGGGTCACATGCAGCAGCAATGCTCGGGGGTTACTCTTGGCTCTGTATTCAGAAATTTCTCCTGGCATTGCTCAGAGGACCATATGGAATGCCAGGGATCAAAGCCGGATTGCCATGTGCAAGGCAAATGCCCTCTCCTCTGTACTATCACTCCAGGCCCAATCACTGGCTATTTTATAAATTTTTTATATAAATTTATTTGTTGTCTCATCATCTTGTTTTAAAATTAACATAAGGGGGCTGGAGTGATAGCACAGCGGATAGGGCATTTGCCTTGCACACAGCTGACCCAGGTTCAATTCCCATCATCCCATATGGTCCCCTGAGCACCGCCAGGAGTAATTCCTGAGTACAGAGCCAGGAGTAACCCCTGAGTATCACCGGCTGTGACCCAAAAAAGCAATAATAATAATAATAATAAATATAAAAAATTCCCATAAAGTATATATCATATAGAGTAACCTAATGTATGTCCCATACACAGTTGAAATAAAAAAAATCAATTAACATTTTTAGTCTGACCTTATGAGGTAGCTATAGAAATGAGTGATGTCTGTTAAGCATTCTTATTTGAGATACAATATCAATCCAAAATATTTTTAAGGTTCTGTTAGGGCTGGAGAAAGAGTACAGGTGTTACCCCGTCTTGCATGCGGCCACCCTGGTTCAGTCTCCAGGACCTGGTCCCCAAGTGCCACCAAACATGGCAGGAGCAGCACTGCATCCTCCAGCTCTGGTTTCAACTTTCAGACATCAGGAGGGGATGCCAGGCCTTGTGAGCCTGGCAAAAAGGAGCCCCCCAAAATTCTATCACTTCAGAGGCTTAGGGATAAAATAAGGGAAGAAGAACATAAAAATAATGAATAAAATAAGGTAAGTGAATGAAAGGATATATAGGTCCTGTTAGGGAAATTCTAACACAGTGACTGTTACTTAACTCCAAAAATTAACTTTAAATGTCCCTAACCACTCAAACTTAGAAATTTCTGTTTTCTAGAAATTTATGTTGCTGCTTCTCGATTCTTTTAAACCCATTTCCTTCTATAGAATCTTAATAATCAAGACTAAAGGGGTCTGAAAGAAGGCTAAAGGAAATGCTTTGAGTGTAGGAGGCCTGGGTTCAATCCACAGCACTGCACAATCACAAATACCACTGGGTGTAACTCCCAGTCACCCAGACTCAGATTCAGCCCTTTAGCACAGCAGAGGGTGGCCAAAATAAACAAACAAACAAACAGAAAAATGAAGACCCAGCAGCAATGAAGCAGCCTGGACTGAATCAGCCCCATTACTGCCTGGAGTGACTCTGGTGCTGCTGCAATTATTCAGGCACTGGAATCATGTTCCAGCTCTTTCCACACCAGAACTGACAGCCGAACTAACCAATAGCAGCATATGTCCACTAGTGGTAGGCTGATTTTTTTTAAATTGAAGTAACAATGTATTATAACGTTATATAAATTTCAAGCATGCATCTTAATTAAAAATCAACTGTGTCACTTAAGAAGTATCTCATGGTTAGACATACATGAGTCTCTGGATTCAATCTCAAGCAAAAAGATATTACTACAAAAAGATATTTACTACATTAAGCTCACTACTAAGGAGTAATTGTCTACTCCAATATGTTCTAATATGTTACCATATAAATGTCCACTTACGTCCATTTACCTATTACCCTCCTTCCTCGGAAATTTCCTTCCGGTAATAACTACTTAGCCATGCTTTTTTCTTTTTTTTTTTTTTTGTTTGGGGCTACACCCAGCACTGCCAATGGCTTACACCTGGCTCTGCACTTCCAGATTACTCCTAGTAGACTCTGGGGACCATATGTGGTGCTGGGAACTGAATCTGATTCAGCTGCATGCAAGGCGAACATCCTACCCACTATTTTATAGCTCCAGCGCCTCTACTTGATCTGTTAAGCGTAGACAAAGATAAAACTTTAATGTAGAAAATTTACGATTAGAAAATATAACAAATAACCATAAATTTGACAGTTCAGTAATTTCAATTTTGTGACAAGGAAGTATTTTAAATACCATATATTCTGGAGAAACGAACTTTTTTTTTTGGCTTTTTGGGTCACACCTGGCGATGCACAGGGGTTACTCCTGGCTCTGCACTCAGGAATTACCCCTGGCGGTGCTCAGGGGACTATTTGGGATGCTGGGAATCGAACCTGGGTTGGCTGCGTGCAAGGCAAATGCCCTACCCGCTGTGCTATCGCTCCAGCCCCACAAACTTTTTTAACTGTTCATCACAGAGCCTGAAGTTGCACCATATTTCTAAAGACTAAAGCAACAACAAACTTTCGGTATGGAAGCAGGCAAAAGGGATGGAAATGTAAGCACGAGATAAGTACATCAGAGCCAACTATGCAAACGTGGAATCAAAACAGCATAACCTGTGTAAGGAGCACTAATTCATCCAAGTCTTTAAGTGATCCAATTCCTGTCAATTCTCACCCCCGCCCCCCTCCTCCCAGGTTCCTCTTCCTATGACTGACAAGAAGGGGCAGGTACCTTTGAAATGATGTAACAGTAGCTGCATCTTTTGCTCATGTTCCTTCTGCTGGAGAGTCAGTCTCCGGTCACACTGCACTTTCAGATGTTCCAGTGCAGATTCCAACTCACGAACAATATTATCCTTTTCTAGAACCTTCATTTTAATCTCTTCATTCTGCAACTGCAGTTTTCGTTCACTTTCTCGCAAATTAACAACCTAGAAATGATATTATTTGACCTATTAAGCAGCATGTCTTAAATAGCCTAACATAATAAACTAAACTACTTCAGTTTCATAAGATAAACTTCTTTAATAACCATGGCATAACTGGGCAAATGCTTTGTCACATTCCACGAAATAATACAACCATTGAAATTTGTTGGGATTCTCTATCGTGTATTTTAAATTATCATTTAAAATATAATGTTGCCAAAGATAACGGAAATGAGCATGAGAACTGGTCTGTAGTGGGGAGCTTGGTGAGGGCACACTATGACAGTGGGGGAGGGAAGTGGTGACCCTGGGGGGGGTGGTGTTGAAGGTAGTAAAATGTTAGGCATGAAACCATATCAGTAACAGTATTGTAAACCACAGTGCCTAAAAGAAAAAAAATGGTGCCTGCCATAGAAGCAGGATGGGGAGAGGTGGGGACAGGAGAGTAACTGGGGACATTGGTGGAGGGAAGTAGACACTGGTGAAACCCAGTCATGAGTAACTTCGTTCCTGGTGTCTCAATAAAAATAAATAAAAATATAATGTTGCTCTAATAATCAGTACTCCATCATTCCTAAGTTCACATTTAAAATTCTTTAATTCTATTTATCTACTATTAGAAGATATGAGAAATTCGAATAATTTAATTTTTAAATTAAAAATAAATTAACTAAACTACTTAGTAATTCTAGTAGCACCATAGCACTGTCCTCCCATTGTTCATCGATTTGCTTGAGCGGGCCCAGTTAAGTCTCCATTGTGAGACTTGTTACTGTGTTTGGCATATCGAATACGTCACAGGTAGCTTGCCAGGTTTTGCCTTGCGGGCAAAATACTCTTGGTAGCTTACCGGGCTCTCCAAGAGGGGCGGAAGAATTGAACCTGGCTTGGTCAGGCTGGCGGCTTGCAAGGCAAATGCTGTGCTATCGCTCCAGCCCAATTCTAGTAACTACTAGAAAAAAATTCTACTAATATTGAATTAATTCTTGCTTTAATTTTAAAATGGATATTAAAAGTGGTATCACTTTTTAAAACTAGTAGTTTGTTCTAGATTGTGCATTTATTCCATTGGGTTATCCTTTTTACTGATAAAAAGTAAAAAACACTTCGGATAATGTCTGTGACATAGAACCAATTAATACAATGAATCACCTTGTTTTTCAGGAAAAAAATGCTTAATTCTTTAGAGTTCTCAGGAACAGAAAAACCACTGGCATTGGTCAGGGTGCTTCAGGTTACCCCCTCACTGTAAATGTACATAAAGACTGTTTGCTTACTGCCATCCACACATATACACAGTAATGTACTGTCATCAAAAATAGTGGCTCTTGGGGCTGGAGCGATAGCACAGCAGGTAGGGCATTTGCCTTACTCGCAGCCAACCCGGGTTCAATTTCCAGCATCCCACAAGGTCCCCCAAGCACCGCCATGAGTAATTCCTGAGTGTGTGAGGCAGGAGTAACCTCTGTGCATCGCCAGGTGTGACCCAAAAAGCAAAAAAATAAATAAATAAAATAAAAAAAATAGTGGCTCACTGTTGACACTAATTATCCAAAAGACCATGTAGAATATTTCTATTTATCTTTATTTGCCTAATAGAATTATAACTATTTTAAAATTATTTGTTTAATGTTTTATAATATCTTAAAAAAGATATAGTTCTCAATACTGAGAAATATCTCTGCATCGGTTAACTGTCAAATTAGTATCAGATATTTTCATTGTTATTAAGTATAAATAAAAATCTATTATGTCACTAATGAACCACGACATTTTCCTTTCAACTAACAGGAATGTACATGAGAAAGTCTGTCAAATACTCCCAGTCTACAGCAGATGACTGCAAGGGAAGCCAAATTGAAGGGCATTTGACTTTCCTGAATGCTGAGTAAGAAGAAACAAATCTACAAAATATAACTAAACGGCGACTGAGAGATACAACTTACATGTTTTAGAAGCCATTTTAGGGCTAGATGATGGCTCCGGAAGTAGTGTACAGGCCTTGCACTACATGCCATCCCCACTACAGCTCAACTGAATGTGACCTTGGTGGCCTAGAACAGCACAGGGTGTGGCCCTTATAAGGTCCTATTTTTGAAAGCTCTTGAACTTTAAGAAATTCCACATTTGGGGCAAATAACCAAACATAATATCTTCTCAGTATCTGTATTGCAAATAATGCCCAAAAGGGGAGGGGGTGGGGAGAGGAGAGAGCGGGAGGAGGAGAGGGAGGGAAAAGAGGAGGGGGTGAGGGAGAGGGAGATACGAAGAGAGAGAGAAGAACAGTGACTGCCATCGAGGCAGACTGGGGGTGGGGGTGGCAGGAGGGATGGGCAGTGGGGTATTGTCACTGTCACCGTCCTCCCATTGTTCATCGATTTGCTCGAGCGGGCCCAGTAACATCTCCATTGGAGACTTTGTTGTTACTGTGTTTGGCATATCGAATACGTCACAGGGAGCTTGCCAGGCTCTGCCGGGCGGGCAAGATACTCTCGGTAGCTTGCCGGGCTCTCTGAGAGGGGTGGAAGAACCGAACTCGGGTTGGCCATGTTGGCTGCATGCAAGGCAAACGCCCTACCGCTGTGCTATCGCTCCAGCCCAGTGGGATATTGGTGGTGGGAAATGCACACTGGTGGAAGGATGGGTACTGGAACATTATATGACTGAAACTCAATCATGAAAGCTTTGTAAATGTATATCACAGTGACACGGTGATTCCATTTAAAAAATAAATATATTAATAAAATTTTAAAAAAATTAATTCTGCATTTGGATAATTACAAAGCTTTTTAGATGACAGCATTCAGTACTGTAAAGAGAAATGATGCAAAAAATTTGTGGCCCCATTTGCCCTCTCCTCTCTGGAAAGAAAGATGGCGGCCACATGGGAACCCTGTGGACAGCAGGTATGGGCTGGGGGTGTGGAGGTGACTAGAACCTCATGGGAAGGGGGGCGTTCCGGTCCGTCCTTCACGCCCTACCGAGGTCACCAGTTGCCCCCCACGAGCGGCTCTCCAGCACGGCCACAGCCCCAGAAGCACAAGGACTTAATGCAGAACCCAGCAGCTTGGAGCAGAAAAGTGAAAGGACTATGCGTTAATCCAGGCAATCATTTCTGCCCAGAGGGGAAAGGGTGTTGCTCCCTTCCGCCCTCCTCCCTCTGGAAAGAAAGATGGCGGCCACATGGGAGCCTTGTGGACAGCAGGTATGAGCCGGGGGTGTGGGGGCGACTAAAACCTCATGGGAAGGGTGGCGTTCCGGTCCGTCCTTCACGCCCTACCGAGGTCACCAGTCGCCCCCCGCGAGCGGCTCTCCAGCACAGCCACGGCCCCAGAAGCACAAGGACTTAATGCAGAACCCGGCAGCTTGGAGCAGAAAAGTGAACGGACTATGCGTTGATCCAGGCCATCAAGTCTGCCGGAAGGGAAAGGGTGTTGCCCCATTCGCCCTCTCCTCTCTGGAAAGAAAGATGGAGGCCACATGGGAGCCTTGTGGACAGCAGGTATGAGCCGGGAGTGTGGGGGCGACTAAAACCTCATGGGAAGGGGGGCGTTTCGGTCCGCCCTTCACGCCCTACCGAGGCCACCAGTTGCCCCCACGAGCGGCTCTCCAGCACGGCCACGACTCCAGAACACAGAAACCAATTTCTTAACTATCTGACTTTCAGTAGAAATACTTCCAGGGTCAATAGGTAAAATAGCAGAAATCCAAAACCAACATTTAATTCTTGAACCCAGCTGTAGAAAGCAAATCACTTCACAATGCTTTATCAGCATGTCTGATTTGGGGGGGGTAAACTCTAAATAATAGTGGTGAATCTTTTATTGAAACAATGAATCTAATCAAAGCAGATAGAGTGTTAACTAGAATTCATCTGCCTCACAGGGACGGGGAGGGGTGGGGGGTGGGGTTTTATTGGGGTTCTTCATGGTAAAAAATAAGTATTGGTAAAGGGAAATGTGTTTGATATTTGCATGACTGAGACCTAAACCTGAAAGCTTTGTAACCTTTCCCACAGTGATTCAATAAATAAATAAAAAAAAATTTGTGGCCATACCATCAAATCTTTAGGCTTTTTGGTTTTTTTGTCTTGTTTTTGAGACACACCTAGATGCACTCCTAAATCTGGAGGACCCTATACAGTGCTGGGAATTGAACCCAGGTTGGTCACACAGAAGGCAAACACCCTACCTCCCTACACTATTTCTCCAGCCTGCAAATTTCACCAGCGGGTAGGGCGTTTGCCTTACAAGCGGCCAACATGGCCGACCCGAGTTCGATTCCTCCGCCCCTCTCAGAGAGCCCGGCAAGCTACCGAGAGTATTCGATATGCCAGACACAGTAACAACAAAGTCTCCAATGGAGACGTTACTGGGCCCGCTCGAGCAAATCGACGATCAACGGGAGGGCATTTACCTTTACCTTTACCTTAATATTTACATTCTAAAACATTATATAAGTATCTTGGTGTTATATGAGAAAATTCTGTCCCTCAAAAACAAACCTTATTGACCCAAAAAGCAAATAAATAAATAAATAAAAGTTTGGGGCGGGAGTGATAGCACAGTGCGTAGGGCATTTGCCTTGCATGCGGTCAACCCAGGTTCGATTCCCAGCATCCCATATGGTCCCCTGAGCACCGCCAGGAGTAATTCCTGAGTGCAGAACCAGGAGTAACCCCTGAGCATCGCTGGGTGTGACCCAAAAAGCAAATAAATAAATAAAAACAAACCTTATTGAAATACCGGAAAAGAATAGCTCTAATCTCAACAGGATTCAGGCAAATCAGTTTTTCTAAGACATTTGCTTCACTCTGAGAGAGGTTGGAAAATGAAGCACGGAGTGAGTTCTGGCGACTCTGGATACTTTCATTCTTGTATTCAATTGCAGCTTCCAAAGCTTCAATCCCTTCTTCAAGTTGGAAAAGGACATGTTCTTCCTGGATATAATAAAAATCACTCATTTTTAATGAAAAAATATTCCTAGGACTTGCATATATTAATATCTCAGCATTTTTCAGTCTAATGGAGAATACCAGCCTATTAAATGCAAATAAAAAGTAACATTTCAGTGATTGCTACGCACACAATGCACTCTACACACAGACAAACACAGACACAGACAGACAGACACACACACACACACACACACACACACACACACACACACATCCTAGCAATAAACCTTTCATACTAAGCAAAAGCTTAGGTAAATTACAAAGTGCCCCAGGTCATAAAAACTGATCACCAAGGAATATAGTAATAAGGCCCCAGTCCACAGAATTAGCAGTACTAGCAGATATCTCCCTCTACAGTTCTTAAAACACACACATGTACCATTAAGAACTAGAGACTTCCCCAAGTATATCAACTTTAAGGCTGGATCAAAACACTATATTGCTAGGGAGGAAAGAAATGGGTTTTTTTTTTAAATAGTGGTATTTAAGGATGTTCTGTACTTCCTAAAATTCCTATGAGAAGTCACTAGCGGTAAAACAGAGACATCAGAAATGGTAGCAACTGGCGAGAGCAATAGCACAGTGGATAGGGTGTTTGCCTGGCATGCGGTCAACCTGGGTTCAATTCCCAGAATTCACATGGTCCCCTGAGCACCTCCAGGAATGATTCCTGAACACAGGAACTATGAGGAAGCCCTGAATACCACCGGGTGTAGCCCAAAAGTAAAATAAAAAATGGTAGTAAAACAGAGACCAGAACAAAAGTCTAGTGAATTAGATGCTTGCCTTGCATGCAGCTGGCCAACCTGGGTTTGGTCCCAGGCATCTCATACAATCCCCTGAGCACTGCCAAAAGTGATTTCTGACTGCAAAGTCAGGTGTTGTCAACAAAACAGAACAAAATGGTAGTAAAACAATTGTGTTTGTGGGGTAGCCACACTGAGCAGTGCTTAGGACTTACTCCTGGCTATGAATGCTCAGATATCATTCCCTCTGACACTCAGGAGGCCACATGTCATGCCAGGGATCGAACTGGGGTTGGCTGTATGCAAGGCAAGCCCCTTATCTTAGCCCCATGCTCTCTCTGGTCTCAGTGGAACAATTTTTTTTCAAATATCATGGCATATTTCCTTTGTATGAAAAAAAACCCTTCTGACAAGTCCTCAGAAAACCTAGTGGCTCTCTGAACTATCTAAATAACATGTATTTGTGAGGGGTGAGGACCAGGACTCTAATAAATCTCTGGTAATTTATTATTTAGGACTAGCCAAGTCTTAGATGTTTGTGTCTGGTCAACTGTGTGAGGCAGAATGTACCTCAGTGTTAAGCTCCTCAAGGCAGACACTCATGTATCTATTGTTCATCACGTCACATACCACACTGGCGAAACTCAATGTCTGTTGTGTTAGTAAAGAAACCCATTGCTGGTAAGTCTTGGTTACATGACCCAAGTGTCTCTCTCCTTTCTACAATATTTCAAAGAAAAACAATGTCAACATTTCTTTGTGCGGGCCAGGATGTGTGGTGGTGGGGAGCAGAGTGCTGGAGGCATACCCAGCAGTGCTCAGGACTTACTTCTGGGTCTTTTCTCAGTGGTCACTCCTGGGGAGCTCAAGAGGAATATATGTAGTGCCAGGAATTGAACCCAGGTCTGTTGAGTACAAGGTAAGTGTCCTACTCTCCAAACCCCAATGTCAATATTTCTTATCTACCTAAAGAATTCAAAGTCACACTAGAGCAAATTCTGGAGGAATTTTGTCATTATATGTTCCAATGATAGGTCTAATAATTGGTTTCATAATCACTCCAAAAGGAATAAAATAATACTCACCTTTTAAAGAAAAACAAATTCTGAAAGGTACTTAGGTAAATAAGAGAAATAAGAATACATAATTAAGTTATTCAAAGAACATATTGGACTTTTGAATGCTTACTTTGATAACATTTTACAAAGAACGAATATGGGAAGCATTTGTCAATTATAGTGGGAACAATATACCGCAAATTTAGTTTTCACAGTTTTTAAATAATAAAAAACCATAATAATCTGAAGCTAGCCCACCCGGTGAGGCTTCAGTGTATCAGTATTTGTGGTTCCCTCTTCATGTGGTTCCCCAACAGTAGTGGACAGGGACAAGATGAATGGCAATGGGAAACTGTCCCGGACGAGAACTTTCTACAGTTCGAACTACAGATTATGAAGAGTTGTCTGTGCTTTATCACATAATCCTGTTTTTCAAACTTTAATATACTCTGAGGATCTTGTTAAAATAACAGATTTATAATTTAGCAATTCTGGGGGTGGGGGTTCTGAGGTTCTGCAATTCTAGCAAATTCTCAGGTGATGGTGTTGCTATGAGTCCAGCGGTCACAATGAGAGTCACAAGGACCTAGAGCAGTTGTCTGCAAACATTTGAGAACAAATACCCCTATCAGTAAAATGGCAATGACTAGTAAGTAACAATACCTTATAAACAATGTGTACACACACACACACGCACACACACACACACACACACACATACACAGCCACACCTGGTGTGCTAATGGCTTACTCTTGGCAGTGCTCAGGAAACTATAGGTGCTCAGTGCTGTGGATTAAGTCCGGGTAGGCTTTAAATGCTGTACTATCCCTCTGGCCTCACATTTGTATATTTAAGTAAGTTATATGTATCTTCTAATTCTTTAAAAGGATGCAAAGTTTAAAGGATAGAATAAACATACTAATTCTTGTACTTTGTTTCTATGATTTGCTTACTTGGTAACTCTGCATTAGTAGAAAAATAGAGTAGTTAAAGTAGTTTTATAAAATTTTCATTTCTAAAGTTCATCAAAAGAGGTGAAGTGCATAATATAAACTGTCGAGTAAATCTATACTAGTATAGCGATCTAAACTATTTGATTTTCCATTAACTAATATAATCAGGAAATTTTGTTTTTGCTCTGGAGCCATACCCAGTGGTGCTCAAGGCTTACTCAGGGTCCCTCCTAGTGTCCTCTGGGGACCATAGGTGGAGCCAATGGCGAGGGCAGGCTCAGGGCTGAGAGGCCGCAGAGCAGTGTGTGTGCAGCAGCCACCTGCCACTTGCAGTGGCACAGCATCCCTCAGTCCAATTCAGAGGCTGTTAAACAGCTATCCTGGGTGGTGCTGTATTTCCACCGTTAAAGCCAAAATAATGTAGGTTTCGATTATACTATTTCACATGGAATAAAACTTACATGTTAGTTGATGATGATAATGGGCTTTCTTTGCTCTTCTGCCAATTTTCCCATTTCCATCTCAATAGCTTACTTTCAGGACATTCTATCTAAAATGGCCACCTCCATTACACTGACCAACACGTGCAATGTTTTTCACAATCTATCTCTCCAAGTTTTTTGTTGTTGTTTTGGTTTGGGGGCCACCCACGGTGATGCACAGGAGCTACTCCTGGTGGTACCAGGCATAGAACTGAGCCAGCTGCACGGAAGTATTTTAACCTCTGTACTATTGCTCCAACACTTGCAATATATCTCAAGTTTGATTAAGCCATAGATACTGACTTAAAGGGTCTTCATCCAAATGAGCTCTACATCATTGGTAAAACAATATGTGGATATGGATTATTTTATCTGTAAATTGCTTTTCTATTTTCACTAGGGTTAGAGTTTTCTTATATTTCTTCATATTTCTTTACCCCATATAGAGTATAAATTTCTCAAGCGAAACATAATTCTCTGTACCTTTTAAACAGTACCGGGCTGGCAAGAATTTATTAATATGTACATGTTTTCCTTTAACTTAGGCTGTAGTTTCAAATCTAAAAACTTTGGAATACCAATTTAATAACATAGGGAAGAGAGCTTCAAGTCCTTCTCTGCTTGCAGCTCAGTTAAGATACAGCTCGTGCTCCCAAGTAAGTAATGGCTTCCAATGCCATATACCACACCTTCCTGGTCAAGTCTAGATTCTTTTTATCAACTCAATGAGCAATAACCTAGTATCATTAAATTCTTCCTCTTTTTCTTTCTAAATTCTCTCTTCTCTAACTTGCTCTAATCTGAAACACTACAAAATTTTAAGGGTGCATGATTCTCAGCTACTCACTTTCTCTTAGAAATCTTCCCTTGCTTTGTAATGATAGTACACCAACTTGGGGAGAAAATTTTAAGATAAAGACAGTACAGCAGGTAAGGTGCTTGCCTTGTATGCAGCTGACCCAGGTTTAATCTCTGATCTCTGAAATCACATATGGTCCCCTGAGCTCCATCAGGAGTGAACCCTGAGCACAGATGTTATAACCTAAGACTGAGAGGGAGAGGAGAAGAGAGAGAAGGAGAAAGGAAGAGAGGGAGAGGGAGGGTAATGGAGGAGAGAAGGAAAGAAGGGAAGGAGGGAGGGAAAGAAAGGAAGGAAGGAAAATTCAGGACAAAATATTCAACACTGGAAATGAAAATAAACAAATAGGGCTGCATCAAGTTAAAAAACTTCTGCAAAGTGAAAGAAATCTGTACAAAAATGAAACCTTTTACTGACTGGGAGAAAATGTTTGCACATCATCTGCCATACAAAACTGATATCCAAATTATGCAAAGAATTCATAAAGCTCAAAAACAACCAACCAAACAAACAAGAACTACAGACAACCCAGTGAAAAACTAGAAGATCAGACTAGGCACTTCTCCAGAGAAGACAGATAGATGGCCAAGAGACACGTGAAAACTTGTTCATCATCTCTTATTACTAGGGAAATGCAACGCGAAGGCACAAGGAGCAGTCATCTCACGCCTGTGAGAAGGGACATTATCTGAAAGAGAAGAAACAGGTGTTGGCAAGGATGTGCAAAAGGTGGGAATGAAAATTGGTGCAGATATGATGGAAAAATACAACCTTGTTATCTCACTTCTGTGTATTTACCAACAACAATCAAAACTAAAAGCCAAAAAGATAAAACCCTACCAAACCCAATCCTGCAACATTATTTACAATAGCCAAGAGTTGTACTTAACTGCTGCCAACTGGTAATAAAGATAAAGACATCCACATATGTGCAATGGAATAACTTCAGCTATTAAAAAAAAAAAAGATGAGGCCAGATATGTAGCTCAGTGGAACAGCATTTGCTCCTCATGTGTGAGTCTCTGGGTTTAATCCCCAGTACCACAAAGAAGTAAATAAAAGATTAAACCCTGCCTTTTGCAACAACACAGACAGATCTAGAGTGTGCTACACTTAGTGAAATAACCCTGCTAGAAAAAACAAACACCATATGATTTTGCTCACATACAGAAAAAAATCAATTAAATAAAAATAAACATTTTGACTCGAAGACTAGAGTCTTAGAATAGAACAGGAATGGTGGATAAATTCGGTAAAAGGGACCAACTGAGGCCTGAAGAGAGATCTAAAGAAGCTGAATTATACACTGGGCACAGTGAGGCCAGTCCCAGCACCACCAGGCCCCAGGTCCTTCTGGCTGGAGTCCTTGAGGTCCCCAGCACTGCTGACCAAAGCAGCAGCTCCCAGGACCCTTCCCTGAGCCCTCAGGTCCATACCACCCAGCTGAGGGCAGCTGCAAATGTGCCCTAAGCCCCTGAACATGCCAGGGAGGGCCCCCGCCCCCCAGAAAGAATGTATATAACGATGGATAAAACTGGAATTTTATTATATTTTTGAAACCAAAGTTATGTTGCATTGTAGCATTATATAAAAACTTTCAGAGGCTGGAGCAATAGCACAGTGGGTAGGGCATTTGCCTTGCACGCAGCTGACCCAGTTTTAATTCCCAGCATCCCATATGGCCCCCGAGCACCACTATGAATAATTTCTGAGTGCATGAGCCTGGAGTAACCCCTGTACATCGCCAGGTGTGACCCAAAAAAGTAAAAAAAAAAGTTTCAGGTATGCATCATTGAAATTCAACATATACTACATTAAACCCATCATGTATATGCATTACTGTATATGCTACATTAAAAGTTATTCACCAAAAGCCAATTTCTTTCCATCACTATACAATAGCATTTAAAATTTTTATTTATTTTGGGGCCACACCTGGCTATGCTCAGGGCTTACTCCTGGCTCTGTGCTCAGCAATCACTCCTAGTAGAGCTCAAGACCATATGTGGTGCCAAGGATTGAATCCAGGTCTGCTGAGTTAAAGGAAAACACCCTACCCACTGCACTCTCTCGCAAGCACTTTGGGTTGTTTTGTTTTGGTGTCACACCTGGCTGTGCTCAAGGCTTACTCTTGGCTCTGCACTCATCACTCCTGGCGGAGTTCAGGTAACCATATGCCCTGCTGGAGATAGAACATGCGTTGGCTTCGTGCAAGGCAAGAGCCCTACTTCCTGTACAATCTCTTCAGCCTACAATGGCATATTTCATATCTGGCTTATTTTATTAAGCTTAATACACTCTACATCCAACTATGTTGTTGCTAGAAGCAAGCTTGCATCTTTTTTTAAAAAAAAGTTTAATGGTATTTAATGGTATTCATTGTGTACATATGCTACATCTTTTTCATTCAATTATCTGTCTATCGACACAGCTTACCTCTCGTCTATTGTGAATAATGATGCGGTACATGTGGAGCTGCAAATATGTCTCTGACTAGGTTTTTGGGACCATGCCTGGCTGTGCTCAGGGATTACTCCTGGCTCTGTGATCAGTGATCACTCCTGGAGGTGCTCAGGAGACCATAAGGGGTGCGGGCAATCAAACCCAGGTCAACCATAGGCAAACAAGTGCTCTCCCCACTGTGCTCTCTCTGGCCCTGTATTTTTCAGGGGGCTGAGGAGGCGGGGTAAATACACAGATATGGGATAACTAGATTATACTTCTAAGTTTTTGGAAAATTTCCATAGTTTTCCATAAGGCCTGCCCCAGTTTACTTTCCCACCTGCTGGGTGCAAAAGGTTCCTCTTTTTCACATCCTTGCCAACACTGGTTTCTTGTCTTTGGATAGCAGCCATTCTTGTAGGTGTGAAGTGATATCTCTTTATGGTTTTACATTTCCCTAATAACAAAAGAAGATGTACATGTTTTCATGTGCCTTTTGGTCCTGTATATGTCTTCTTTGGAAAGTGTCTGCTCAGTTTTATGAGGTTGTTTCTTTCATTTCATGAGTTCTTATTTTGTATCAATCCCCTGTAGGGTCTATGATGTGTAAGTGTCTCTCCATTCCATAGGATGTCAAATAATGTTGCTGCATGTTTTCTTTTACTGTTATATTTTAAAATTAAAATCATACATTATAGTTTGATGTTAACAGAACTGGATTTTCAATGGTGAGCTTAACAGAGTACATCACAGCTCACCTGAAACTTACATAATGTTTTAATGCAATACTACAAAAATAAACTGTCTTTGATAAAGAAAATATACTGGTACAATTGTCAACTGAAGAAAAATTTGAGGAAAAGACTAATTCTGAAGTAATTTGATGGTCAAAAGGGAAATAATTTTAGTTAAAAAAAATAATTTGTGTGAGAGCCCAGGGGTGTGGCTGAGTGGCTGAGTGTGTGCCTGCAGTTGTGGGCCTTGGGTCTGACTCCCAGCACCACACCACACTGCTGAGTAACACCCACAATCCCTCTGGTGCAGTCCTCAGCCTGCAACAATAACACCACCACGAGTAAGAACAATGTGAGAGGACCATGATCTCCAAATGAAAACTCCCACTTAAAGGGACTTTCACTGGGATTTGAATGTGGTGCACATGTTTGGTACTCAGTGTGGAACATGCTACTGAATATTGGGATGGTCTCAACCAAGGCTCCAGGAAAAATGAACTCTTAATGCCCTTGGCAGCCACTCAATGTAAGGAATCAGCCAGCAAGTATGTGAACAGAGAAAACAGGGGCCCTCTGTGAAGAACTTAGAATCTTCCTGTGCTCTGATGTCAGATGAGAAACCCCAGCTGAGATGAGGATACTTAAGCAGCACTGGTTTCCCTGTCACCAGCAGTGCCAGGGAGAGGTCCACTTGGACATGTGAGAATGAGGACATCATATTTCCTAATGAGGCATCACTTAGGGTATCCAAGACGTGCCAGGCAAACTCATATCTGACAAAATCTCAAGGAAACAATGTTTACAAGGTTTATCATTTTTTATGTTTTAGTGACAAAGACGGAGGAAATCATCCAAGTGATCCATCATACAGCACTTCCAGCTCCAAAGAATACTGACTTACTTCAGGTGATAACACGCTACCATTTTTAAGTTTGTCATCCACACTGTCTCTTCGTTTTTGCAGTAGATCCCTTTCTTTCTGGAGGGCTTGAACTTCTTCTGCAATCTTTTTTTTCTCCTCAGCATTGCTGCTCTGAAGCTGTACATTCTTTTCAGATAACTCTTGGTCCAACAAGCTCAAGCGAGTTGATATTTTTAAACTATCTATGTTTAACGCCTAAAAGAAATACAACTAGTTAGAAATCCAGAGTGCGCAAAAGATAGGAAAAACATAGATTAATAAATGAATATACTTTTAATTTCTACATTATTGTTTTCTTCCCATGAAATTTTCTGAGGAGATGTGCAAGGAGGGGTGTTTTCGTTTTCTAAAATTATAAGAGTGATCTGAACTACCAAATATTTGGTATACTTTATCACAAGACATAGGTTTTGCTAAGTAGTATTTTTTTGTTGTTCTATTTTAAATTAAGCTTTGTCCACTGGCCTCTTCTCTAGTAGAATTAATCTGGTTACGAATTTCTAGAGGTTAAGATCTGTGGTTGTTTAAACATATAATTTGTTTCTATTTTATCTGGTCATTTATATGTGGCCAGTTTATATGGAGAACTTCATTAAATTAAATAGGGTTATTTTGTTGTTGTTGCTTCTTATGTAGGCCACATTTGGTAGTTAAGGGGCCACTGGGATCACATCATTTAGGCCAAGGGGAATGCCTTTGCAGTATCAGAGATCAACTTAGGACCTAACTACATGCCAGGCATGTGTTCTACTGTTGAGCTATCTCCCCTCCCCCTTCATTTTTAGATGATTTTATTTTTAGTACACTTTTTTCATTAAAAAATAATGGCTTTTGTATTCTACCATAAGCAAGTTTTATATGCATCGGGGTTTGTTTTGTTTTTTTTTCCTTTCATGCTGGGCTAGAGCGAAGTACAGTGGGTAGGGCATTTGCCTTACACCTGGTCAACCCGGGTTCAAACCCTGGCATCCCTTATGGTCCCCTGAGCACTTCCAGGAGTAATCCAGGAGTGCAAAGCCAGGTGTAACCCCTGAGCATCACTGGGCATGACCCCAAAAACAAACAAAAAGACCCTTGGGCTGGGGTGATAGCATAGTGAGTAAGGCAATAGCCTTGTATGCGGCCAACACGGGTTCAATTCCTCTGTCCCTTTCGGAGAGCCCAGCAAGCTACTGAGAGTATCCCACCTGCACAGCAGAGTCTGGCAAGCTCCCCGTGACATATTTGATATGCCAGAAACAGGAACAAGTCTCACAACGGAGACTTTACTGGTGTCCGCTCGAGCAAATTGATGAACAATGGGAGGACAGTGCTACAGTGCTTCCATGCCGGGAATTGAACCCAAGAGCATTTAAATCCCTGACTGACACACACTGCCCAACTCTGCAGTCCATTAGCTTCCCCTATCTATCCTCGCCCTTTCACTTTAAGTCTTGCTCCCTAGAAACAGCCACATTCAAGTCTTGTAGCCATTTCTTCTAATGTTTATGCCCAAGTTTCTTCGTAATTATTAATTTTAGGATTTGTCTACTGAATATTTTGGAAGATAAAAATTTAGCAGCTCTCTGTGCCTCCTTTTCTCTACTTCTCCTCCCAGTCTCTCAATATAGATTAGCTTGTCCTAAATTCTGTCCTAAATCAGTTTAAGTAACTGTGTTAGTCATGGCTGAGCTATCTATATAAAATAATCATACTTCTGATATCTTATAGTTTTTAATAGCTACATTTGTACCTGTAATTCTTCTCTAACAAAACTACAAAATTCCTCTCAAATTGGGTTATCTTTTTTCACTTTTCTTTTGGAAGTATTTTGCCTAGAGTCTCTATTCTCCTGCTCCAAACTGAACTACCTATTCAGGACTTCCCTTGTATAAGCCTGAGCATTTTCAGGTTGTATCATTCCCCACCGCCCTCCTCCCCACCCACCCCCCACCAGGAACCTGATCCTTTTTGTAGTTATATGTTATCATTTTTGTGGAGCATATCCTGGATTCACCTGCCAATTAAAATTTTTCCCATTTTCTTTTTTAATCTATTTCCTTTCTGGGGTATTTCCTCCATACTATTTTCACACTCCTTAACTTTCCAAGAATTCTTTCCTGCTTTTTTGGTTGTTTGTTTGTTTGTTTGGCTTTTGGGGTCACACCTGGCAATGCTCAGAGTTCACTCCTAGTTCTTCACTCAGGAATTTCTCCTGGCAGGTCTTGAGGGACCATATGGGATGCTGGCTATCAAACCCAGGTTGGCCGCGTGCAAGGCAAACGCTCTACCTGCTATTATCATTCCAGCCCAATCTTTCCTGTTTTAATAGCTGCTGTTCTTGTTTTATGAACAGAACATCACCTTTTATCACCTTAAGGATATAAAGGGTATCCTGAAGATCTTACACCTCCTTATTCTGTCGCTAATTTCTCCTAGCTTCTTTTCCCCTTTTGTTTCAGTCTTTGTCAAAGGCACTGCTGAAATATGTTAGTATTTGGTATCTAAAAGCTAATAATCATTCAACAATGTATGTAAACAAATCACCAAGTGTATGCCAGAAATGTAGTGAAGTATGTCAATTATTTCTAAATAAAATTGGGATAAACTATGTAAGTAAAATTTGTTATCTGGTAACTCGTCACTTAGTTGAGGGGCAAGATAAGTGTTTCCATGTCGTTTTTTAGAGGTTTAGATAATATAACAATGTCCTGTGAAAAGCATAAAAATTTGCTGCTAGCTCTCTCAGGTCCAAGTAGGGGCCAAGAAATAGATGTTGAGGATTCACCTGTAGATTTTTAAGTATTCTCTGTTTTGAGTACTTTTAATCAACCTGACCCTCTGTCGCACCTAGTTTAATACTGAGAAAAGCATGGTTTCCTGTATGCCCTATTTTCATCCTTATGCCTCACTCCTGCCTACCAAAAATCTTTACTACACCATTTAATTCTGTTCCATGCTCTATGTGAACTAACGATCTCATTCAGTTACCACTTAGGCTTAGAAAGCCAAAACAGAAATTTTGACTGCCATAGATATTGCATGGATTTTACCTACTTTGGCTTTACTAACTCAGTAACCCTCTTCTCTTTGCTTTCAGAAGCACAGAGCCAGGAGTAAGCCCTGGGCACAGCCAGGTGAGGCCCCCAAAACAAACATTTCCTCCTCATTCCTACTATACTCTCTCCAGTCCGCTGAGCTAAATTACACATGGTGTGAGATCGCTGTGAAAGGATCATTGTTACATTCTTTTGCAAGTAGTTTTCCCAACATCATTCATTATACAGCCTTTTCTTCCTTGACTTATGCTCATTATTAATTGTCCATATAAATGAGAGTTTTCCTCTGTGCCCTATTCTATTCCACTGGTCTAAAAGTCTGCTTTTATTCCAATACCACACTATTTTAACTGCAATATCTTTATCACATAGTCTAAAATTTGGTTTCTCCCATCTTTTTCTTCAGGATTGTTTTTACTTTCTGGGGCATTTTGTGATTACAAAGAAACTTTTGTATTATTTTTTCCGTGTCCTTGAAAAAAGCTACTGGAATTTTGATAACAAGACAAAGGCTTCCAAAAATATATTGAAAAACTGTGGTAAGTGTGGACATCCCTGTCTTGTACCTCTCAGGGGGAAGCTTTCAGCTTTTCACTGTGGGGCATGACTGTTAGCTGAGCTGGTCACATGTGCCCTTTACTGCGCTGAGATAAACTCCTTCTATCTCCTTTTTGTTGAATGTCTTCAACTTAAGTGGATATTAAATACTGTCAAAAGCTTTATTTGAGTCTGGTGATACAATTTGTATCTTTTATTGATGTAGTGTATGATAATAATCGATTTGCATATATTGAATTATCCTAGCATCCTTAAACCAAATCCTACCTGGTCACGATGTACAAGAATCAGAGACACTATCTCATTTGCTAATTCAGTAAATACATTATAACGATTGTGACTCGCAAATAAATCAAACAGCATGTTAAACAGACTACCTGACTAGATCTCAGCTTCTTATTTTCCAGGTGACTCTTCTCCTGTAACAAGGCTTCCTTCTTAGAAACTATGGCCTCCCGCTTCTTTAAATCTTCTTTCAGCTCCTCCAATTCTTGGCGTTGATTCAGAACTTTCTCCACTTCTTCATCTAACCATTTTTTTTGTTCGTCCAATTTCTACATTAAAATTCAAAAGCATTTGTTTTTCCTTCTGTGATAAAATATATATGGCAATAACAGAAATTCAGATTAGCTGAGATATGCTAATGAATAACATTCCTGTGTGAAACCATGAGGATGTATCATTACAGAACTGGGGTTACCAGAAGAGGGAGGAAGGGAAGAGCCACTGGACTGTGTCCAATAGTATTATTCCGGTGGTGGCTGCGGCAAGGCAAAACATTTTGAAGAAGCCTAAAATTGCGACCTTAAAAACATATACAGTATTGTAAATCTATGCCACATCAGAAAAAAAATAAACTTTTTTTAATGCAATAAGCAGTTCTAGTTAACCAGGGGCTGCAAGCTAGTACAGCATCTGGGAGTACCCATTCCCCTCCAAAAATGAGCAAACTTCTTTTAAAGGTACTTGTAGGATAAATTGGTTTGTCCATTCTGCCTTGTCACAAGGAGCTTAGGTTTATTGGGTTACTCCCATCACAGTGCTCTCATTCCCCTGTGTTTATTTGTAACTTCTTTCTTTGTGCTCTACTTCTCCAACCGGTGAATCACCTTTACCTCCTAACCAGACTCTGTTAACTTGTAAATATTGCTTTTCTCTTCTACTTAAGTCCTTAGCATAGTCAATTCAGAGCAATGTCCTTTTTGCACAGACACAGGAAGACAGTTAATATTATGCTTTTGTAACTTGGGAGTTAACTGACTCCAAATGATATTCACTCCTGGGCATCTGTTCTCTCTACTTAAGTGTCAGTTGCCCTTACTTCCTAGCATCCCAAAAGCAGGGTCCCAATGAGGGACTGGATGGACCCAGGGCAAGCAGTGAGATACCCTGGCATCAAAATGGGCCTGGCCAAAAAGCGCCATAATACTTAACTATAAGTTAAGAGCATGGTCATGGACAAATTCTGTCATGATCCAAAAAGAAACATCTAGATTAGGACCCTGCTAGGGTTAGGAAAGATTAATCTGACCTGAGCACTGTGGTCTGAGATCTATAGAGAGATGTCCCCAGGAGAGCCACCCTATAAGCTCAATGTATCTCTTACTGTTTCCATACAAAAAATATTAAGAAGTAGAAGATATTAATTAAGTTATTGGACTAAGGAGAAGAGGAACACTCCCAGGTGGTATTTCCACCCTTGAGTCTGATGGGCGATCAGAAAGGGCCTTCGATATGTTGATTGTGCTACCTGACTACTTGATGGGGTGTGGTGGCTACCCCCAATGTAGGGGTGCTGGGGAGACATGAGAGAGAGAGAGAGAGAGAGAGAGAGAGAGACGCGGCTGCGAGAGGGAGCATGGAAAGATGAGTGGAGAGAGAGGAGGAGATGGGAATGAGGGGCACTGTGAAACTAGAATGAGGGGAGGGGCTCAGAGAGACTGGGAAAGTGAGACTGGGGAGAATGGAATAAACAGCAACTGATCGCCAACCAGTCTGGCAGCCTCGGTTCCTCCTTCATCTGCCCGTGGCGCTGGCTATTCCCGATGGGTGAGCAGTTCGAGTCCACCGAACGCAGGCAGTGAGAGAGAGAGAGAGAGTGCCGTAGGGTCCCTAGCCTGCCAGAGATTACACAGGTACTATTCACTTATGATAGAGTATGGGATTTTTTAGACTGACAAAAAAAAATAACAGGTTTCTTCACATGGTTACTTCTGAGGTTAGGCCGGGAATCTTTTTCTTTGTGTGCATCTTCATCATAGCATTTACAATGCTGCTTATCCTAAGAGTTTGCCACCTCACTGAAACTCCTTCCCTCCCTCCCTGCTTTCCTTTTTCCCTCCCTCCTTTCCTCCCTTCCTTCCTTCTCTTCCTTCTCCCTTCCTTCCTTCCTCTCTCCTTTCCTACACCCCTATGTATTAAAATACATTTTAGAAATAAATCCTGATTCAGTCAATTAACCAGTGATCACACAACAGTCAATAACAAATGATGGAGCACACAATACACAACCTGCATTGCAGCGTGTCAACATTAATTATAAAATAAAGAGAACTGAAAAAGTCTCCAAATAAGCCTTGCAGTCTTAGTACTCTCAAATTATGTATACCCAAGCACAAATGAATGGACTGTGACAATCTGATAGCCTCTACCAAGCACAAATCCACACTGCAGAAACAGTAACAAAGTAATGCCACCAAAACAATAGGAAGCCACTATTAGTATTTTCTTACTAATGCAAGTAGTTTTCCTTCAAACTTAATAAAACCCAGTTCCTGGAAATCTCTATGAAATCTATAAGATGGTAACTGTACAAGGAAAAGAGAGCAGAGTGGCCAAGGCAAGCACACCCAGAGCTGCGCGATCTTCCACCCAGACCCAGGCAGGAAATGGCCTCAGGAGCACTAGCACACATACAAACAGTATCGAAGCCTAGGCTACTCTGGCAGAAAATTACAGTTAATATGATCTGGAAGGCGGTCCCAGATCAACTATGCACATCACGTTATACTTCAAAGATTTATACAAGAGACCTTATAAAGTCTATCAATTAACTTCAACAGATCTTTCAAAAATTCCTTGACTGTGACGTTTATAAGTAAGAGGTTATTTTTCCATTCTCCTTTCTTCTCACTGAAGGAAAACAGAAAAATATTAAAGCTGTTGACAATTTCTGTGTACAGCTAACACATAGATGCTATGTAAACAAGAAACGGAGGGTTTTATCTGGAATCTGAAAGATTTATCACTGCCCAGATAACAGAGTATGTAAGGGTTTAGTTGTGCTTTGAAAAATGTGTAGTAAATCTATTGATGTAAAACTTTAAATTTTCAGGCAAACAATAAAGGAAGGGGCTCCTCTGCACTTGGTATAAGAAAGATAAAGACTAACAGTGAAAGCCAGGAATGTGGTCACTGCAGAGGGCCTGCTCACATCCCGAGGTCCAATCCCTGGCACTCCAAACAAAATCAAAACCAAAAGCCTATTGTACTCATTTGGGCTAGAGCAATAGCACAGCGGGTAGGGCGTTTGCCTTGCACGCAGCCAATAAGGCCACCCCAAGTTCGATTCCTCCACCCCCCTTGAAGAGCCCAGTAAGCTACCGAGAGTATCTCGCCCGCTCGGCAGAGCCTGGCAAGCTATCTGTGACCTATTCGATATGCCAAACACAGTAACAAGAAGTCTCATGATGGCGACGTTACTGGGCCCACTCGAGCAAACCGATGAACAACGGAAGGACAGTGACAGTGATTGTATTAATTTAAAATATAGAACTTTAAAAAAATAAATAAATAAAATATATAACTTTGATTTTCCCTCAATAGATTATATTTAAGCCCTTCCTAATATATTAACTAAACCATTGAAGATGAACAACATCAGCCAAGAACCAAAGAAAGCCAATTAAGAAGCTCCCTATTTGCTCTCTTCAAGAAAATGTCTGAGCAATGGAGAATGAGAATTTAGAATATAGATAAGGACAAAGATCAAGAGTATGGAGACAAACCAAGTGAAGTTGTGGGTGATGACACTCAGTCTGAGATTCTTTCACTGACACACACTTTAACAACACGTGGGGCAGCAGCATCTTCCTACAAAGAACTGTCTTCTACTGTGCTGTTCTTTAGGAAATTAAGGATGTTGGCAATTGGGTTATGAATGCATCACCTTCATCAAAAATTCCTAGTTGTGCTGAGATGACACCCACAAATGGCCCCCGGCTACTTATTAAACCCCTTAACAGCCATGATCCCAGAGACATACAAACAAATCTTAACTGAGCAGCTCTTGGTAGAAATCTCTCCAGACCTTTATAAAATATTATCATTCCCCCTCCGCCCTCTCCTCTCTGGAAAGAAAGATGGCGGCTGCATGGGAGCCATGTGGACAGCAGGTATGAGCCGGGGGTGTGGGGGCGACTAAAACCTCATGGGAAGGGGGCCGTTGCGGCCCGTCCTTCATGCCCTACCGAGGTCACCAGTTGCCCCCCACGAGCGGCTCTCCAGCACGGCCATGGCCCCAGAAGCACAAGGACTTAATGCAGAACCCAGTAGCTTGGAGCAGAAAAGTGAATGGACTATGCGTTAAACCACGCCATCATGTGTGCCTGGAGGGGAAAGGGTGTTGCTCCCTTCCGCCCTCTCCCCTCTGGAAAGAAAGATGGCGGCTGCATGGGAGCCTTGTGGAGAGCAGGTACCATATTTGATAGGGTTCAAATATGGTTTGAACCATGGGAACACCTGCAAGGGCGAGTAGAGGCTGCCCTAAAAGCCTCTATCCCTCTTGAAGAGCATGGCAAGCTACCGAGAGTATCCCACCCACAGAGCAGAGCCTGGAAAGCTATCCATGGTGTATTCAATATGCCAAAACCAGTAATCAGCAATAGAAAACAAATTATCTAAAGATGCCTTCTTGGCAGGTCTGAATGTTGGGGGAAAATTCCAAATAATAATGATAGGTCTTGTGTCAAAAAATTGAATGTAATCAAAGTAGAGAGAGAATAAAGTGGAAATCATCTACCACACTGGCAGGGTGAGGCGTGGGGGGTTATACTGGGGTTTTCGGTGGTGGAAAATGTGCAATGGTGAAGGGATGGGTGTTTGATCATTGTATGACCGAGACTTAAACCTGAAAGCTTTGTAACTGTTCTCACAGTGATTCAATAAAAAAAAAAATCAAAAGGACACATGCACACCATTGTTAACTGCAGCACTTAGCACTATAGCTAGGATATGGAATCAACCTAGATGTCCAGCAACAGATGAGTGGATAATAAAAAGGTGGTATAGATGCACAATGGAATATTACACAGCTGCAAGGAATGATAAAAGTATGTAATTTCCTACAACTTGAATGGAACTGGAAAGTTGAGCAAAGTAAGTCAGAAGAAGCAAAACAAGTAGCAGATGAACTCACTTATCTGTGATATACAGAATTAAAGGACAAGGGAAAGCAAGGCAACAAAGGCTGATATCTAGATTGCCCTGGAACCTGGACTAGAGACCTAAGGATAGGGAGGAAAGAAACTGGAGTGGGTAGAGTAAGCAGAGGCAGATGGGAGGTACCAATGGCAGGAAGCAGGGGCAGGAGCGGAGAAGAGTTGTCATGTAACCATGCATCTGACCCATAGAACCAACAAAACTGAAAGCAGGAGATCCAAACTCCAATAAACTTAAAAAATGAACTTCTCAAGGAGGCATTCAGGGTATGGGGGTTGGGGTAGAAAAAGAGAGGCCTTAGTGGAGGGAAACTGACACTGGTGATGGGATAGGTTTGGGAACATTGGATACCTGAAACTGTGAGTAACTATAAATCATGGTGCCTAAATTTTTTTTTAAATTTTAAGTCCTCTATTTAGACAAACATCATATGAAAGAGAGACTAAGAAATACAAAACAGATTTGACAAACCTGGAGTTGGTCCGTATTTCCAAATGCATCTTTTCTCCTTTTCATCTTAAGTACATCAAAGTTCTCATCTTTATGTTTGAGAGTGTCCTGTTCTGCTTTTAACTTCAGTTCCTGTATAACAGAAGTAACAAAAATCAAAACACCTTATACTTCTGCTATCTGGACATTGTTAAACATTTAAACACATAATAATTTTCCTAATATTTACTTTCTTAGTTGTGAAAACTAAGAAAATGAGTAGACGAAGGATGAAGCAATTTGTGAGAAAAAATACTACTAGTCCCTTACCAATCAACCAATATCAGAGCAAAAATCATGCTTTACTAAAAAAAACAATTTTTGAAGGGCTGGGGAATCCAGCAGAAATTCAGACTGCACACATTCTGAACTGAAATCAAACCACCAACCCAAAACGGTTTCTTTCCTTCATTCTTTACAACTTAGGATAAAAGTAATTAAGAGTTTTAAAATTATTTGTGTGCTTTTCTCTTCTTTCTGAGCTCTTTACCTTCACAAGTTTGTCCAAAGTACCTCTGTATCATGAGGATATGAGAATTCATTACATTAGAAATGCAAACAAAGAATAATATTGTTTCTGATATTCCAAAAATCAGATCTTTGCAGCAAATGGAAAGCTTCAAAAGGCAGATGACAGTCGTCCAAACCCCTTCAGCTCCCATGCACAGCTTAAGTGTCGGAGGCCCAATGCTCATGACACCCTCTGGGGTTCAAAGATTTACTGCAGCCCACCACTCAACACACTCAACACTCCACAGTCTGGTGGAGAGACAACTTTGTAGGTTGAGTGTACACTTGGCATACAGGGGCTCGGGTTCAACACCTGGCACTGCAGAGTCCCCCATGCCCCAGGAGGATCAGGAAGCAAACCCCTGAACAATGAACTAGAAGTAGCCCCAAGCACAGTCAGGTGTGGCAACAAAATAAATAAATTTAATTAAAGATAAAGCTCAGCATGAATTAGAAAGGAGGCCATAAGTGAAAGTGGGCTGGTCTGCATACTTTCTCTTTCTGATCTATAAAAGGTAAAAAGTAAAGTAAAAGTAAAGGCCCTCCCGTTGATCGTCGATTTGCTCAAGCGGGCCCAGTAATGTCTCCATTGGAGACTTTGTTGTTACTTTGTTGTTACCGCTGTGCGGTAGGGCGTTCGCCTTACACGCGGCCAACATGGCCTACCTGAGTTCGATTCCTCCGCCCCTCTCGGAGAGCCTGGCAAGCTACCGAGAGTAACTCGCCCGCACGGCAGAGCCTGGCAAGCTCCCCGTGATGTATTCGATATGCCAAACACAGTAACAACAAAGTCTCCAATGGAGACATTACTGGGCCCGCTCGAGCAAATTGACGATCAACGGGAGGGCCTTTACTATAAAAGGTAAGCACAAAAATTTTAAGTGTTTAAAAAAATTTCACATAAATGTAACAGAATAATTTTATATCTGTTGAATCTCTATTTTAAATTCTATAATTTTTTGTTAGTGATGTTTTATAAATATATTGAACTGGACACTTAGCAATGAAATAGAAACTACCTTCTCCACAAGTTCCAGAAGTATTGACAGAAAGGAAGTAAAATGGGGGTTTGGGGGGGCATAGTACAGAAGGTACGGCTGGCCCAGGACCTATCCTCAGCACCACCACATTGATTGATTAGTAAGGGACTAATAGCATTTTTCCCCTAAATAGCTTAAGCCTTCATCTACTCATTTTCTTAGTTTCTACAACTAAAAAACTAAGATCGCTGAGCACAGCATCAGTAGGAAAACTTGCGTTCAACCAGGTGTGGCCTAAAAACAAAAAGACAAAAAAGGAAGTAAAAAGCTTACCATGTTCTGGCCCAGGAATGGCCGAGAGGAGGAAAAAGTCAGAAAGCTATACCCCAATTTTGATCTTACGTTTTGTCCAATAAAAGGGTAAATAAGTAACAGTACCAAAGACAGGACAGTGGCCCCAAAGACAAATTGACTATACAGATTTGTTGAAAGAGCTGAGCAGTATGTCTGAAAAGACTATTTGGGACTCCTCAAGCTTGGAAGTACGTTGATCCTGAGTTGTGAACCAATTTATCCTTGGGAGATGATTATAAAACTGAAGGCAAGATGAGTCGCTGGAGGTGAGGATGGAGTGCTGGAGAGATACTACTGTGGATAAATCATGGTTGACCCAGGTTCAATCCCCCAAAGCCCTTATGGTTCCCTGAGCTCACCATTAGGCATCACTGAAGGCAGAACCAGGAGTAAGTCCTGGAAATAACAGCTGGGTGTGCCCAACCTCCCCCCACCAAAAAAAAAAGTGATGGTCTAGAGAGAATACAGTGGGCAGGGCACCTTCCTTGCATATGGCCAACCCACGTTTGCTCGGTGGTATCCCATATGGTCCCCTGAACACCACTAGGAATAATTCCCAAGCACAGAGCAAGGAATAACCACTGTGCATCACCAGGTGTGATGCACAAACAACAACAAAAAAAAGATGAGTCACTGGGCTAACCCTCTAGGTAGGGTTTTTATATTGCCATCAGGGGACTTATATTGCCATCCTCAGAAGAAATAAATCTTAGTCCCTATGTGCTCTAAACTGGAAGCCAGACCAGAGTTAGGATTCTCCAAGTGCACCAGCCATGAGGGGCTATTATCAGAGGCCAGTAAGCAAAGTGGACAAGGAAGAGCACATTCCAGCCAGTCACACAAAGGGACCACTAAAACTCTGGAAATTTCTTCCATTTCTATATGATCCATAAAAGTTACACATCCAATCACCAGACACACTGGACTATTTATCTTAGAGAAACATGGGGAAGGAAAAGACTAAAGACTTAATAATTATTTTTTTAAACTAAAGAACATTTGTCTTTCACTAAGATTTTATCTTGTGGACATAACTGTGTCATCACCCACCCGCCACCCGATTCTGAAGAATGGTTAGTGAAGTGGACACAAATAGTTCGAAGGGCTGAAACCAACAATAACTGACAAAAAACAACCTCTGTTTAAAACATCATATTAATTTTTAAGTAAAAGAAGTGGGGAGGGGTTAGGAAGAGGGAAGGAGGGAATGGGGGTTTTCAGATTGAACAAGATTGTCATATTTCATTCAATACATTAAACCCTGGCTTAGATTGTACCAAATGGAAACAGGATTATTAAAATACAAAACATCCACTAGAGTTTGTTGTGCAGACCTATATTCCAAGTCTACCCCTGTCCCCCTAATGCTTCCAGCTCAACTATTTCCCGATCATCTGCTGGGCCTGCTGACAAAGAAGCAGGTAGATCTTGTCTTTAATCCAGTCTTTGTAGTAAGGCTGGTATGTCTGGGTATCAGCTCAGTAAAAAAGACAGTGGAGGTCTGCCAGATCATCAATAAAATCAAACTGACTGATATCATATGTAACAGAGGAGCTGCTGGGGTTCATTCTCTTCAGAAGTTCTTCGGACATTTCACAAACACCTTCATGCATTCATTCATAGACTCATAGGCAGCATAAGTTCTGCCTTCTGGCCTTTGGGGGGGCTGAACTGTAAAATGATATGAGACATGGCGCCAACACTTTCGATGCAGACCCTGCCAACGCCTCCTCCGCTCCTCCCCCACCTCCTCCGGCTTAATAATTCTTATACAAGAGAGCTTAGAAATCTTTAAAGAATGCTTAAATTACAAGAATATGGTTTGGGCAGACTGGACAGCAATTATGCATGAATGAAGTAGAGGAGTAAGTAGCAGGAGTAAGAGAAAGGGCAGTCATTAAGTCCAATTTTCACTGCAGTGAGGCTACAAAACAACCCAACTGCCTAATAACAGACGATTAGCTAAAAAATTGTGGCATATGGGATGGAATGATAGTATAGTGGGTATAGCACTTGCCTTGCATGCAGCCAATCAGGGTTTAATCCCCTGTACTACAAATGGTCCTGAGTCCCACCAGGAACAACTCCTGAGAGCAGAGTCAGGAGAAAGGCCTGAAAATCATAGGGTGTTGCCCCAAAACAACAACAGAAAAACTTTCAGAAGAACATTACATAAGGCTAATCAATAGATCAAGAGGGCTTAATTCTCTTTAACAAAGATGCACAACATGAAAGGGCAGTAAACTTTACAAAGGAACTTCTAAGAGATCACAGGAAACATCAATAGCAACACAAGAGTGGCTGGAGACTTCAACATGACACTCTCAGCACTAGGTAGATCAACCAGGCAAAACATCATAAAGAAGTAAATGCCCTAAATGAAACACTAGAAGAACTGGTTCTAGCAAATAGAAAATGAATGCATTCTTCTTTACTGCACATAGGACATTCTCCAGGATAAATAACACGCTGGGATACAACTTGACCATCCCACAAAACCAGAAGAACAGAAATCATACCACGTATCTTCTCAGACCACAGTCACAAAAGTAAAAACAAATCAAAAAATAAAATGGAGAAAAAAGATTAAGTATGTGGAAACTAAAAAACATGCTACCAAATAACTGGATCGGGCCAGAGACAGTACAGCAGGTAGGGCACTTACCTTGCACATGGTCAACCTGGGGTTTTGTTTTGTTTTGTTTTGTTTTTTTGGTTCTTTTTTTTTTTTGCTTTTTGCTTTCTGGTCACACCCAGCGATGCACAGGAGTTACTCTTTGCTCATGCACTCAGGAATTACTCCTGGTGGTGCTCAGGGGAAAGTTTCTAGCTATTCCAGTGCACACCAGGAAGAAAGGAAAGGCTGAAATCAATTATCTAAGCTCTCAGCTAAAAAAACTAGAAAAAGAAAACAAGTGAATTCCAAAGCAACTACAAGGCAGGAGAGAAAAAAAAAGATTGGAAATCAATAATACAGAAAACAAGAAAACAATACAGAAGAGATGAGTGAAATCAGAAGTAGTTCTTTGAAAGATTTAACAAGATTGACAAACCCTCGCAGCTGGTAAGGCATTACCATTGCTTTGTACTCTGCTGACTCAGGTTTGATTCCTCTGTCTCTCTTGGAGAGCCCGGCAAGCTACCGAGAGTATCCCGCCCACATGGCAAAGCCTGGCAAGCTCCCCACTGAGTATTCAATATGCCAAAAACAGTAACAAGTCTCATAATGGAGACGTTACTGGTGCCAACTCAAGCAAATTGATGAACAATGGGAGGATAGTGCTACAGTACTACAGACAAACCCTTAGCTATGAGAGAGAGTGGCGGACGCGGGGGGTGGGGGAGCAGAGGGAGACAGAGAACCGCCAGGCAGTGGAGGAGGAGAACAATGAAGACGTTTCCCCTTGGCCAAGTAGAGAGAGCTGGCGAGGTTCCCAAGAAGAGCAGCAGGGTTCAGCCAGAGGCACCTGAAGACCAAGGAGAGGCTCTGGGGGTTGGGGGTGGTCAAGTTGGGCCTCGGAAGTGTACACTAGAGTTCGGGCCAGCCTGAGTCAGGAGGGCTGACCTCTTAGTACCTATATTGCAAAACTATAACGCACAAAAGGGAGAGAAAGAAAGAAAAGAGCCTGCCATAGAGGCAGGTTGTGTGTATGTGTGCATGTGTGTCTGGGGTGGGGGTGGTGGTGATGGGAATGGTGGGAGGGAAATGGGGGACATTGGTGGTGGGAGAGGTACACTGGTGAAGGTATGGGTGTTGGATCATTGACTGAAATCCAATCATGAACAACTTTGTAATGGTCTATCTCAGGGATATTCAATAAAAAATTAAAAAATTCAACTCCAGCTGTATCACCCCACTGACAAATTCTGGATTTCCTGGAGTACATGGCCACATTCACAATATCTCAAAGTCTACAACTCTAATAAACTAGTAGTAGCACACCAAATTGGATGAGATATAATATAGAAGGCAACCAATCTTGATTAACCAAATACAAACACAGAAGACTTAATCTAAAACAACATTTTAGTAATCAAGTACTTAATGGCTTCTAGGTGAGATACAACAATCTTCACTAACTTTCTTCTAAGGAAATATTTTTGACCATTCTCTTAGCAAATTATTGATAACAAGCAATATTAAATAAATTATTGAGGGCTTGCTGTGGGGGCTGGCTTACGGGGTGCTTGGGAAAATTGAAGATAATGGTGGAGGGAAGGTGAAATGATGGTGAAACTGATGTTGGAATATTGAATACCTGTAACAAATCATCATGAACAACTCTGTAAACCACAAAGCTTATATAAAATGTAAGGGAGAAATCAAAAATCAAATTAACTTAAAAAAAGAAAGACCAAATCATGTCTCAACATAGATGGAGTCAGAGGAAATCATGATGAGTGAAGTCAGTCAAGATAAAAAAGGATAAATAATGATCTTTCTCATATGTGGAACTTAAAGATAAAGCAAGATAACAACAAAAGGGCAAAGGCAACATAATTGGATAAGTGATCCACAGAACTGAGTCTGCAGGTCTGAGAATGTTGAAAGGGAGGAATACTGGGGATGTGGGAAAGAGAAGACATTGGTGATGTATGCAGTGTTGGAGTTACAAATGAAATCATCATTAATAGTATTATAAATCACAGTACACCAGTAAAATTTATTTTTGAGGTTTCAAAGATAAACAAGCCTAATCCAAAACCCACTGACATCACATTACACTGGTGAATTGTATCTTTTCTTTGGGGGTAAGGGGCAGGTACAGTTGGCCTGAGCTGAGCTCAGTGCTTACTCCTGGCTCTGACTAAGGGGACCATATGTGGTGCTGGGGACAGAACCCAGGTCAGATGCATATGCAGGCAAGTGGCTTACCCTCTGTACTGTCGCTCCTATCCAGTGAACTGTATCTTAATGAAATACTTAAAAAAGATAAAGGCCCTCCCATTGATTGTCGATTTGCTCGAGCAGGCCCAGTAACATCTCCGTTGGAGACTTCGTTGTTACTGTGTTTGGCATATCCAATACGTCACGGGGAGCTTGCCAGGCTCTGCCGTGCGGGCGAGATACTCTCGGTAGCTTGCGGGCTCTCCGAGAGGGGCGGAGGAATCAAACTCGAGTCTGCCATGTTGGCCGCGTGTAAGGCAAATGCCCTACCGCTGTGCTATCGCTCCAGCCCCAATGAAATACTTAACAAACCCATTTAAAACTGTTGACTTAAGTGCTCCTTTGGAGGGAGGGGCTGGGATCACAGTCATGATTCTAGGAGTTCTTCCCAGCTCTGTGCTGCAGGGTCACACCCAGAAGTACTCAGTGCCAGAGATCAAACAAGGCATCACGTATGACAAGTACCATAAACCCTGAACCTTCTCTCTAGGAAATAATCAAGAATTTAGCATGGAGCATAAGTTAATGAGCATTTAAGGAGCTAAAGTCTGAGATTAGATTATATTCCCCACCCAAAGAAAACTAAAGAATTTCTAATTATATTAATTATGTTATTTGGTTTGAGTTTAGCATTAGTCTGGTACATAGTGTTAGATAATTGTAGTTACTATCGTTGCTATCATTATCATCCTATGTTTCAAAAAAGCCTTATAAAGGAAGTATGACTGAGACTATTTTAGGTAAAAATAGAATAGACAGGGTAAATGATTTTTCTTAATAAGTAATTCTGAGAACTGGAGCAATAGCACAGCGAGTAGGGTGTTTGCCTGGCATGCGACTGACCTGGGTTAAATTCCCAGCATCCAATATGGTCCCCTGAGCACCACCAGGAGTAATTCCTGAGTGTATGAGTCAGGAGTAACCCCTGTGCATCACCAGGTGTGACCCAAAAGAAAAAAAAGCAAATAAATAAATATAAATAAATAATTCTGTAAGGAACTGAACATTGGGATTTGAACCCCTGCTAGCCTGCCAAGCATCAGATTGACACACCTCCCAGTCCAACTCATTCTACAGCATACAGGTCCCTGGATTTTCTGCACACTCGGAATGAGAGGGTGCCATTTAATCTGTGCTTTTCTTTCATGCGGCCACACGGACAATGCATATCAAAGCACTTTAAATATGGGAGATAAAACTCAAATTATCTTTTATTTAGAAAGTTAGGGGCTGGAGCGATAGCACAGCAGTAAGGTGTTTGCCTTGCACGCAGCCAACATGGCCGACCCGAGTTCGATTCCTCTGCCCCCCTTGGAGAGCCCGGCAAGCTACCGAGAGTATCTCACCCGCACAGCAAAGCCTGGCAAGCTCCCCGTGACGTATTCGATATGCCAGACACAGTAACAACAAAGTCTCCAATGGAGACATTACTGGGCCCGCTCGAGCAAATCGACGAACAACGGGAGGGCCTTTACCTTTACCTTAGAAAGTTAGTTTTATCTTACTTAAGTTTTTGACTTAAGTATCTGAAATTAAAGCATCAGATAGAGAAATTGGATCATCACTTACGGACAAAACCTTACAGATATTACTCAGGCCACCACAGCCTTGTCTAGTGATGAGGACAGCGGCCAAGGAGAAGCCGAGACTGCTCCTTTCAAAAGCCAAATGGGCCAAGATCCTGGAATCCATCACCTCAGAGCCACTTAACGTTTCGTATTATGCTAAGCAAAGAAGTATGACATTACTTTGATTTTTTGTTGATCCCGTTTAATTTCTGCATCCAGTTGCTGCTTCTTTTCACTTTCTTCTTGGAGTCTTTTTTGTAGCTGTACCTTTTGATATTTCATGTGATCTATATTTTGTTCCAATTCATTGGCACGTTTTTCATTTTGAATTGACAGTGATGCCAATTTCTTACTACTTTGTTGCTTCTTCTGTAAGACCTGTAGTCAAATGAAACATTTCAAAGTAAAAACTGCATCTCACTAGCTTCAAATAAACACCTCTTACATTCAATGGCAAGCATGAGTATTTTGCAGTTTTTTTTGATTGGGTCACTGTTATATTATACATTTTTTTGCATGCACGTGTAGAAACCCATTTTTTTCTATGCAGTTCTGTAGAAAACATTTACGCTTGTAACTGGGCAATCATCCTACTTTTCACCAGATAAAAACAATGATGAGACTTCCTGATACCAGATAACCAAAAAGAATAAATGTGATGTCTTATGTATATATGTAATGGGAACCAGGCCAGATATATATATATATATATTTATTTAGAAGTGTTTCACTTTTCCAAGTTTTCTTTATAGTGTTATGCTTATTTTCATTCTGTTCTTTTCCCCACCCCACCCCCATTCTGTCTGGTACTTAGAACTGTAGTGTCTTCATCGTTAATTAAAGAAAATTGTCTAAATGAAAAAAAATATTTTTAGTCACTATAATTTACAATACTGTTAATTGTAGGGTTTCGTGCATCCAGCTAATATCACACTCAATAGTGAATACCTGAAAGATGTGTGCGTTAAGATCAGCACAAGTCTTAAGCACTGCCAGGGGTGGTTAAAAAACAAAAGGTTTTAAGTACTAGAAGTGCAACATAGTAGAACAGCATATGCTGGGTACTTGAGAATTCCTGGGTTCAATTTATGATATCCAAAAAAAAAATCAATTTTAACTTCTAAAATTGAAATCACTTCATTACACTAATTAAAATACTCTGCCCCCATGCTAGGCTGTCTACACCGGGGCCCCTCAGAGGGGGACGGGTAGAGTCTCCCTCCCTGCCCCAAGGAGAGCCCCAGCAGCCAAAAACCTCCAGAATGCAGCTTGGGTCAGAACTGGGCCTCCTCCACCCAGATCCCCCATTTTCCAGTAACTTGGCAGTCACGCCCACAAACTGCCTCTGGTGCCATGTAATCTCATCAACGGCCAAGAGAGTATAAAACAAAGCTCCTGGCATGACCTCTGGTACATCAGTCTAGCCCAATGATGTACCTAAAGCAGCATGCATGTGTTTGATTTTAACATACTTGCCTGTATTCTCTTATATATGGGCTTAACCTCTATCCCTCTCAGAGAGTCCGGCAAGCTTCCAAGAGTATCCCACCCGCACGGCAGAGCCTGGCAAGCTCCCAGTGGCGTTTTCGATATGCCAAAAACAGTAACAATAATGGGCCTCATTCCCCTGACCCTGAAAGAGCCTCCAATACAGCAGCATTGGGAAGGACAAGTAAGGAGAGGCTGCTAAAATCTCAGAGCTGGGATGAATAGAGATGTTACTGGCACCCGATCAAGCAAATCAATGAACCATGGAGACGACAGTGATACAGATAATTAAAATACTAGCATTTCAATATTTTCTAACATATTGACAAGTAGTACAGAGATCACACTTGGTGTATTTCTAAATAAGTTTTTTCCTTTCTCAATCTTCATTTACTAATTTTAAAAATAGGGTTAAAGTACCCACACTTGGGAAAAGTAGTAATAGAAGAACAGTGGTGGAGGGTCCTGGGCACACTGGTGGAGGCTAGTAACTGCATTTACATCAAAAGCCATAAACAGGGGCCAGATAGGATAGCAGGAAAGCAGTTTGCCTTGCATGCTGCCAACCCGAGTTCAATCCCCAGCAATCCATATGGGATCCTGAGTGCAGAGCCAGGAGTAAGTTCTGAGAACTGCCAGGTATGACCCAAAAACAAAACAACAACCAAAAAAGCCATAAACATTAACACTGTTGTAACCATGTTGCCTAAACCACAATTTTTAAAAAGGTGACCCTCACTTCAAATAAATAATGCACATAAAAACCTTGTTATGTAGGGGCTGGAACAACAACACAGTGGGTAGGGTGTTTGCCTTGCACGGGCTGACCCAGGTTCGATTCCCAGTATCCCTTATGGTCCCCTGAGCACCTCCAGGAGTAATTCCTGAGTACAGAGCCAGGAAGAACCCCTGAGCATCACTGGGTGTGACCAAAAAGAGAACAAAAAAACCCTTGCTATATATATACATTGTATATACTGATGTATGTTATAAACATCAATGAGGCCTATTGTCCCTGTTTATCTGCTATGTCTTTCATTTACATTCCCAAGGGCATAGATATGTCAAAAGCACAGAAGTATCTTTAAATGCATGTGAAGACTGTGTCTCTCCTTTGATGTCTGAAATGTATCTGCTGGGCTTATTTAAGATGTGTCTTCTTTTTCACGTTATCAGTACTCTTAGAAAACAAGGATGTGCAGGAGGAAATCCAGAAAACTGCACAGTGAATGCCCAAGTGTGCATTCTTTTGACTAGACTAGTCTATTCTTTCCCTCTGCACTATATCCTTTGAACATCATATTCAGAAAGCCAGCTCATTTAAAAAAAAATAAAGACAAAAGAAAAAGCAAGAACAAGACAATTCACAAACTATAATCCTTTAGTCTTGTACTCGCAATCATTTTAGTGCAAAATACAGAAAGTGTAAAAATCTTTGTTAAATTTACACACACACACAAAAAAAATTACAAACAAGACTTAAACTATAGGAGCTGGAACAATAGCACAGAGGATAGGGCATTCGCCTTGCACGTGGCCGACCTGGGTTTGATTCCCAGCATCCCATATGGTCCCCCAAGCACCACCAGGAGTAATTCCTGAGTGTATGAACCAGGAGTAGCCCCTGACCATCGCCAGGTGTCACTTAAAAAAGCAAAAATAATAAAAGTAGTAGTAGTAAAGGCCCTCCCGTTGATCATCGATTTGCTCGAGCGGGTCCAGTAACATCTCCATTGGAGACTTTGTTGTTACTGTGTCTGGCATATCGAATACTCTCGGTAGCTTGCCGGGCTCTCCGAGAGGGGCGGAGGAATCGAACTCGGGTCGGCCATCTTGGCCGCTTGTAAGGCGAACGCCCTACCGCTGTGCTATATAAATAAAAATAAATAAAAGTAATATACTTGGATAAAGAAATATAGTCACTGTCACTGTCCTCCCGTTGTTCATAGATTTGCTCGAGTGGGCCCACTAACACTGTGAGATTTGTCACTGTGTTTGGCATATCGAATACATCACTGGTAGGTTGCCAGGCTTTCCCATGCAGGCGAGATACTCTCGGAAGCTTGCAGGGCTCTCCGAGAGAGGCAGAGGAATCGAACTCTGGTTGGCCATGTCGGCCCTGTGCAAAGCAAATGCCCTATCCGCTATGCTATCACTCCAGCCCACCTTAAATACTATGTAAGTCTATCAGCACACTGAAAAGCAGCCATGCATTTTCTCTTACTGGTAGAAAAAAAACACATGGAATTATATGTTTTTAATAGTGAAGTATATCAAAAGCAGAACGTCTTAGAATATTTTTCCCAATTACATGTAAAACATTACCTGGACTCGAAGCTTTGCGGCATCCATTTTTCTACGGAACTCCTTCTGCAATTTTACCTTCAAAGCAACATCAGCAAGATCTTTACTTTCCAGTTCTTGTAACTGCTTTTGTGTTTCAGACAATTCCACTTTCGCCTGTTCTGCTTCATGCTCAAGTTTTGTTACTTTCAGAGAATATTGTTTGCTTACAGACGTCACATCATTACCTTCACCATAAAAATAACAGTAGTAGTAACAGGTTTTTAAAGTGTGAAAGCAGAAATTAAAAACAACATCAGAAACATAAAAATACTCTTAAAACTTCAGTCAGGTAATATAACTAAAGCCCTGCATTACGAAGCCATGGGAGTGGGTTGAGGAGGTGCTCCAGCACAGGCGCAGATCCAGTTCAGTTCCCAGCACCACAGGGTCCTTAGCGCATCCCCAGTAGCAACCCTGAAGAGTCCCACTACCACCAGGGTGGTCTGGAGATGCCGGAACCAGGCAGAGAAACCTCCCTCCCAGCTCACACTGAACTGACAGCTGGTTTGCAAAGAAATCGCTGGTGGGACCCCCAAACTGAGCACTTCTTGAAGGCCCCTAAAGGAAAGAGACGTTCCAAAAAATCCATCTCTGCCTACTCATCCCCATCAAATACAACTTTTTACAGTCCTCTGAATCATTAATTCCTATTGATTACCCCCATCTGTTACCACTCAATCTTCCCACTGGCTCATCTTTTGTGTGTTAGTGTGGTTTTTGTTTGCCCCCTTCAGTTTTGGTGGTCTCAAGATGGCTCCCAGCAGTGCCTGAGGCGATGCAGTGCCCAGACTCAACCCAGGACCCGGGCAACAAACTGGAGCTCCAGTCTTTGAGGTAGGAGCTCTCTCCTGGCCCAAGACCTTTCTTAAAGAATCTTTACATTAACTGCTCAACATACCAATATTTTATGAACCACTAAGAAACACAAACACAAACACACACACATACACACACATACACACACACACACACAAACACACACACACCCTGATAATGTCACTGACTATAAGATGTAATCCAATTGTGCAGCTATTAAAATAGGAAAGGAGGTTAATATTAGAACTGTTGTTTGTTATTATTAACTAATCGATTGCTCTTTGTGAGAAGTCTTCAGTGAGAGAATTTTGAAAACCAAGCATACTTTCACTATAACTATCTCCAAGAGACTGTAGGAAAGTTTCAAACTGTTATTAGTCCAATGAGTAAGAGAACCTTCTCTTTATAAGTTCCAGAACTTAATAAACCAACCAGGATGTGTTTCCTAAAAAAATCTATAAACATGTTTGTTTAGACATCCTGTGCTAGAATAACTAATGCATTCTGAAAGAAAGTAAGTGAAATCCAGGGAGGTGGCCAGAGGGCTAGAGTGTAGGCTTTGAATGTAGGAGTCGTGAGTTTGACCCCTGGTACTACATGGTCCCCAAGCATCATCAGGAATGACCCCGGACCCAGAGCACTGTTGGATGTGACTCAAAAAAAAAAGCACTAAAATAATAAAAATCTATTCCAGGCAATGAAATATTTCTACAATCAGTTCCTTGAAATCCAAAGACTTGAGAAGCAATTTAAACTAAATCAGGGGCCAGAGCAATGTACAGCAGGTAGAGTATTTGCCTTGAATGCAGCCAACTGGGGCTTGATCCCTATGGTCCACCCCATATGGTCTCCTGAACACTTTCAGGAATGATCCCTGAGCGCAAAGCCAGGCCATACAGAGCCCCAAAATGAACAAGTCAAAAACAAACAAACAAAACTCTCCTGAATCAGTTCTTATACTTCTCTAAAAAAGTACCACTGGCACAGACCTTGACTGTGAGTAAAGAATACGGTAAGATTCTAAATCTGGAATGACAAGGATGGCACGCAGCATCGAGACCTCTCTGAGGAGGGAGGTGCGGCTCTGGGAGATCAAGGGCCACTCAGCAGAGGAAAGAAGGCTGGGAGAAGGCTGACAGCTAGACAGCGGGTTGGGAAGGGAAGAACATGATGGACTAAAGGACTTGGAACCTCCATTATTCACGTAATCTGGGTGTAATTAAATCCTTGACTTAAAGGAAAGGAAGCTATTTTGCCTTCAGTTCTGTGACCAGAATTGTTTTCAATTGGAGTTGAGGAAAAGGAACTCCAGTATCTTTTATTCCTTCAATTACTTCCCTGATTTCAAAGCAATCAAAGCTAAATAAAGCAATCACACTTCATACAAACTTGGGGAGGGGAGTAATTAAAAAGCCTAATAAGGCAAGTTCAACATAGCTGAGGGGAGAAATATAATATGCCCAAACTAGCAAAGCTTGAGAATAAAGGGAAGTGCTACAGCTTGGCTCACTTAAAAGAATAGCTCTCATAGAGTGATAGAGCAGCAGGTCAGGTGCTTGCCTTGCATGCTGCCAGCCCAGCTTTGATCCCTGGCACCCCTTATGGTGTCCCAGTACTGCCAGAAGTGATCCCTGAGTGAAGAGCCAACAGTAACCCCTGACCATCGCAGAATGTGGCCCACCCTCCTCCAAAAAAGAATAAGTCTCAAGAATAAATACAATAATAAATACTATATATCTTTAGAAAAATATAAAAAACTTAAATTTTAAAGTTTATAATTAATTTTTAAAATAAAATTTATCTTGAAAATAAATATGATTGAAAATAAACACTTAAGTGACTTTAAAGCAACTCAGATATCTTCCCAGATGGAATCTTTCAATGTGCACAAATATTGTACCATAGAGATTTAGCACAACAGAGAGCTCACACTGGTTAGAATATTTTAGACAATGAAATTCCAATACAACAAAGTTTCTGGGAAACTAACATCTATGTATCAGTTCTAAAGCACATCATTTTATACCAAACTCCATACTAGAGTGAACTGTCCTGAACAGCAAAACTATGGCAAACATTATAACATCAGAAGCAATTTTATAAGCTTTTTCTTATAAAACCTGGTTCACAGGATACTATTACCTGTTTTTATTAATTCTTTAATCAGATCCTCTTTCATCTTGATGTCAATTGTAAGTTCTCTCATTTTTTGTTTAGCTTCAGTAAGCATCAGTTCTGAGTTCCTTAACTTTTGCATATTTAACTCTTGACTCTCCCGCAGACAGTCGATCTTTAAGTCTTTAAAAAAAAAAAACAAGCAATGAGCATGTCTATGCAAATTTCTTTAACCTAGAAGAAATGGGCAAATTTTTAGAATCATACAACCTACCAAAAGTCTCTATGAGGAAGAAAATAAGAAAAAAAAAGGTTATCATTCAGTTGTAAAGTGCTTGTTTCGCAGGGTGCAGGTTGGAGGAACCCGTTTTGGTTTCCTGGTGCCACTGGGAGTGACTCCAGAGTACAGTAAGGAGGGGAGGGCAAGAGGGAAGGGGAGGGAAGTGAGGGGAAATAGAATGTCTAACAGACCAATCACAAGTATTTTGTTTTATTTAGAAATAAAAAGAGTAATCAAAAGTATCCCTAAGAACAAAGTGCTAAACTAGATGGTATCACCATTAATTCTAAAAAATTTTCCAAGACACATATAGCTCAAACTCTTCCAAAAAGCTGGAAAAGAGGAAATATTTAAAAATGCATGTAATAATGTCATACCACTTTAATTCACAGTCAGAAAAAGTAAAGTACAAAAGAAGGAAGACTATAGACCTCTGATACATATATAAACTATAGATATATGAAGAATATATATGTGAAATTCCTCAACAAAATCTTATTATGAAACCAAATAGGATTTATCCAGGGAAAGCAGAGAAAACTGAATTTATGTAAATCAATGTAACACACCACAGCAACAAAAACAGTCACGGTCGCGGTCCTCCCGTTGTTCATCGATTTGCTCGAGCGGGCCCAGTAACGTCTCCATCATGAGACTTATTGTTACTGTGTTTGGCATATTGAATACGTCACGGGCAGCTTGCCAGGCTCTGTCATGTGGGCGAGATATTCTTGGTAGCTTGCTGGGCTCTCCAAGAGGGGTGGAAGAATCGAACTCGGGTCGGCCATGTTGGCCGCTTGTAAGGCAAATGCCCTACCACTGTGCTGGGAACATAAAGTAACAAAATAGGAGACTAACACCCAAGAATAGCCAAGATAAGTACCAGGAGGTTTACTCCATGGCTTGGAGGCCAGCCGCACCTGCTAGGGGAAAAGGCAGCTCAGATAGAGAAGGGAGCACCAAATAAAGGGTGTTGGGAGGATCCCCCCAGGATGGGAGATGCGTGATGAGAGTAGACTATAGACCGGACCTGATTGCCACTCAATGCCTCTTTTTCAAACCACAGCACCCAAAAGGAGAGAGAGAACAAAAGGGAATGTCCTGCCACAGAGGCAGGGTGGATGGGGGAATGGGGGTTGGGAGGGATACTGGGATCCGTGGTGGTGCAGAATGGGCACTGGTGGAGGGATGGGTATTCGATCATTGCATAACTGAAACCCAAGCACAAAAATCTGTAAGTCTACAACTGAACCTCATAGTGTTTCACTAATAAAAATTTAAAAAATATATTAGAAATAAAATCCAACGACTCATCAAAAAAGATCATCCACCATGATCAAGTGGAATTCATCCCGGGGAATAAAAACCATATGATCATAGATGCAGAGAAAGCATCTGACAAGATCCAGCACCAGTTTATGAGGAAAACTCTCACCAAATAGAAAATGAAGTTCCTCAATGTAGACAAAGCCATCTACCACAAGCCAATGTCAAGTACTTTCTCAATGGGAAAAACTAAAAGTCTTCCCTTTAAACTCAGGCACAAGACGAGGATGCCCACTCTCACCACTTCTGTTCAATATAGTATTGGAAGTACTTGCAAAAGAGTTTAGTCAAGAAAAAGATGTTAAGGACATGCAAATAGGAAAGGAAGAAATCAAGCTCTCATCACTTGCAGATAACATAATATACTTAAAGAACCCTAAGTCCTCTACCAAGAAGCTCCTAGAAACAATAGACTTGTATAGTAAAGTTGAAGGCTATAAAACCAATATCCAAAAGTCCATGGCTTTCCTATATGCAAATAATGTGAGAAGAAAGTGACATGAAAAAGCAATCCCATTTACAATCATGCCTCAGAAAATCAAGTACCTTGGAATCAGTTTAACTAAGGAGGTAAAGGACCTGTACAAAGAGAACTACAAAACACTACTTCAAAAAATAAAAGAGGACAAAAGGAAATGGAGACACATCCCCTGCTCATGGATTGGAAGAATTAACACTGTCAAAATAACAATAGTCTGCCTTCTCCAGATGGAATCCTGGCAACCATGAGCTTCTACAAGCATGGCTCTGGTATGTGGCTACGAGGATGATCCCTCTGAACCACCTGGGGGCAGTGGAACTGGGCTGTTCCACCCCGCTTCCAGTACACCCCTGATCCCGGATGTCACGTCCTCAACCCACCCCAACCTACAGTAAGTACGGTGTCATCTTGCTGTACTCAGCAGTGAAGGAACCCAGTGGGCACCACAACACCAGAGAATTCTCCAGGCCCCGTACCAAGCCGATATCACCAGGGTGCCCAGATGGACCAGGTGCAGTCTCCCTGCCTTCTCTAGATGGAATTCCGGTGACCATGAGCTTCTACAAGCATGGCTCCAGTATGTGGCTACCAGCACAATTTCTCCAAAACGCGTGGCCTTTCCTGATATAAAAGTGAGCAACAGAAAATAAATGATCTAGTGTCTGCCCGTTCAAGACAGGCTTGAACTTCAGATGGTGGGAATATCCAAGCAAAATGCCCAAAATTATAGAAAGAATATCTGAACAATTGTCTGCTGTAGAGGCAGGGTAAGGACTGAGATAGAAATAGAGGGAATAATAGGGATATTAGTGGTGGAAAGTTTGTACTGGTGGAGGGATGGGTGATCAATTATTGTATAGCTGAATATCAAACATGAAAGCTTTGTAACTATCTCATGGTGGCTCAATAAAAAAATTTTTTAAATAAATAAATAATAATTATCCCCAACGCATTATAAAGATTTAATGCCATCCCTTATTGAAAGGTAACCATGACATTCTTCAAAGAAATTGATCAAACACTTCTGAAATTCATATGGAACAACAAGTCCCCATAAATAGCTAAAGCAATTCTTGGGGGGAAAAATGGGAGTCATCACCTTTCCCAACCTCAAACTCTACTACAAAGCAGTAATAATTAAAACAGTATGTTATTGGAACAAAGACAGATCTGTAGGCCAATGGAACAGGGTTGAATATCCTTACACATACCCTCAAATATATGATCATCTAATCTTTGATAAGGGAGCAAGAAATATAAAGTGGAGCAAGGAACGCTTCTTTAACAAACGGTATTGGCAAACTGGACAGCTACATGCATAAAAAATGGACTCAGACCTCTACCTAACACCATGCCCAGAAGTCAGATAGAAATGGATTAAAGACCTCACATCAGACCAGATTTCACAAGGTACACTGAAGAAAAGGTTGGCAAAACCCTCCATGATATTGAAGCTAAAGATATCTTCAAAGACAAAATGACATTGACCAGGCAAGTGGAAACCAAGATAAACAAATGGGACTATCTTACACTAAGAACCTTTTGCTTCTCAAAAGAGTGACCAGAATCCAAAGACAGTCTACAGAATGAGAAAAGACATTCACCCAATACCCATCTGATAAGGGGTTGATATCAAGGATATACAAGGAACTGGTTGAACTCTAGAGGAAAACATCCAATCTCACCAGAAAATGGGGCAATGAGATGAACAGAAACTTTCTCAAAGAAGAAATCCGAATGGCCAAAAGGCACATGAAAAAAATGTTCATAATGGGACTAACACCCAAGGATAGTAGAGATAAAGACCAGGAGGATTGCTCCACGGCTTGGAAGCTGGCCTCACATTCTGGAGGGAAAGGCGTCTGAGATAGAGAAGGAACCACCACGTAAAGGATGCTTGGAGGGTCTGCTCGTGATGGAAGATGTGTGCTGAAAGTAGACTATAGACTGAACATGATGGCCACTTAGTACCTGTATTGCAAACCATAACATCCAAAAGGAGATAGAGATTAAAAAGGAATGTGCCTGCCAAAGAGCCAGCGGGGAGCCAGCAGGAGGGAAGAGGTAGGGGGTGGTGGGAGGGATACTGGAAACATTGGTGATGGAGAATGGGCACTGGTGGAGGGATGGGTATTCAATCATTGTATGACTGAAACAATCCAGAAAATTTTTAAGTCTGTAACTGTATCTCTCAGTTATTCATTAAAACATAACCAAAAAATAAAAAAATTAAAAAATATTTCTGAGCAATTATTCACAGCTAAATATGTTAAGTGCTGAATCAAATAAAAATCACACAAAACATTGTGTGGAAAAATAAAGAAGAAGAAGAAGAACTCAGTTATCCGGGGTTTGTGAGTGAACCCTCCGTGCTTTTATGGAGTTGAAGATAGGCTACCTCCCCCCATCTTTCTGCTCTCTGGGAACCTGGCAGTCATGCCCATGAACTAGCTCTGGCACCAATTAAACTCATTAACCAGCCATGGTCCAGGGATTCATAAAGAAATCTTTGAAAGAGATCATCAACAAACTGCACAGATGCTTCTGAACCCCAAACCATCCAGTTAAAATTTTAGCTCCACTGTGGGACACACAGGTGGATTACTCCCAGTCCTGTGCTCAGGAATCACTCCTGGTGGTACTCGAAGAACAATATGGGGTGCTGGGAATCAAACCAGTGTTTCTGGCATGCAAGGAAAGCATCTACAAACCTGTACTACAATCTCTCTGGCCTCCAAAAGCTGGTGTTTAAGTAAAAAAAAAGTTTATTTAAAAAATCATTACAATTTTCTGAAATAGAAAATGAAAACCTCAATGTTATATACAAAAAAAAATTAACTCCAGCTGTATCACCCCATTCAAAAGTTTAGAATTCCTAGAGCATGTGGCCACATTTGCGGCTGCACAACATCTCAAAGTCTACACCACTGATATACCAGGATTCTTACACAACATCGGATGGGATATAAAGTAGAAAGCAAGCAATCTCAATAAAGAAAATATTACACACAAGGATTAACCTATAACAACATGTTATTATATTTTATACAAGAGCTTAATGGCTCTGTGGTGAGATACAATAATCTTCACAGTTTTTTTAAGAAAATCTTTTTTGACCATTTTAATTATTCAAATTAAGCAATACAAAATTTAGGGCCTGCAATAGGGGCAGTCTTGAGTGGTGGTTGGGAAAATTGGGAATATTGGTGATGGGAAGGTACAATGGTGGTGGGACTGGAGTGGAATACTGAATGTAAATAATCAATAACAACTTTATAAAAATAAATAATTTTTTAAATGTCTAAAATTCAACTATGATTAACTTTGCAAATCACTGTATTTTAATAAAATTTTAAAAGTATATATATAGCCTTTAAAAAACAAAAAAATTGCCCTCCTAGAGCTGGAGATGTAACTCAGTGGTAAAACACTTGCCTTCCACTTGTGAGGCTCTGTTTAATCTTAGGATCACAAAATAAAATATCCTATTATAATAGTTTTCACAACATAAACTTTTTTGGGGGGATGGCCACACCTGGCTGTGCTGTCAGGGCTCATTCGTTGGCAGTGCTCAGGGGGCTATATGGAGTGCCGGGAATTGAACCTGAGGGGGCCGCATGCAAAGTAAGCACCCTATCCACTGTACTATCACTCTGGCCCAACATAAACCATTTTGAAACTGCAACTAGATGCACAAAAATTCTCCTCAGCAGAGGAATAGCCCCAGGGGAGGAGGTGCATACTCAGCATTCAGGAGACCTGGGCTGGACCCCTGGTGCTGCCTGATCCCCAGCACTGCTTGGGGCACCCCCAAGCATTGAGTCAGGAGAGGCCCCAGAGAACTGTTGGTTGGAGCCCCAAAACAAACAAAACTGATCAATTGTGTACTGGAACATGATGGCAACCTGGTAGACTAATGTGACTCTATGCCAAGCATGCCACAAAGGGTGGCCACATGCACCAGTGACACAGTGACACAGCAAGCCACTAACTATAGGAGACATATTGTAAAGTCACCACTATACAATGCATATTCACTCAGGTTGGAATATAAATCTCCTTTTATGGATATTTAGATACAGAGCCCATAACATGGTCCTGAATTTATCTTCAGAAATGAATTTTACTAACTTTTCTTAGTTTGAGGTTTGAGGCTCTTCATGTTCCCAGAGCGAACAGATGCCATTGGGCTCCACTAGCACGCGACAGGGACAAATGGAGACGTTACTGGCGCCCGCTCGAGCAAATCGACAACTAATGGGAAGTTAAGTGATTAAGTGATTAAGTATACAATGAAATTAAAGGAAATGCTACCAACCAGGAAAGCACTCCTAACAAGATCCCATCTCTGAGAACTCCTAAATGCTTGTTAAATTATCTGCTGAAGAAAGAGAAGTGTCTTGTGAAGATTAGTAGTCTAAATTACTTGAGAAAATCTGCGTACCTTCATTCCCCAAACTTGACTTTTGTGTTTCATCCTGAATATTGTTCAGTTCAACAAGAGAACAAACAGAGCCTGGTTTTTGATCCCATGAGCGACTTGTAGGCCTAAAAAGAAAAAATAAGTCAGGATTCAACGGTAGCTTGTCTAGTTGGTCTTTTCTAGTCTGTTCTCAAGTGTCAAAAATTCCTTAAAACTTATGAATTCTACAAGATAAGCAAATTTTGTAATATTATTCAAAATAAAAGGCTAGGTCCCAGTAGACCATAGAAAGTTGTCTGTTGACACTGTGGAAATCCAAAACCGTTCTCTCTGAAAACTAAATCCAAGAAACCTAAAAGCTCTAAAGCCAATTATTTTTTTTTTCATCTAAGATTGACAACTTGCATTCAAATACTTGTTTCATTACGTGCAAATAAGGAAGTTCAATTAGCAAAATCTACCTATGCTATTTAATGTAAAAAATACCCTTTAGGGTTGGGAATGTGGCTCCACGGCAGGGTACTTGCTCTGCATGTGAGAGGCTCCGAGTTTGATTTCCCGCAGCACATGGGCCCCTGAATACTGCCAGGAGTGATCGCTAAGCACTAAGCTAAGAGCAGACCTGAGCACTGCCAGGTGTGACTCCAAAAAATAATAAAAGATACATTTCAGGTTTAAAATCTTTATATGTTTTATTATACCACAAGTTTATTAAATCAGTCCAACTTAACATACCTTATCTCAGATTTCTCTTGTCCTTCTGACTCGTCATCATCACTATTGTCAGAAAACTGGCAGTGGAGGACTTCATCTTGCTCCTCTAGGTGACCCAGCAGCATTTGACTTCGTGATCGGAATCCGGCAACCACTTGATCCAGGGAGTACACAGAAGGACTTTTGTAGACCTTACAAGGAATTTTCCCCACCCAACAACAACAACAAAATTGATTGTTAAAATTTTTATATTTATCCTATTATTCAAAATGTTATACAAAGTTAGAGTGAATCACTGAAAATATGCATGCCCCCTTCACACACACATCACTTAAAACTTATTTTATATGGGGCTCGAGTGATAGTACAGTGGGAACGGTGCTTGCCTTGCACTTGGCCAGCCCGGGTTTGATCCCAGGCATCCGACAGTCAGTTCCCTGAGCTCACCAATAGTAATTCCTGAATGCAGAGCCAGGAATAATCCATGAGCATCAATGGGTGTGGCACAAACACAGAAACAAGCAAAAACTTGTTTCATACTACTACTGTGCCTCAAGGACACACAGTTCTTTGAGAATCTGTGTAACTCTTCCTCCTCTTCTAGAAAGCGCTTCCAAACTCGGTACAGTTTTATGGAAAACAGTAGCACTGTAGTACTGTCCTCCCGTTGTTCATCAATTTGCTCGAGCGAGCCCAGTAATGTCACCATTGTGAGATTTGTTGTTACTGTGTTTGGCATATCGAATACATCACGGGTAGCTTGCCAGGCTTTGCCGTGTGGGTGAGATACTCTCGGCAGCTTGCCAGTTCTCCAAGAGGGGCGGAGTAATCGAACCTGGGTCAGCCGGGTGCAAGGCAAATGCCCTACCTGCTGGGCTATAGCTCCATCCCATGGAAAACTGTATTCACAATGAAACCAAGACAGACATGATGGAAAACATGATTTATTTTAATCACCATGAGATACAGTTACAAAACTATCATGTTTGAGTTTCAGTCATAAAATGATCAAAACACCCATTCCTCCACCAGTGCATGTTCTCTACCACCAATGTCCCCAGTATTACCCCCACCCTTTCCAACCCGCCCTCCTGCCTTCATAGCAGACAATTTCCCCCATACTCTCTACTTTTGGGCACTATGGTTTGCAATTTAGATACTGAGAGGTTATCACGTTTGGTCCTTTATCTACTTTCAGCACACACCTTCTCCAACCATCAATGACTTAATGATCCCATCTCTATCCCAGCTGCCTTCTCCCCCAGCTCATGAGACAGGCTTCCAACTATGGAGCAATATTCCTGACCCTTGTGTCTACTGTCCTTAGGTGTCAGTCTCATATTATTTTATATTCCACAAATGAGTGCAGTCCTTCTATGTCTGTCCCTTCTGACTCATTTCACTTAGTATGATACTCTCCATGACCATCCATTTATAAGCACATTTCACAACTTCATCTTTCCTTACTTCTGCATAGTATTCCACTGTGTAGGTGTACCAAAGTTTCTTTAACTAGTTGTCTGGTCTCAGGCACTCGGGCTGTTTCCAGATTCTGGCTATTGTGAACAGTGCTGCAATAAACATTCAAGTGCTTTTTTGCACCCTCAGGATATATTCCCAGAAGTGGTATTGTGGGGTCATATGGAAGCTCAATTTCTAGTTTTTGAAGGAATATCCATATTGTTTTCCAAAAAAGGCTGACCCAGTCGGCACTCCCACCAATAGTGAAGAAGAGTCCCTTTCTCCTCACATCCATGCCAACACTGATGGCTCTTATTTTTTTCGATGTGTGCCAGTCTCTGTGATATAAGATAGCATCCCATTGTTATTTTGATTTGCATCTCCCTGACAATTAGCAATATAGATCATTTTTCATGTGCCTTTTGGCCTTTTGTATTTCTTTTGGCCTTTTGTATTTCTTTTTTTGAGGAAGCTTCTGTTCATTTCTTCTCCCCATTTTTTTGATGGGGTTGGAGGTTTTTCTCTTGTACAATTCTACTAGTGTTTTGTATATCCTGGATATCAGATGGGTACTGGATAAATATTCTTTCCCATTCTGTGGGCTCTCTCTGTATTTTGGTTACTGTTTCTTTTGAGGTGCAGAAGCTTCTTAGTTTATGTATTCCCATTTGTTTATGTTTGTTTCCACTTGGTTGGTCAGTGGTGTTTCATCCTTAAATATGCCTTTAGTTTCAATGTCATGAAGGATCTCATGACAGTTCCTAAACACAGCACAGACACTTATCAGCAAAGAAATCCAAACACAATGTAATAGGGAAAGGCAATGGTTTCCCCAGTTATAACACTTGGAGATGGTGCTACTTGTGCTGAGGACATAAAGCCCACTACAATTTTTAATTTTGCGACATGAAGAAAGTCACTCTCACTGCCTCTGGCTGTAAGATATTCTTAACTTAGCAATCAGTATGCACATTTTCACTGTAATATGGGTAGATAGGGCTAGGTGAATTCATGCTCTAAGTGATACTATGTTTTTGCATAACGCTGTGCTTAATACACTTAATAGGTATCAGACTGAATAGTTTTAAATGCTAGCCTAGGGACCTGGAGCAATAGCACAGTGGGTAGGGTGTTGCCTTGCACGAGGCCTAACCAGGTTCAATTCCCAGCATTCCATATGGTACCACGAGCACCACCAGGAGTAATTCCTGAGTAACCCTTGTGCATCACCGGGTGTGATCCAAAAGTTAAAAAAAAATTTTAAAAATAAATGTTATCCTAGAACCATTCTATTATATGTTTATTATATGAGCAATGCACCTATATTTGCAAAATATGAGCCCGGATACAGGAAGAGAACCATCTCCAGGGATGGTCTACAGATGATCCGGACACAGACAATAATGTTCAACATTGCCCATTATCAGATCAACGCAAATCAAAACTATGAGATAACCCTTCACACTTATAAGAATTGCCTGTACCAGGGGGCCAGAGGCATACTACAGTGGGAAGGATGCTTGCTTTGCATGTGGCCCACCAGACTTAATCCCTGGCATCTCATATTGTTCCCCCGATCACCACCAGGAGAGGTCCCTAAGCACAGAGCTGGGAGCAATTCCCTGGTCATCACTAGATATGGCCTAGACCCCTTCCCAAAAAAAGAAAAATAAGTACTAGAACCAGAGAGAGAGTACAGGGATAGCATGCTTTCTTTGTATTTGGCTGATCTCGGTGAGATACCAGCATTAGCAAACAGAGCAGCCACTGAGCACAGAGCTAGGAGTAATCCCTGAACACTGCTAGTTAAGTCTTCAAAACTCAAAAAAGAAAACAAGAATTGTCTCATAAAAATGGATAGAAAAAAATGGATGGAAAAAAGTGCTGGAGGGCATGCAGAGAAAACCTACAGGATATTGGTTTTGGAGAATGTAAATTTGTGAAAACCAACAAAATGCAAGAGGCTTTGGTGCATGCTGTGTACTCAGAAGTCCTGGGTTTGACCCCAGCACCACTGACTGTGTCTCCCCTACAATCAGTGAAAACTAGGGTAGTTACCAGAGGGGAAAGCAGGTAGATGGAGAAATGAGTAGATGGATCTTTTTGGTGATAGGATGGCACTAGAAGTTTGGTGATAGGTGTGGCAAATCCTATACAGAAACAAAGGGGGAAATCTATATCCATCCAATTCTATAATGCTGTAGACTAAATAAATCTTACAAGAGGGAAAGAGACCTTGAAAGCAATAATTAAAAACTGCCCTTACGTTTTATTTTGGGGGCAAAAACTGGCTGCGCTCGGGGCTTATTCCTGGCTCTCAGCTCAGGGATCACTCCTGGCCAGGCTCAGAAAACCACATGGAGTGCTGGGGACTGAACCCAGATTCGCTGCATGCAACTTTAGTGCAATATCCTCTTTCTACTATCTCTACAGCCCCTTATATTTTCATGGTTTCTTTTACCAAATATTTTTTTATTCATCATTTCTCTATAACCAAACCTCACAGCAGTTTTTCAAAAACAGTAAATATTAAGGTCTTAGACCAAATTTGTCCCCGGCGCCGTGTAATCCCATAAACGGCCAAGACCCAAAGACATCTAATTCTACTCTGGAGAACCTGGCAGGCTACCAAAAGTATCCTGCTCACACGGCGGAGTCTGGCAAACTCCCTGTGGCGTATTCAATATGCCAAAAACCAGTAACAATGATGGGTCTCATTCTCCTGACCCTGAAAGAGCCTCGAATGTGTCACTTTCTAAAATCAGCACTAGGACGAAGGAGACGTTACTGGTGCCTGCGCGAGGAAATCAATGAGCAGGATAACAGTGATACAGTGATACAGACAAAATTAAAATCAGTTTATTAATATAAATAGCTTTAAACCATGAAAACTGTAACAGCTAGTAGAAACTGTTCAAGCTGGAATGGAAGATTCTCTGCTATCTGATTTTGTTCCTCCACTGTTCATTAAGGTCATCTGTCACAACTGAGTGTTGAAAGTAGATAAAGGGATATACCTGATAGCTTTTTAGTATCTGTTCTGCACACCGTAATGCTCAAAATGAAAGAGAGTGTGAGAGGAAGAGAGAGAAGAAAAGTGCCTTCATAGAGGCGGGGTGTGGGAGTGGGCGGGAGAGAAATGGGGACATCAGGGGTGAGAAGTGTACACTGGTGAAGTGATGGGTGTTGGAACATTATATGACCGAAACCCAACCAGAAACAGGTTTGTAATGATATATTTCACGGTGATTCAATTAAAAATAAATTAATTTCATTTAAAAATAAAAGGCACTGGAAATAAAGGATCATCTGTCAGTAACATCAGCACCATGAAGCATAATAAAGTTTTCTAAATGGACATCCAATTTGGGAAAATATTCATATGAGAATATTTGGGTTAGTTTTCATAAAATTATACCAGATATGTAAGTGAGTTATTTATACCTTTTGCTTTTATTCATTTTTCATGGTACCATATTTGTTAAATTTCAACTGTAATATACTCCATTTGTTTATACCATCAAGAAGAAAACCAGCAAACTTTTGACACAATTGATGACATGCCATCAACTACAAAACATATGCTTTTCATCAAAGCTGATATAGGCAGAAAAAAAAAGTTATCCTAAAAATCTATGAAATATATTAAACTTCATCAACATTTGTACTTTTCGAAATGACTCAGAAAGAAAGGGATAGACATAGAAAGATTGCATTCATCTGGGGAACATAAAGTAACAAAATAGGAGACTAACACCCAAGAATGGCCGAGATTAGTACCAGGAATTTTACTCTATGGCTTGGAGGCCAACCACACATACTAGGGGAAAAGGCAGCTCAGATAGAGAAGGGAGCACCAAATAAAGGTGTTGGGAGGATCCTCCCAGGATGGGAGAAGCATGGGGAAAGTAGACTATAGACTAAACATGATTGCCACCCATTGCCTCCTTTGCAAACCACAACACCCAATAAGAGAGAGAGAACAAAAGGGAATGCCCTGACACGGAGGCAGGATAGGATGGGGGGCGAGAGGGATACTGGGATCCGTGGTGGTGGGAAATGGGCACTGGTGGAGGGATGGGTATTTGATCATTGTATAATTGAAACCCAAACACAAAAATGTGTAAGTCTGCAACTGTACCTCATGATGTCTCACTATTAAAAAATTTTTAACAAAAAAAATGCATTAAGAGAAAAAAACATTTGTGCTTTTAATTTAAACCTACCTTATTACTGAGAAAACCTCTTTGTTTTTTTACACATCAACACATACGCATAAAATAATGAATAACAGTGGCTCTTGGCCTTTGTTGTATCCTATTTAAGATGTTAAGGAAGTGAAATCGTCTCTTAAAAAATATGTAAGCTAAATCAAGATTTGAGTTTGCAGTCTATCAGCTGACTTACAACTATTATGACAAATTGGGTGTCTTTCTTCTCTCTTATCTATAGTACTATTTAAGTATAAGGGGACACCATTTCAGGGTTTCCATAGAAGAAGATATGCCCTATTATTCCATTTTTATGATTGCAAGATACTTGCTGGATGCCCAGGAAAGCTCATGAGCAAAAGTGTGTCCTTTGGGACTGTGAGATCCTGAGTTTGATCCCTGGTGCCGCTCACGTGCACCAAAAGAGGTGGTTGATTTGTCCCTGCTGAATGGTACAAGAATACAACCTCTGGTACACAGTACACGATACTTGGCAATACCATGGCCAGTCAGCGCCACCAGCAGCGAGCTCTGAACAGGAGTGTGGGCACACAGCTCCCTCCAGTGGACCCAACAGCCAGAGTAGCTGACAGCACAAGTAAGGAATGTGACCCAAAAGTTTGCAGCACGGGCGCAAGCACTGCAAGGAGCCCCAGTATACACCAGCAAAGGAAATGAAGGGGCGCAAAACCGTTTTTTAAAAAATGGTATCTTGAAACAACTTAAAAGTCCAATACCAGATTCAAGTACAGAGTACCAAATATGATGCAGTCATTTGAAATCATGCAAACAGGCTGAAGAGAAAGCACAGTGTTTACTTAAGGCAGCCTTTCCATATGCCACAGTCCCCACCCCAACCCCTCCTCTGCCAAGACTGATCCACCGAACCCTACATAAAGTCAAACAGATCAACAGAAACATGATTTCTGCTTTAAAATCCAACCACTCAGTGTATTCAATTTCCAGCATCATATATAACCTCCCTGAGCATGTCAGGTGTGACGCCAAAACACACACACAAAAAAAACATGAATAACCAAACCAGTTGGGCTAGGGAGATGATGCTAAGAGCTGTAGTGCATGAACTGCAAGCTGGAGTTCTGGGTTTGAGCCCCAAGATGCTTTCACCCTAAAATCAAAACCACAACAATGAACGTCCAACAACAAAATTCCAACCTGAAAGCCCCCGAGGCAGGGATACCATCTCTCTGTCTAACCCTGAGGCACTGCACTATGCTGACAACAGGGTGTGCCAGGCATGGGCAGAAGCACCATCTCGGCTAAACCCTCCTTGACACCCTGCATCACTGCAGTCAGACAGACTGAATCCAGGACTCCTCAAGGATGACCAAATGTCCAGGCCTACACAGCCTAGCTGGCGCTCACCCCGAGCAGATGCCTCTCTTACTACTACTGGCTGCAATTACTTCACTCTCACTTACATTGCCTCCCTTCAGAACATTAACGAGTAGAGCTAAAAAAAAAAAATCATAAACTAGATTTCTTCACAAGAAATACTATTGCACATATTTACACACGCCCCCAGGGAGAAGGAAGTGAAGAACACTCCCCTCCTAGTGCAACCTGAGAGAGGTAGGATGGCTAGAGCTAAGGTCAGGGGCTTCTGGGGGCCCACAGTGCCAGGGAAAGCATGTAAGCATTAAGCAGTTCCCTGGGAGCAGAGCGACACACAGAGCCAGGGCCACTGCCAAGTGCAGCATCCATCTGCCTCCTCTTCCTCATAGCCAGACCTGCTGTTCTGTTTGCTGTGGACGGTTTACGCCTCCCACTGACAAAGCCCTGGCTGGTCAGCAGCAGGCCACCGCTAGCAGTTTGCTGGACTAGTTCTGCCCAGTCACCTTCCACCAGCAGCATCAGCCACGCCCTGAGCCTGACCTCTGAGTGCTTTCCTGGAACTGGGAACCATATGACCTGGTTTCCAGTGATCTGGGCAAGTAGTGTTAAAATCCCGCTCACATATTTACAAATAAAAATTAAAACTAAACTTCACATGGATCACCTCATGGTTTCTAAGTAAGGCTGTTTATAAGACTAAATAGGAAAAGTCATTCTGAAAATAATCAGACAGAACACATAAACTTAAAAAGAAAAAAAAACTTCCAACCTTATCTCAACCTGATTTTGCTAAAGCAAGACAAAATTCATGATGATTTCCAGTTTAGTTAGGTATGAAAATATTGTGGTAAAGGATATCTTTTTCTCCATAAGCAACTATTCTTTCTAATACATTTTTATGTGTTAATTGTAATCAAAATTATGCTTAAAAGGCACATGAAACCAAGTTCCTCAAAGCCTGTTAAGACTACACACACACATACATACACACACACACACACACATCACACACACAATTATGTATGTTAAGGTTTTTGAATCTCAAAATAAAAAGATCAGTGTTGATACTTTACCTTCCTGGAATCTGATCCTGGGACATAAACATAATGCCCCAAACGAGTATCAAATGGGACGGTATGTGGTCTCCTTTCGGATATTCTGGCATCTGGCCCATCTCCACAAATTTCCTTGACTGAACTCATTGACAGATTAAGTTTTGTTAGTTCTTCACTCAGCTGATCCACAAGAAGTTGCTGTTCTATTATTTTTTCAGTCTTTGTGAGAGAAGAGAATTTTAAAGATAGAGAGCTTAATACGTGTAGATTATGCTTACAAATAAACTATACATTGATCAAAATCACATCTGATCAATGTATATCTTCACACATATCTTCAGAGTACATTATAATTTCATTTGTACAAAGACTAATCTTTTGATATTCATAAATCCATAGGAATATATCAAGTGGTAAAAACTTAAATATTAGACAGCAACAGAGTCTAAAGAACCAAATACACTGGCCTGGGAGAGCTTAAGGGACTGATCATAAGCCTGACATTCAGGGGCTTCAGAATTTGATCCCTTGTAGCCAGAAGCAACTCCCCAGTACTAAGCTGGAACAAGTAGGTATGGTCCAAAACCCAAAACCCAAAAGTGAAAAAAGAAAAAGCTACCGAAAGAAAACACTGGTTATTTTAATAGAGCAAAGCACTCTGATTTTCTTATTTCGAATACACCATGAACAGCTGAGTGAAACCTACAAAGTAACGAGACAAGAAAACTAAAAAAGGAGAGAAACAGAGCCAAAGTAAATAGTACAGCGGGTAAGGCACTAGCCTTGCACACAGCCAACCTGTCTCAGTTCCTGGCATTCCATATGGTCCCCAAGTCCCACCAGGAAGAATTACTGAGCACAGAGTCAGGAGAATTAAAAATCAAAGACTGGAAGATAATATAGAAGTACATTCAAAAGAAAGGATAGTGGAATGGACTGCTTTTTAAATGCAGATCATTAGCTAAAAATAGTTACAGGGTGTAGGATAACATTGGTTATCCTATCCTCCCCTGGGAGCTTTTGTTTGTTGATTGCACCTCAGCCTGTCAATTACCTTTGTCTCCTGATCAGACTTTGACTTGTAAATATTGTCTTTCTCTTCACCTGTCCTTTGCATGGTTAGTTATTACAGAGCAATTGCTTTTTGTATGGACACAGGCCAACAGTTAAAAAGACAAGCCTGTAGCTTGGGAGTTGATTGACTCCAGATAATATTACCTCCTGGACATCTATTCTCTCAACTTAAGTCTCAGTTGCCCTTACTTCCTAGATCCCCCAAAGCAGGGTCCCAACGAGGGACTGGATGGACCCAGGGCAAGTGGTGACTAAGAGCTACCCTGGCATGGAAATGGGCCTGGCCAAGGTGCCCTAATGCTTAACTATAAGAGCTTGGTCGTGGACAAATTCTGTCATAATCCAAAGGTAATAAATAGATTTGGACCCTGATGGGGTTAGAAATGATTGATCCGGCCTGAGCACTGTAGTCTGTGTCTGTGGTGAGATGTTCCCAGGAGAGTCACCATACAAGCCTAAAAGTGTCTATTACTGTGTCCATGGGTCTGGAGCGATAGCACAGCGGTAGGGCGTTTGCCTTGCAAGTAGCCAACATGGCCAACCTGAGTTCGATTCCTCCGCCCCTCTCGGAGAGCCCGGCAAGCTACTGAGAGTATCTCGCCCGCACGGCAGAGTCTGGCAAGCTCCCCGTGATGTATTCGATATGCCAAACACAGTAACAACAAAGTCTCCAATGGAGAAGTTACTGGGCCTGCTCGAGCAAATCGATGAACAACGGGAGGACACTGACAGTGACAGTGACTGTGTCCATAGAGAATGGTAAATATTAGGAAGTAGAATTAAAGACGTTAATTAAGTTGCAGGTCTAAGGAGAGGAGAAACACACCATAAGAGATGTTTTTCCCTAATGGACTGCAGGTGGTTGTGAAGACTTGGAAAACATTCTGATTGCACTTCCCATAGGGAGGCATGATTGTGGAGGTGTGGGGAGAGGAGAAAAAGAGCGGCTGAGAGGAGGAGGTCGAAGGTTGCTGGAGGGGGTAGGGAGAAGAAGTTACAGAGGGAGACCTTGAAAGAGAAAGTTGTAGACTGAGTGAGACAGAGTTCGAGGAAGACTGAGGGAGAGACAGAGACAGAGAGAAGAAGAGACAGAGTTAGAGAAGGCTGCGAGTTAGAGAGAAGGCTGAGAGCTGAGAGTAAGAGTGCCTGGGGATATTGGAGAGGAGTCAGAGAGAGACTTGTAGAGTGAGTTTGAGAGAGTGTTGGAGAAAGCTGGGAGAGACAAGAGACTGTATAAATGGCAACTAATCAGCAACCAGGTTGGCCCTCATTCTTCCTTCGTCCATCCAAGGCAACAGCAGTCTGAGGTGGGAAAGGGTTCGAGAGCACTGAACTCGGGCAGTGAGAGAGCCACCTGGAGAGCCCACGAATATCCTTTAATGTGTAATCCCAGAGTGAAGGAGTTCACACAGCTCCACGACAGAGAGAATTTTCACAACAGAGCCAGGAGGATGGGTCCAAGGAAGGCAGCTTAACATAAAGGGGGAGGGGAATTGCAGTTAGGACAGAGAAGGGACCACTATGACAATGACAGTTGGAAATGATCACTCTGGCAAGAATTGAATGCTGAAAAGAACTAAAGTGATATGCATGATAGCCTTTCAATAACAGTACTGCAAACCACAGGATTAAAAAGGGGGAGGGGGAGGGGAGAGGAAGGAGGAGAGAGAGGAGGAGGAGAAAGGTATCTGAGGGCTGGGGTAGGGGGCAGGAAGAAAACTGTGGACATGGGTGATGGGAAATGTACACTAATGAAGAGAAGGGTGCTGGAACATTGTATGAATGAAACCTGATTATGAACAATTTTGTTACTGTGTATCTCATGGTGATTCAATTAGAAAATGTATTCTGGAGCTGTTGACAACTGTAGGCATGGAGATGAATAAAGCTTAACTCCCAGGGGAAGCCTGCCTCACAAGCATGCTTTAATCCCCCCCTCTGTGTTCCACAGCACCAAGAACAGAAGCCTGGCAAGTCTGTCATTGGAGTCAGGCAGCTCTGCTGTCTGTGGTTCCCAGAACTGCAATCAATCTCTGGATGCACCAAAACCAGATGTGTGGAAGCACCACAAAAAGGAGTGGGACCCATTGGCAAGTCTGGCAACCCCAAAGGTATGCGAGCATCGGGCCAGGAGCCCTAGTGAGCATGTGAGAGCACCACAGCTAGACCTGGGGAGCACCACAGCTGTAACCTGCGGTCCTGGCAAGTACTTGTGCAAACACTGAAATAAAAAAGTGCCAACCTGGGCAAGCCCCAGGGTTATATGTGCAAGCACCAGAACATGACACACAACAGCCAGGAGGGAGCACAGTGAACACCATGCAAGCAACACAAGTCATCACAGAGCGACGACAAGGAGCAGAGGGGTGCAGGGAATAAGCAATGATGATGACAGCAAGTCATCCAAAAGCATCACTGAAAGTAAAAAGCAAGCCCCAAGAGAATAAAAAGGCTTTGCAACCATATCACCAAGAAAAATCTTACACCCAGAAGATAGGCCAAACTTGCTCAAATTAACTTGAAACTTGAAATACAAATAGCCAAGAGAAAGACAAGCAAAGGAGGAGCTGGAGTGGTAGCACAGCGGGTAGGGAGTTTGCCTTGCACGCAGCCACCCCGGGTTCGATTTCCAGCATCCCATGTGGCCCCCCAAGCACCGCCAGGAGTAATTCCTAACTGCAGAGCCAGGAGTAACCGCTGAGCATCGCTGGGTGTGACCCAAAAAGCAAAGGACAGGCCTTAAGATTCACAGCAAATGAGATCTGGTGGGTCAGAAGACAATGGAGGGATATACAAAATCTCAATAAATGACTTACAAAAAAAAAACTCAATGAAATGAACATATCACCAAGAATCTTCATCCAGCTAGAAACCATCAGATCTGAAGGAAAGATGTAGAGCTGCAAGTTCAGACAGCAGCTTCAGGAACTCATAGTCATGAAACCAGCCTTGCAAGAAGCATAAAATGAGCTTTTTTAGAGGACAGGACAAACCTCCCAGCATCTGGCACTGAGTATGGCACTCACACAAGGCACAACAGTTTCCCTTTACTAAATTTAGAAACGTGTGTTTATTCCTAGCATGCTAAGGAATTTTATGCAGTTTCAACAATGAATTAATGTCTCACTTATATGGAATGCTCTGTGTCTGATCAATTATTTTACACCCATAAAATAGTATAGTGGGTAGGGCATTTTTATTATAGCATTTTACTTATTAATGCAGTCACTTAAGCAATATCCACATTTTCTTTTTTTTGAAGTAAAACAGATTTTATTGAGATTTTTGTAAAGGGAGGAGAGAGGAAAAGTGTGTGTGTTTGAGAGAGAGAGAGAGAGAGAGAGAGAGAAAGAAAGAAAAATGTGCTAAAGAGAGAACACAGGCTTCTCCAATGGCAGAAAAAGCCCCTACACACACCCCAGCATTAGAAATGGAAGCTGAAAGTGCACATTTCAAAAGGGAGAGATGCCAGCGACACATGTTCTTGGGATCCACGTGCACTCAGCCATGTGGGCACAAGCAGGACATGGGCTCCAGCAGCATATGCACCTATAATAAAGTTTCTAATAAAAAGCCCATCTTCCCTTTCTTAGTAGAAAACACATTTTGTACTTTCATAGACCTATTTAGTTTTTTCCCCTAAAATTTTGTTATTTATCTTCATTCTTACAAATCTTCAAATTTTATATTTATGTAAACTCTAAAATGTATTAGGACAAACTCAGAGGGGGGGCAGGTGGAGTTTCCCTCCCCACCTCAATAGAGCCCCAGCAGCCAAAACCCTCCAGAACTCAATTGAAGCCATGCTCACAGCTGTTCTCCAGTCTGGGACGAGCCTCACTTATGAGGGAAATCTGCAGAAAAACTCAGGTATGTAGGACCCGTGACTGAAATCTCCAAGCCTGCTAGGAGCAGGAATACTCCCACCTCCCAAGTTTGCAGTCACACACACAAACTGCCCCTGGCGCCATATAATCACATCAGTGGCCATGATCCAGAGACTCAGAAATAAAGCTCCCAGAAGAGAGCAACACAGGTCTCACCCATGAGGGACTCTGCTATATAATAGTATTCTAAATTTTAGAATTCCTGGAGCTCTCATACTCTACACCACTAATGTACCAAGAGTATCACACAACATTTGATTGGGTTTAACAAACATGTTAGTAATCTCATATACTAGGGCTTAATTGCTCCAGAACAAAATATAACAATCTTCACACACTTTCCTCAAAGGAACTTTATTGACCATTTTTAGTGGATTATTCATAACAAGTAATACAAAATTGTTTCAGTTCTGCTTTGGGGGGCACAGTTGGGATTTGGGGTGGAAAACATTCCAAATATGGTAGTGGAAAGGTGCAATGGTGGTGGGATTGGTGTTTGAATATTAAATGTGATGAATTACTGTGAACAACTTTATAAAAATAAAATTTAGCTCTAAATAAATAAATAAAATGCATTAGCAAAGAATTGTCCATAATGTTCTTTAAATTTATAGACCTCTAAAATAAGTTAATTCTTTAAAATAATTTACTTTACTAACCTATCACTGTGCTGTGACCAGTTGTCACATGTCAGGCCTATGGAGACAATTCATGGCGAGGGAACAAGGAGGTCTTTACTACCCTGGTTGATCAGACTGGTGGGTCAAGGCTAGGTATGCACCTTACACAAAGCCCAGAGGTCCAAGAACCTGTTTCTATTGGGCATTATTACACACTCAACATTACTTTGTACATGCCAAGCAATGCGGGGGCACATGCACATGATGGCATCTTATCAGTATGGCACAGGGAGTTTTCTAAAATCAGCATTTGCTTAGCTTACAACAGGGAAGTTCACCTCAAGTGCAGAGTGTGGGTATCTTTATAAAACTTCTCACCCACAAGCAAAATCATCTTTGAAGTATATTTTATGAATCAATTATAAAACCAAAGATACATGTAATAAATTTCCATCATAACCACTGATTTACAATTTTGTGAAATTTCAGAGTAGCTCTGTTCATCTATATGTGTGTAGGTGTTATCACTACGTGGGATATGGGAGAGAAACACAGTAAGAGAACAACAAATGATCAAAGTCATTGGAATTGAAGATTTGTCTACAAACTGAGCTTACATGGGGGCTGGGGATTCCTCAAGACACTGGTGGAGGGAAGATGAGGCTCTCTGGTATTTAAATGATAGGTGCATGAAAAGTGTGATGAACGGTATTATAAACCCAGGTATCTCAATTGAAAAAAAAATTTTTTTAATTTTTTTTACGATTAAAGGTGGGGGCTGGAAGGATAGTACAGCAGGTAGAGCACCTGCCTTGCACATAGCTAACCAAGGTTTGATTCCCCAGCATCCCATATGGTTTCCAAGCACCATGGGATTGATTCCTGAGTACAGAGCCAGGTAATCTGAGCATATCACGGGTGTAACCCACCCCACCACCACACACACAAAATGATTAAAGGCTTTCTTTAGGGGAGAGAGTGTGGCTCAGTAGTAGGGTACTTGCTTTGCATGTCTAAAGCCCAGGGTCTGAGTTTCAGCACCTCTAAGATTAACTAAATAAAATTAACTTGGGGAATTAAAAGGGGAGCCTAGGTCAGGAAGTATACCTAGGAATATACTGTGTTTTACACTTCAGGCATATTCATATTAATAACAGGAAAGCTAAAGTTGAGAATATAACCAAAGTTAAAAAGTAAATCAAGGGACATGGGATGACGGAGCGGTAACACAGCAGGTAGGGCATTTGCCCTGCACGCACCTGACCCAAGGTTCGATCCCTAGCATCCCATATGGTTCCCCCGAGCACCTCCAGGACTGATTCCTGAGTGCAGAGCCAGGAGCAACCCCTGACCATCACTGGATGTGACCAAAAAAGCAAAAAAAAAAAAAAAAAAGTAAATCAAGGGCCAGGGAGAGTACAGCAGGTAAGGTGCCTGGTCTTGCACATAGCCAACCTGAGTTCAATCCCTGGCACTGCATATGGTTCCCTGAGCACCACCAGGAGTGATCCTTAAGCACAGAACCAGAAATAAGCCCTAAGGAGAACTGGGAGTGGCCCACCCACCTCCCAAAAAGCAAAGCAAATATAATAACCTCAAAAGTTTAAATCACATAATTATATTCTAAATCTTAACATTGCCTTGAGAAAAAGCTGAAGGGAAAATATGGCAAAAAGGTAACTGCAACATGATTTGCAAATTCCTTGTGTTTGTGAAACAGAAAGTTGAGCTAGTAATAAAAATGGTTTCCCTGGGCCAGGAAAATAGCTCAAAGATACAGCACATGCTTTGCATGTGAAAGGCCTGGGTTCAATTCCTGCAGGGTCCCTCAGCAACCAGGAATAACAACCCCTGAGCACCTTACCAAGAATAGCACCAGAGCATCACTGGATGATGCTCCACTAAAAAGGTATTCCTTTACCTCAACTTAGTGGGGGAACTCTAATAACTTTTTCATGCTAGTGATTCAGAACTTTCACTGAGCATCAGTGGGTACGCCCCCTGCCCCAAAGAAAAAAAAAGTGTAAGCTATTCTAGTTATTTAAAACAGACTATCTTAAACAAATCTACAGAACTAGAAACATACAGAAACGCTACCTGCAGTCTATTCACATTTTGTGCTTCTTTCAAAGACAGAATGTGTCCTTTGTTTTCCTGTGTCATTACTTGCATTTGATCCTTGAGCTCTTTCACCTCTTGTTCCTTCTGAGTAAACAGTATTTCATCAGCATCAAGAGCACACTGGAAGGGAGGACGACAGTGGGAAAGAGTGTCACCACGGGAATATCTGCGAGTCCTCGTTAAGACCAGAAAGCCAGTGTTCTAATGAAGGCTTCATTATGTTACTTCAATTTTTTTTCTTAACCTTCTTATTTCTAACTTTTTGTTTGTTTGTTTGTTTGTTTGTTTGGAGACATAACTGGTGGTGCCCAGGGGTTACCACCTGCATAGTTCTGGTGGGCATATCTCCGGGTGTATTTGAGGGGCCATGCTGTACCCAGGATGGAATCCAAACACTCCAGTCCATTAAGTTTTCTCTTCAGTCCAATTCTCCAAATTTTTCAGTGGGGCACCTATAGCTATTTATTATGAAGGACTCCCCCACCCCAAACACACACAAGAATGCTGGAAAACTGGACTGGAGAGAGAACTCACTAGGCCGGCTGAAAAGCAAGCTTTACACAAAAGATAAGGTTCCATCCTCAACCACTGCATGGTCTACTTAGCACTTAGCTGGGAGTGACTCAACACCACCAGTTGTGCCCCACCTCCACCACAGAAAAGAAAAACTTTCATCTGAGAGAAACTGTCGTAGTTGTAACATAACTAAGCAGTATGGTGACTAATCAGGTGGCTAAATGGTAAGTTCATGCCTCACATGTATAAGACCTATACTGCAAAGCAAAAACAAAAACAAAAACGAACATTAAAGATAGAAAGACTTTCCTGATTTTATTTCCTGCACTTTAAAAAATTGTCCAAAGTGATAGTACAAGGATTAAGGCACTTACCTGTAGGAGACTGACCTGGATCAATTATCAGGTGTGCAACCACCTGGAGTGAAGCCTGGGGAGTAGCCCAGAGTCCTGCCAGATATGGCCCAAACCACACCACACAAAACAAAAAAAATTCTGCTAAAAATTTTTTTAAGAAAAAACTTTAACCAGGGCTGAAGCAATGGTATGCGAGTAGGGTGTTTGTCTTACATGCCGCTAATCACAATTCGATCCCCAGCATTCCATGTGGTCCCCCAAGCCGAAGGACTGATCCCTAAGCCCAGAGTCAGGTCTAACCCCTGAGCACTGCTGGTGTGGACCCCAACAAAAAGAATACAAAATTCAATTTCCACACAAAATTTAGATTTTTGGAAAGCATTTTTGCTACTATAACTTAGATGGATTTCAATAATTAAAGACTGCTGGTACGATTAGTGGTGATATTAATGTTATTAATATCTGTGATTTTTATAGTATGTATCAATATTTGGAATATGTGTATAACTTAGTAAACAAATAATTTTCCAAATAACTAATGACTTCAAATTACCTGTGGACAAGTACAAGACACAGGAGTGAATTTTAATGCACAGCTCTTATTGAAACAAAATATTTTCAGGTTCTCATATTGGAAGTAAGCACTGTAGTACTGTAGCACTGTCCTCCCATTGTTCATCGATTTGCTCAAGTGGGCACCAGTAACATCTCCATTGTGAGACCTGTTGTAACTGTTTTGGCATATCAAATACATCACAGGTAGCTTGCCAGTCTTTGCCTTACGGGCAGGATACTCTCAGTAGTTTGCCGGGCTCTCCGAGAGGGGCGGGGGAATCGAACTCGGGTTAGCAGTGTGCAAGGCAAATGCCCTACTCACTGTGCTACTGCTCCAGTTCAACTGGAAGTAAACTTTAGGAAATTTGCACTTATTGCATTTTCACATATTATCAGAGAATACCTATAATTATCTGAAAAAGGTGTTAAAATATTATTCCCAAGTACCTGTCAATATATATCCTCATATACTTCAACTAAAACAAGAAAATCCAACAAAAGTAAATGCCCATTTTCTATTAGGCCAGATGTTAAAAAAATATTCACAAAAAAATACAGCAATTTTCTCTATTATCTTTTTTTTTCAAAAAGTTATTTTTTATGATAAAATATTCTTTAGGAAACAGAGAAAAAGCTCGACGTGCTAGAACGAACACTTTGTATATGGAAGGTCAATAATTGAGCCCTGGCAATGCCAGGAGGTAGAAAAGCAAGCCAGGAGCAGCCCAGTCACATGTGGCTCAACAACAAACAAAACAAAACATTTTTAAACTAGCAGACTATACATTTCTGCATCAAACCAATAACTACACATAAGCAAATTGTGGTATATATTGTCCTCTACAACTTTCACCATATTATTTACTTGGTAGATGATTTTTTAAATGAAAGTGGAGAAATGCAATTCTGAAGTCAACAAATATACATACCGCAAGCATATACCACAAGCATATATGTACATATGCATACTCCTTAATTATTATCAATGATAATGATAATTTGTTCAAATAAATAGATAATTCTGCAGCTAGGGCATCTGCCTTGCCCAAAGCCAATCAGATTCGATCCATGGTACCATATATGGTCCCCCAAACCCTGCCAGGAGTGATCCCTAAGCACCACCAGGAGTAAGACCTGAGAAATGCCAGGTCTTTGCAGTATTTGCAAAACACAAATCAACAAACAAACAAAAAACCTCATAGAGTGGGGCTGGGGCAATAGCTCAGTGGCCAGCACTTACTTACTTACTTACTTTCTTACTTAACTTACACATTTACTTACTTACCTACTTACAGCCTTACATGGCAGGAACCCGAGTTCAGTGTCTGACCAAGCAAGCTTCTCAGCCAGCACCAATAGGTGGAGCCCAGGAGGTCCCTCAGTATCTCCAGGTGACTCTGGAGTATTGTTGGGAGTGATTCCCAGGTTTCCTGAGCAGTAGCTGAGAGCCCTACCACCCCCACAAAGGAAAGATCTCGTAACAATAGCTGAAATTGCGCCCCTTTTCATTTTTAAACTTAATGACTAGGTCCACAGATTCTATTCAATAAATATACAAATTAAAATACATTGAAACTAAAAAGAATGAAAAGCCTTGCAAAAAAACAAAAGGAAAGAAATGACCCAGGGCAATAGTTTAAAAGATATGAGCTCATGGTTTGCAAGTATTAGCTGCCAGGTTGATATCTGGCACTGTTGGATAACACTGGGTTTTCCTTGCTCCTCCTGCAGGAAGCTTAGGTTTACTGAGCTACTCCCACAACAATACCCCTAAGGCACACCCAATTTAATCACGCACTAATAATACTATATTGCCTTTCTCTTTCCTTTATGTCATTCACATGGTTTGTTTAGCAATTTCCTTTTTGTATAGACACAGGAAGACAGCCGATGCTATGCTTTGTAACATGGGAGTTAACTGATTCCAAATAATATTTACTCCTGGACATCCATCATATTTACCTTACTTAAGCCTCAGTTACCTTTACTTCCTAACATCCCCAAAAGGAGGGTTCCAACGAAGGGACTGGATGGATTCAGGGCAAGCTGTAAGCTACCCTGGCAACAAAAGGGGACAAGCTAAGCACCACGAGTATAATAAGTTAAGAACACAGTCATGGAACAAACTCTGTCATGACCCAAAAATAAGCAATTGAGTAAAGACCCTGCTGAGTTAGGAAAGGCTAACCTGGCCTGAGGACTGTAATCTAAGATATATAGCAAAATGTCCCCAGGAAGCGCCAACCTTTAAGATAAGTACGCCTCTTACTGTGTTCATACAAAATTACTAGAAATATTTTAAGAAGTAAATTTACTATGCTGGAGCGATTGCACAGCGGTAGGGCGTTTGCCTTGCACACAGCCAACATGGCCGACCCGAGTTCGATTCCTTTGCCCCTCTTGGAGAGCCTGGCAAGCTACCAAGAGTATCTCGCCCGCATGGCAGAGCCTGGCAAGCTACCCATGACATATTCGATATGCCAAACACCGTAACAAGAAGTCTCACAATGGATACGTTACTGGGCCTGCTCGAGCAAATCGATGAACAACGGGAGGACCAGGACCGTGACGTCTCTTACTGTGTTCATACAAAATGACCACAAATATTTTAAGAAGTAAATTTACTATGATTGTTTAAATGAATTACTAGCTGAGGAAAGGAGACAGCAATACACCCTGGACAGAATCCTGCACTTGAGTGGATTTCCTAGTAATCTGGAGTGCTGAACCCTCAGATGAGATTTTGTCCTAGAGTTAATCCCTTAGAACTTCCCCTGAAGGAGTGGCTTTACCTCTGTTGTTATAACATGTTCAACCCCACCTATGTGTACCCCCACCCTTCATGATTTCTATATAACTATGCTGTAAGGGGTAAGTGGGACAATGAGGAAGATAAGGAAGACTATCTTAAGATAAGGATGACTAGAAAGTAGAGAACCTTGAGGTCTATGAAGAGACTAGGATAATGAAACTATGATGACTGGGACTATGACCAGACTATGACTACAATTGTGCTGTAAAGGGAGAGATCAAACTACGCTGGGGAGGAGAAAGAAAGAAACTGACTACCAACCAGCTTGGGGTCCTGTTTCTCCGTTCCCCTGGTCCTTTGTCTGTCCGTCACTGTGGGCCAGTCAGGGGAATGGTTATCGGCCACCCAACGCTCAAGTCCCACACACCCCTGCGCATTTTCTTTGAAACTCACATGGTACCACATCCCCATACCCCCAAACCCAGTTGTGCCAGGCATGGCCCCCGTGGCCTGCAGTACCACATCATCACCAGCACTGACCCATCAGGCCTATGCTGCCAGGATCACTACAGTAGGGAGTGGGTCCAAGGGTACTCTGAGCATTTCCTGGGGAGTTTCTATACCCTACCAAAGAAAAAGTACAAATTGGGAAAAAGCAATTGGAAAAGAGAAGGAAGAAAGAAACCTTAGAGGGAAATGAAATTTTACACAAAAGTCCTTTTCAAAACCTTATAGAATTCTACAACGGCTCTTACTCACTTATTTATTAAATTAAATAAATTTAATCCTTAAATAGTTACTACAAATGTGTTGTCTAAGTACCTGGCATTTCTTCAGTTCTTTCTTCAGCTGAAGAACCGTAGCATGCTGTGGCCCTTCTTCCAGGTGACCGGGGCCTCTTTTCTCTCTGAGTGAGTTGAGCACCACCTTCCTGACCTTCTGTGTCATGTTAAACCACTCCTGTAGTTTGTGCTGCTGTCTTTGGTTTAGTCTGACAGCATCTTTTAAGTCCACCAGGAAAGTGAAGGCTTCTTCTATACAAGTCTGGTAACCCAAACATTCTCCTTGTAGGTGAGCGACTTGCTCCTCCAGAGAATGGATCCTGCTTTTGTCAGGAGTTCCCTCTCGTGTCTGGCTGGTCTGAAGGACACTGCTAGCCTGCTGGCTCTGCAAAGCTTCTCGAAGCAACTTAATCTCAAATTCCATTTCATCTATGCGATCTGTCTCCGGGCTAAAGTTTAAGGTCGGTTTGTTCCTAATGTTGCGTGCTCTGTTGGCATATTTGAGAGAATTCAAGGATTCATCAAAATCTGAGGAGGAGGGGCTGACACAGGTGATCATAACAGTCTTGGCACTGCCTCCCAGGGAATCTTTCAGGAGCCGGGTAATTTTAGCATCCCTATATGGAATATGCGAATTCTTTCTACGTGGATCCCCAAGAGCACTTATCACATTTCCTAAAGCCAACAACCCACTGTTGATTTGAATGGATTCTTTGAACCGCTCACCAGTATTCCCTGTTTTGGTCACTCTTTCTGATCCAGCCAAATCCACAAAGTGAAATTTTGAGACAATTTGCCGAGGGGAATACCAGGGTCCATTTTCAGCTTCCTCTAGATTTTTCATGACTTGACAGATGCTGATGGTGAAAATTGCATGTGATCTACTGGAATGCTCATTCATCTGGGTGGTACCTGTGTGTCTGGCTGCATTGCCCATTTCCAGGAGACTCATCACTTCATCTGCACTTTCCACCTGGCATTCCTTGGCCCCAACAATCACTTAAAATAGCAATAAAAAGTTTTAAACCAAATGTTAATCAAAACAATCCAGTATAATTAACTACACAAGTTATTATTTGCTATACAGTCCAGATTAATAGTCTCCTTAAAGGGAAATCAAAGAATTGTAATTAAAAAATCAGTAACGTCATTAAACAATTTTTTTTTTGCTTTGAGCCATACCTGAAGGCGCTTAGAACTTACTCCTGGCTCTACACTCAGGGATCACTCCTGGCAGTGCTCAGAGGACCATATGGGGTGCCAGGGATCAAACCTGGGTTATCTGTGTGCAAGGCACTATATCCACGGTGCTACTGTTCTGACCCCTCATTAAACATTTTTAGATTACCCAAAGAAATTACTATCCCTAATTCTGAAAGATGTGTGTGCGTGTGTCTGTGTGAGTGTATTTTTTTAATTTACTCAAAAATAAATTCACAATTTATTTGAATCAAATGTCACAGTTCCTAAAGATGGTTGACCAAAAACAAAGTATTCAAGTATTTTGATTTTACAGTTTAGTAGATAAACTTGAAAGAGTTTAGTGGCATAAATAAGAACCAAAATCAATCCACGCTTGATACTAATATCCAATAATATTTTATACTTGTCAAGTGTTGTACTTTATACTTTATATCTTATAAGTAAGATATCTCAAAGACTGGAAAGAAAGATGGTGGCCGCACGGGAGCCTTGTGGACAGCAGGTTTGAGCCGGGGGTGGGGGCGGCAGGGACCTCATGGGAAGGGGAGCGTTCTGGGCCGTCCTTCACGCCCAACCGTGGTCACCAGCTACCCCCCACGAGCGGCTCTCCGGCACGGCCACGGCCCCGGAAGCACAAGAACTTAGCGCAGAAAACCAAATGCTTGGAGCAGAAAAGCGAATGGACTATGTGTTAAATCGCGCCAGCATGCCTGCACGGAGGGGAAAGGGTGTTGCTCCATTCGCCCTGGCCTCTCTGGCAAGAAAGATGGCGGCCGCACGGGAGCCTTGTGGACAGCAGGTTTGAGCCGGGGGTGGGGGCGGCAGGGACCTCATGGGAAGGGGGGCGATCTGGTCCGTCCTTCACGCCCGACCGAGGTCACCAGCTGCCCCCCACAAGCGGCTCTCTGGCACGGCCACAACTCCAGAGCACAGAAACCAATCTCTTAACTACCTAACTTTTAATAGAAATACTTCCAGGGTTAATAAGTAAAATAGCAGAAATGCAGAACCGCATGGCCGCAATAGCGGCCGCGCGACATCATTTTATTCTTAAACCCAGCTGTAGAAAGCAAATCATTTCACAACGCTGTTTCAGCATGTCTGATTGGGGGGGGGGTCGTAAACTCTAAACAATAATGGTGCATCTTCTATCGAAACAATGTATCTAGTCAAAGTAGATAGAGTATTAACTAGAACTCATCTGCCTCACAGGAATTGGGAGGGGTGGGAGGTGGGGTTCTATTGGGGTTCGCGGTTAAAAATAAGTATTGGTAAAGGGAAATGTGTTTGATATTTACATGACTGAGACCTAAACCCAAAAGCTCTGTAACTTTTCCCACAGTGATTCAATAAAGAAATAAATTATAAAAAAAATAAATAAAAAAAATACCATAAATATTTTAAAAAAAAAGATATCTCAAAGAGCGAGTGCACATGCCTTGCACGCAGAAGGTCCAGGTTCTATCCCAGCATTGCATGGCCCCTGAGCACCAGAAGGAATGACCAACAAGCACAGAATGAGGAGCAGCCTGAGTCCCATTGGGTGTATTCAAAAACAAAACAAAAAAAAAAAAACAAGGAAAAAGCAGGTGAATCTGAGCATCCTGGGAGTGCTCAGGGAACCATATGGGATGCCAGGAATCAAACCCACTTCAGCCGCATGCAAGGCAAGCACCCTACCCTCAGTACTATTGTTCTAGTCTCTGAGACTATTTATTGACCAATGTTCACCATTTTTTATGAAAAACAATAAGCAGCTGGATGACATTTGATATTCTTACTCTTGGCTTTTACTGAACCACTAAACCAAATACTGGAAAGATTGAGCCTACATGTAAAGAATGAGTCAGGGCAAACAAAATATACGAGAGTTAGATTGCAAGTTTGTTTACTGATCAATTCCAGTATGTTATCATACTTTTTGCTACCTACAACATCAGAACAGTCAGAGTGACACATGCTCAGAGTTAAATACTGGAAAACAACCTTGCCAGCAAACAATTCTGAATAAAAGGCTAGCATGGTCATACCGCTGTTAGTTATCAGACTTCAAATTTTAAGAGGCTATAAAGGATAGGGATAATCATTTCTTAGGGTGAAAAGGATCAACATACCAAGAAGAATTCATATCACTAAATATATATGCATCAAAACATATATATATGTATCAGCCATCAAAATAATTTAAAACAACTGCTAATAAGACACGAATGAAGATATTGACAGCAAACGCAATAGTGTTTTACAATAGTAGTAGAAGACTAACACTCCACTATAATTGCTGGATAAACTAGGCAAATACTAAACATAGAAACACTGATCTTCAGGCAAGAAATGGAAGAAACTGGCCAAACAGACATATATAGACCCTCCATCCTCAAAATACTGAGTACACATTACTTTTTTCTTTTTTTCTGAATCACAGTAAGATAGTCACAAAGTTGTTCATGGTTGGGTTTCGTTTCATTCATACTAAGATTCCAACAACCATCCCTTCACCAGTCTACATTTCCCACCACCAATGTCCCCAGTTTCCCTCCCATCACCCCCTCCCCAGCCTGCCTCTATGGCTGGTCCTCTCTCTCTCCCTCTCTCTCTCTCCCTATCTCCCCCCAACCCCCTCTCCCTCCCTCCTTAATCACTTCCTCCCTCCAGCTGCCCCCCTCCCCCATGCAATCCCTTATTGCCATTATGGTTTACAATTCAGGTACTGAAAGTTTATCATGTATATCCCTTAACTTACTTTCAGCACTCACTTCTTGTCCAGACTGAAGTTGGGAAAGGTGATGTCTCCCATCTTCTTTTTCTAAAGGATTGCTTTAGCTATCCGTGAGGTTATTATCATTATTCCATATGAATTTCTGGAGTGCTCAATCTATTTCTTTGAAAAATGTCATGAGAGGAGGATATTCCTTTGTCTGGTTATGTTTTCAGTTTCTCTGAAAACTCTGGTAATTCTGCAGGGACCTGGCAGGTTGCTCCCACAACAGAGTGTGGTCCTCCCTTTGCAGGATTTGTTTGCAGTTCCCTAGGGGTCTCCTTTGTCTGTCTCTGAAACAAGCTGATCAAGCTGGGAAGCTGGGGGGTGGGGGGAGGGTGGACAAAAATCCCTATTGGCTGACAGGGCTAATTTGCCCTGGGGATCTCCCCTTCCTTTCTCAGTCCATCAGTTTTCTCTCTGACCTTCTTGCAACAGTATATATGTGCACATATAGGTGAAGTGTGTAGTCAGTTCATCTCTGCCTGTCTGTCTGTGTGGAACACTTCAACATTAAAGCCCAAAGGAGAAGAGAAACAAGCTTTGTGAACTAGTGCAGAGATCAAATTAGGCTTTTTAGTTTAATAACGAAGGTACAGAAGACACCAAAACAGAGTTTTCTCATGTTTTCATAAACATTGACAGTTCAAGTGTTTTCTTATGCTGCTACTTAACAGTTTAGTAAGAATCAATGGCCTTTTTCTGTGTCTGAAAGCATGTTTGCATTGTGAAATTGTTAAAGTATTTGGTGTAGAAAGCTCATGATTTGAAATAACTAAGGTATAAGAACTACCAAAATTAAGCCAAAGAAGGATTTCTCATGTTTTATGAAAAACTGATGGTTGAAAGGCTTTCTTATGCTGGTGTGTCATAAAGTACATATTTATTTTAGTTTGCATTGGATTACTAGAATACTTGACCTAGAAAACTTTGTGAGTTAAAAAAAAAATGAGGGGGTATGGTGCCGCCAGCAGGTCAATCTGTACCTGTGAGGCGAGTGCATCAGCAACCTCATGGCGCCTTCAGACTTCCAGATACCCCAAAATTGCTGCTGTGCCTTTGGCCAGACCCCAAAAACTTGGGGCAAAGTTTACCAAGAAAGTAAACGGCCAAAAGTTAGGTATGTGGGAAACACACCCACAAACCACCTCCGGCTCAGCTATATAATTGGAGGCAAGGCCTCTTTGGTTCCTGATTGAACTGCTTAAAGGCCATGATCCCAAAGACTCAGAAACAAATCTCGGAACCCAATGGCTTTAGGTAGAAATGCATCTGTTCTCTGCAGTAGGCTACTGGTGCTGGGCCAACCCAGGTGGGAATAGGTTTCGCGCCTCGGCCTGTTCCCCCTGGCAGCCCAGTGGCCGCCATCCTTCAGAGGCCACTGGATAGTCACATTTGGGCCATGTGATCAAAGTAGAGAGAGAGTAATGTGGAAATGTTGAATGCGATCAAAGTATAGAGACAGTGATTTGGAAATCATCTGCCCCACAGGTAGGGGGAGGGTGTGGGATGGGGATATACCGGGGTTTTTGGTAATGGAGAATGGGCACTGGTGAAGGTACGGGTGTTTCATTGTATGACTGAGAGTTAAACCCAAAAGCTTTGTAACTACTCTCACAGTGATTCAATAAATAAAATTATTAAAAATGGGGGGGAAAGTAAGGATAGGAGTTCATGCAAAATTCAATCAGCCTAAACAGTGGCTGAATAAATAGCAGTACTCCAACATTAAATAAATAAATAAATAAATAAATAAAATTCAAGCGGCTACAAACAACCCCTTTGGCTTTGGGAAGTGCATGGGTAAGGCACAAGGCCCTGAGCCACCCCCAGCAACTGCGGGCAACACACATCAAATGAAAAATAACTAGTCCATTTTCTGTGAGTGTTTTAATTCTTTTGTATCTGTTTCCCTAGAAACTGGAATTCTAAAGATAAAGCTTGGTATGCTTTGATTAATTCCTAATGGGAAGTAAACTTTTGAAGTTTAGAAATTTGGTATTTAAATATAAAAAGTTTTGAATGATATTTCAATGGAGCAACTCCCTTTTTATCACAAATGAAGTTAGTTTAAAACATTCTGGCAGAAGAGTTTAATCTCAAGAAAAATGAAAGGGAAAAGGAGATAAAACCAAGAACAAGTTGGATTAAATTATGGTACCTCAAAAATTGAAAAAGAAAACACATAAACTTTCTAAATTAAAAAAAATCTCAAGGGGGCCCTGCATTGTAGTTTAGCAATCGATTAGATTAGAGTTAGGAGGCCCTGGAAATGAACCTTGGCACTGCCAAAAATGAAGAAAATTTAAAAGGAAAAGCAAAGGTGTGCGGTGATAAAAATCAAAGGGGTGGGGACCAGAGACACAGTATAATGGGTAAAGCACTTGCTTTGCATGCAGCTGACCTGGGTTCAATCCCTAACACCCTAAGTAGACCCCAAAGGTTGTCAGCAGTGACCCCTGAGTACAGAGCCAACAGTAACCCTGAGCACAACCAGATGTGGCCCCAAAAAATATTATATGTGTTCATATGTATAAAGGTAAAGGTAAAGGCCCTCCCGTTGATCGTCGATTTGCTCGAGCGGGCCCAGTAACGTCTCCACTGGAGACTGTTGTTACTGTGTCTGGCATATCGGATACTCTCGGTAGCTTGCCGGGCTCTCCAAGAGGGGCGGAGGAATCGAACTCTGGTCGGCCATGTTGGCCGCTTGTAAGGCGAACGCCCTACCCGCTGTGCTATCGCTCCATATGTCTAACAAATATATTTATATATAATACATCCATATATGTGACCATATGTCCATATATATCTATAAATAAAAACAAAGAGAAGAGATAGTACAGTGGGCAGAGCATTTGCCTTATATGTGGCCCACTCAAGTTTAATCCCTGCTACCATATTTGTTCTCCTTAGAACATATCCTTATTATCCCTGAGCATTGAGTCAGAAGTAAACCCTGAACACCAGTGGAATATGGTACAAAAAACAAACAAACAAAAAGATAGTACAGGAGGTAAGACAAAACAGGAAGATCCCAGCACCACATACGAACCCGAGTACCACTAGCAGTGCCCCCTGAGCACCACCAGATATGACTCAAAAAAAAAAAAATCAGCCGAGAGCCGAGGAGTGGGAAATAAATATCTTGAATTACAAATTAATCACTTCATCTTTTCAACCAGTCTAAAGACACAGACTAAACTTTGACTTTTCACCTGGGTGATTTAACAGATATTGGTAAGCTATTAAATACTAAAGTAAAAATAAAATCATTCAGGGGCTGGAGCAATAGCACAGCATGCAGCCGACCTGGGTTCGATTCCCGGCATCCCATATAGTCCCCTGAGCACTGCCAGGGGTGATTTCTGAGTGCAGAACCAGAGTTAACCCTGTGCATCATCAGGTGTGACCCAAAAAGCAAAAAAAAAAAAAAATCGTTCTGTATCTCTTCTGTTTTTCAAAGCTTCACTGGAAAGAGCAAGAGAACTAGTACAGGGTTAAGGCTCTTGTCTTGCATGCATCTACCTCAGTTTGATCCCCAGCACCACAATGGTCCCCTGAGCATCATCTGGAGTGATCTTGAACACAAAGTCAGGAGCAAACTCACACACACACACACACACACACACACACACACACTCTCTCTCTCTCTCTCTCTCTCTCTCTCTCTCTCTCTCTCACTCACTGGAATATAACCAGAAAATAAATCACTCATTTCTGCTTGTTAATAAAAGCTATCAATTAAGATGGCTACTTTACCTGTGTTTCCTTTTTCATCTTCTCGGATGTGAAGATCCTTTACAGATGTCTCCAATTCTAGAAGATCCCTTAAGTCTTCCTTGTATACTTCTATATAAGACACTTTGATAGTAAAGTCAATGTTAGGATTCTCACAGATGTTTTGAAATATTTCTTGGATTGCTCGAGGAATGATACCCTTTTGACCCTCCACAACTGAAGCTAAAAAATTAGAAAAAAGAAAAATCTCAAGCTTTAAAAATTAAAACAAACCTTCAACCCCAGTTAGTTTCATTTGCAATTAAGCTAATTGTCTTCAACCTCTATAATTTGGGGGCAAAGGGGCCCATAATGTAAAGTGCATTCTTTGCATACAAGACCTTGATCCCAGCACCAAGAACAGCAAAATATTGAAATAATAAATCTCTGTAATTTTTAAAAACAATATATAACCTATGTCAATGTTTTCAAATGTATGACCTTATCTAAAATTCACCCAAGCACTTATCAATAATTATTTATTTAATTGATACTATATTCTAGATAATTTCCTAGAATCCTAGAAATCATCAGTAAATAAAACAGAAGGTTGGGCCAGAGCAATAGTACAGCAGGTAGGGCATTTGCCTTGCATGTGGCTGACCTGGATTCAATCCCCGGCATCCCATATGGCCCCCCAAGCACCGCCAGAAGTAATTCCTGAATACAGAGCCAGGAGTAACCCGAGAATCACTGGGTGTGCCCCAAAAAGACAAAAAAAATAGGAGAAAAAAATCTGCTCTTGTGAAAAGATACTGAGGAAAGACAGAAAATAGCAAAAATAACTTTTCAGTGAATATGACATATTAAAAAGTATTAAGTATGCCTAGAGAAAAAAAGTGGGCAAGGCAATTACTACAAGTATGTGTGTATTTAAATGATACTTGCAACTATAGGAAACACATGCTGGGCATCATTGTGAAGCTAATCTACAAGCAAAGAACTCAACTATGAATAACTCTGAAATTCACAGTGCTTTAATAAAATAAATTTTTGTGGGGAAAAAATGACAGAAGCTAAAAGAAAAAAAAAAGAGAGAGGGATGGCAGAGAAGATCTGGTGACCTATGCAGACAGCACAACAACTGTTATGCTGCTCCGATGGTACCATAAGCAAGCAGAGGGAACCAGGAAAGAGGTGATGAGTGATGAGGTCAAAGAGTTGACAAAAGTCAGATCATGTAGGGCTTCATAGAACCACACAATGGACTCAGTTTTATTCACAATGAGATGAAAATTATTAAAGTGGTAAATTGGTATTTAGAGCAAATGTGTTTTGCATATACTCTGAAAGGGCAGGTGTCTAAGCTGGGAAGCCACTTACACTCTCAGCGTGGCAATCTGGGAGCAGAGGGGGGTTGAGATATAACATGACCGTATCTCATAAAAGGCCAGTAGCAAAGGTAAGAGGTGACAAGATTTTTTAATTTATGTTGCAGAGGGCCAGGAGAATTTCATGATGACAAGAGGGCTCACAGGAATGGAGTCCATGTTTTACATACGGGAGCTCTGGATTTGATTCCCAGTCTTAATGGTACTTTGAGCACTTTTGGGTATGGCACCAAAAACATATTTCCTGACAGATGAGATGTGGAATTTTAGAGAGAGCAATGAACTAAGGATGACTCCAAGGTTTGTCTTAAGCCACAGTAAAAAGGGTTGTTAAACTGATTTGAAGAAAAGGGTGATTCATTCTGTTTTACCACAGTATCTATAGGTACAAAGTTGGGAAGTTTGAATAGGTACATGAGCACAGTCGAGAGTTCAAGTCAGCTATCCTGCCTGAAGGGGAAAAAAATTGTAAGCCAAGGATTGGAGCAATACTACAGCAGGTTGGGCACTTGCCTTGAACACAGGTTCAATCCCCATGTGGTTCCCATTCCTTGCCTGAGGTGATCCCTGAGTACAGAGCCAGGAGTAATCTCTAAGCACCACCAGATGTAGCCCCACACACTCACATCCCCCCACCCACAAGAAAGAAAGAAAGAAAGAAAGAAAGAAAGAAAGAAAGAAAGAAAGAAAGAAAGAAAGGAAGGAAGGAAGGAAGGAAGGAAGGAAGATTGGTAGTCAGGGGCTGGAAATGTAGCTCATTTGCCTTGCATGTGTGAGGCCCCAGATTTGATTCGCCAGCACTGCAGGAATTTTTTTTTAAAGGAGGGGCTGGAGAGATAGCACAGCAGGTAGGGCATTTGCCTTGCACGCAGCCGACCTAGGTTCGATTCCCAGCATCCCATATGATCCCGAGCATCGCCAGGAGTAACCCCTGAGTGCAGAGCCAGGAGTAAACCCTGTGCATTGCCGGGTGTGACCCAAAAAGCAAAAAAAAAAAAAAAAAAAAAAAAGAAGGAGGAGGGAGAAGGAAGAGGAGGAGGAGGAGGTCAGGTACAAATAGATAAAGATGGATAAGATCAAGGACAAAAAGTAAAGTCAGGAGAGAACACTAAAGACAGCTCTGAGAACTTTATTGGTTCACTTAGGAGGAACCAGAAACAAAAGACTAGTTAAACTGGTGGAAGACCAAGAGCATGGGGACCTAAAAACAAGGTGACAGTTCATAACAAACCTATTGATGGGCCTATGCAATGAGAAAAAAAATGAGCACCGCATTTGGCAAAGTGCAGATCACTTACTATTTTACTTCATCTTAAGTAAAAGTGAAGCTTCAACTGTAGTGTAGATGAATGTCTGAAAGGAACAGGTTTCAAAGGACTGGAAGGACTCAGCTATCTTTAATGATCTGATGCCAAAAAAAAAAAAAGCATAAATAAATGGGACTACTTAAAGCTAAAAAGTTTCCACAATGTGAAAGAAACCATGCCTTAAAAAAAAAAAAAAAAAGACTTTCTACTGAATGGTAGAAGATATCTGCACACCATACAGCTGACAAAGGGCTCCTATCGAATACATAAAGCACTCATGAAACTCAACAACGACAATAGAAAAGGGGCAAAGAATTTTTATAATATGTTCATAAGGGAGACATAAAGGTGGTCAACAGGAATATTTAAGTGTTCATTATCACTGATTACCAGGGAAATGCAAATACAAATAACAGTGAGATATCAAGTCACACGACAGAGAATGGTTTATATCCAAAGTGCCAGAAACAACTACTGTTGGTGGAAATTCAGTGAAAAAATCACCCCCCAGTGCTCTTGGTGGGACGGCAAATTGATTGAGATTCTAAAGAAGGCAGTATAAAGAGTTCTCAAAAAAGGAAAAACAGAACTACTTTAAAAAATAAAAACAGTAACTCCATTCCTTAGTATCTATTCCAAGAACACAAAAAGACTAAGTTAAAAAGTTTTATGCATGTTCATGTTCACTGCAATGCTAAACACAACAAGCAAAGATCTGAAAACACCCAAGCATCCAACAACAGATGAGTGGATAAAGAAATTGGGGCATATTCACCCAACAAAACACTACAAAGTGACCAAATAAATAAATAAATAAATAAAATTCTGTGTTTGGTACAACATGGATGGAATCTGAGTACACTGTTAAGCGAAATAAGTCAACAAGACAAAATTACCGAATAAAACAAGGCAATAAAATACTGAAAATAGACCTTTTTTCATTGGATACTGCCCAGTTTCCTCCAATAAGCCCACTGATCCTCTCATACATTATATGAGTGCAAACTAGGAAAACTTTTGGAGAACAACATCCAAAGTACAAAAGTTTAAAAACTACCTTTGTCTCAGATACAGGTCTAAACAGAAACATATGCACATACTCAAATGTATTTTATAAGTATCAGCAAAGATTGCTTACAATTGGGGAAAAAAATCTGAGTCATCTAATAAATCCACTAAGAGGAGACTAGCTAGCTAACATGTTATACCATGCACTTACTACAAAACAGGTTATCTGGTATACGTAGGGGAAAAAACTGCAAAGCAAATATTATTTGGATGATGCCCCCAAAATCCCCCCAAAATTTTTAAATTAAAAAACAAATGCATAGGGGCTGGAGCGATAGCATAGCAGTAGGGCATTTGCTTTGCACACAGCCAACATGGCCAACACAGGTTCGATTCCCAGCATCCCATATGGTCCCCCGAGCACCGCCAGGAGTGGTTCCTGAGTGCATGAGCCAGGAGTAACCCCTGAGCATCGCCGGGTGTGACCCAAAAAGCAAAAAAAAAAAACAAATGCATATAAGGTATTCACACCTGTTCATCAACAAAAATTAGTCACAGGAATTGAATCGATAGTACAGGGATTAAGATGCTTGCATTCCACAATTCCAGTTCCAGTCCTGGCACCACATATGGTTTCCCAAATACCACCTGAGGTTACACAAAGTCAAGAATAGCCCCTGAGCACTGCCAGATGTGCTCCAAGTCGCACTCCCACCCAAAACAAACATAAGATTTTTATAATGCAGTAATGTGCAGGGGGCCATTTGGGATGCCAGAGATTGAACCCAGCAGTGTACAAGGCAAATGCCCTACCCACTACTGCACTATCTCTTCCACCCAAACCCAAAAGTCACAATGTTTAGTCGCAATAGTCAAAGGGAGGGCACAAACTTGTGTCCTTCAACAGATGAACAGATAAACAAAGCGTAATATATCCAAATAAGGGAAGGTTCTGATTCATGGTACAATATAGAGGATGAACGTTAAAAACATCATGTTAAGGAAACTAAGGCAGATGTAGAAGGGCAATGTCATTTCACTTCTATGAAAAATATAAAATGAACAAACTTAGTGACAAAGTAGATTAGAGTCACTAAGGGCATGTGACCGGAATAAACAGTTCTGACTGTGATTAAAAAAATCCATAAACAAGAGATAACTGCAAAATCTATGATTGTTTATATTGCCACAGAACTATATACTTTAAAATTAATTGGAGCTGGGGGTTGGAGTGATAATAGAGGAGTCAGAGTGCTTGCCTTGCACACAGCCAACCCAGGTTCGATCCTGGCACCCCATATGATCCTCCCAGGCCTGGCCAGGAGTGATCCCTGAGCTGAGTCAGGAGTAAGCCCTGTGCACAGCCAGTGTGGCCCTCCCTCCAAAATAAAGAACATTTTATAATTCCTATTAGTATAGTATATGTGAATCCTTATCATTCTAATGCATTTGCCCCTCAAAAAAGCCAACATTCTCTCAAAGAACATAACTTTCAGTAGAAAAACTGAAACTTTGTAATGAAACATTAAAAAACCTTTAAAATATCTTTAATCTGCTACTCCTGGTAACAGTGAGTCTAAAAAGATGGGAGTGGGAGCTAATGGACATTATCTTTTTTAATTTTTTTTTGTTTTTGAGTCATACCAACAACACCCAAGGAACTATTGACTACATGGTCAGGGTTACAGGGGATATACTAAGACTGAAGCCTGGACCTTGCATGCAAAAATGTGCTCCAGACCTCCAAATTAGTTATTGGCCACCCAGTTGCAAAACGAGCAGTTCCTCACAGTCAGAGAGATAGCACAGAGGTTAAGGTGCTTGTCATACATGCAGACAACCCAAATCCAGTACAGCATATGGTCCCCAAGCAGAGCTACACATGGCCCCAAAAACCACTGGGTATGACCCCAATACCTCCCCCTTCCAATAAAATATATAAAATGAGGAAAGCCTCAAACCACACAGTCACTGTCCCTTCCATTCTAGGATGCTCCATGTAATGAGAGGTGTTCCTGAAAGTTGCATATTCTAAATTTGGCAAGTATGAAAGTAGAAAAAAATTAAGATGTATTAATATATACAGCACTAAGGATAAATTTATACCAAAGTCTCAAACTCATCTGGTCCACCTCCCACTTTGGGGGGGGGGGGGAGGGAGGCTTATGTGACCCATGAACTTACCTTAAATTGCGCCTGAGATTACAAGCGCCCCTCCCTTCAGTCCAGAACCCTGGGGTGGGTGTGGGTACAGTACTGGCTACTTTAGGAAACACTGGTTTTGGGGGGAGTGGGAGGTGGGGGACGAGGATGAGGGTAGATGTGGATGACACCCAGAGAGGCTCAAGGAGCTACTCCAACTCTGTTCTCAGAGGTCCCTCCTGGGGGACCAATTCAGTGACAAAGGCAAGAATCCCTCCCGTTGATCGTCGATTTGCTCAAGCGGGCCCAGTAACATCTCCACTGGAGACTTTGTTGTTACTGTGTTTGACATATCGAATACTCTCGGTAGCTTGCCGGGCTCTCCGAATAGCTTGCCGGGCTCTCCGAGAGGCAAGAATCAAAGCACCTTAACCCCCAGACACATTCGTTCTGCCCACAGAAATGCTGATTCAGACAATAAATGATGAATTCAAAAGTTTTCCTGTACTGAAAAACAAAAACAAAATAAAAACTCCAATATGATCAAGAATCTCAGCACCATCATTCAATTCTAGCTCTGTTGCTGACCAATTCAATGCACCCATCAGCGGTCTGAGACTGGAGCTGCCGATTATATAGGAAGATAAATTGTTTTCAATGTACCTTCCAGCTCTAAAACCCTGTGGCTCCATCTTTTCCAAACCAAACTGACAGCAGGAGAAATTCTATATCCTAAAACAGTATTTAAGATGGAAATGTGGCCCGGAAATGGAAGTAATCGACACTTACCACACAGTGAAGCCTCCCCGACCACTCGACATCCTTGATGCAGCACTCTCAGGATTTAGAAGGGGATTGTAAAGTACACAAAATCTGATTTCACTGACTCATATCTATCATGAATTCTACTTGATTCATATGCTAGGTGCCCAGAATGTAGTGGGCACTGGCATACTTTAGCTTCTTTTTAGGGTCTCAAATAAAACTCTGAAGAGTAGGAGAATCTTACCAACATGGCCTCCTCCAATGGTGTACGTCTTTCCAGATCCAGTTTGTCCATAAGCAAAAACAGTTGCATTATAGCCCTCAATGAGTGACAACACTAGGGGCTTTATACATGTATTATAAACTTCATCTTGAGTGGAATTTTTGCCAAAAACAAAATCAAAGGTAAAGACTCTATCTCTCCCAATGATAATTTGCTGGGTGTTTGGGATAACTCTCACACAAGCTTGATGGTTATGAAGAACTTCTTTGCACAGCAGAGGTCTAATTCTTACAGCAACTTTTACAGGTATTTCTTCCATGGCAGCTTAGATTTTACTAAATAGATTTTTCTACTTAATATTCAGTATCTACTGGGAGAAACATCCATTTTACGTAAGATCTGGACTCCTGTATATCAAAATAAAAACAAAGTTTAATTATTGATTCCTTCATCCTAATAAACTAACCATCTTATAAAGCAAAGTCAATTAAAGCATTTTGTTTCATTTTGAGTTATCGTAAGTGAATCTAATTTTTAAAAATACACCTATGATAGAAGAAATATGTCTGAAATTGCTGCAAATAATCTTATGAGTTGGAGGCCATGAGCTGTTAGATGAATAAGCTATGTAATAAGTATACCATTATCATGTTCTTCCTATTCTGCTCAGAGGTTGGCCCAGCTCATTACCTAAATTAAATACTGGAGTCAGAATATCAAGGCAATGAAATTGTTGTTACTGTAACATGTACTAAAAACCCTTGAGCACTATTTTCATAGCAACATCTTTTTGCCACAAACGTTAGAAATAAACAACAAAAAATGGTTTTAAGGATTTAAGTGAATATAAATTTAAAACTAAAATTTGTAACCAAAAATTTTATCAGGCTACAGGTTCAATGCCCATATGGGCCAGTGCACAAGAGCTGTGGAATGATGTCCTCATATGTGGCATATCTAAAGTAACAGAGTAAAGAAACATCAAATAGTGGAATGACAGCACAGCATATATGCTGCTAGCCTGCACAGTGCCAACCCTGCTTCAATCCCAGCACCCTGTATGGTCCCAAACCAGTTAGGAGTGATCCCTGAGCACAGAGCCATGAGTAAGCCCTGAGCACTGCAGGATGTGTCCCACAAACCAATAAATACGAAGAAAAGAAACAACATCCACATTCTACCACCACCACCATGTAAGCTCATCTATCAGCCCAACTTCAGAGACTCATGATTAAATCTTAGAAGTGATCAAACTAGGTGCAAAAATTTCTCAAACACACTGATTCCCAGCTGAAATCTCCAGGATGATATGGGGAGTAGTTGAAGCAAGTTTTCACCCTGCCAAAGCCCCAGCAGCTGCACTCACCCCAACAGCTGCCACCATACCTATGGCCAGATCCCACCACCTCACGAGAGAGCTCCACAGAGAAGCAAGACTACTGAAAATTTCAGGTGCACTGGGTATGGAAGATGAGAACTCTATTCTCAGAGTGGGGGATGATTAACCTCCCTCCCTCACCCAGTTGTACTTCCAGAAGCCCTGGCAGTCACACTACATCCCACAATCATACCTACCATGTAAGCTCATTGCTCAGTTAAATATTCTGGGTTTTGTTTTGTTTTGCTTCGGAGAGCCTGGCAAGCTACCAAGAGTATCTTGCCCGTACGGCAAAGCCTGGCAACCTACCCATGACTTACTCAATATGCCAAACACAGTAACAACAAGTCTCACGATGGAGACATTACTGGGCCCACTCGAGCAAATAGATCAACAACGGGAGGACAGTGCTACAGTGCTTGCTTTGTGTGTGTGTGTGTGTGTGTGTGTATGTGTGTGTTTAGCATGCAGTCACAAATGCGGCCAAGCAGCATCCCAAACTCTACAATACTAGCATCTCAATAGGAGCAAACCAGATTGGATGGGAATAAAATGCAGAAGCCAACTAAACAAGATTAACAAAAACATTGACACAGAAGGCTCAACTAGCAACAACTGCTTAGTAAACTCTCAGACAAGGACTTAATGTTCCCATGGTGAGATGCAACAATTTTCACAAATTTACTTTTACTAACGTACTTTTTATAACTCCATTAGACATTTAGTGCTAACAAGCAATATAAAATAAATGACTTTGGTCTCAGTCCACCAGGCTGTTGACCCCTGACGCCATGCTTTTTTTCCCATTTCTGTCTCCCATTTCAGCCTTACCATCTAGATAAAAATACTGATTGCCCTGAACAAATACCATGACCTCCTAGCACCTGTATTGCAAACCATAATGCACAAAAGGAAAAGGAGAGAGAGAGCAAGAAGGAAAACCTCTCCCATAGAGGGAGGATAGAGGGTGGGAAGGTTGGGGAATGATGGTAGGAAACAGGAGACCTTGGTGGTGGGAAATGTGCACTGGTGGAGGGATGGGTATTAGATCATTGTATGACTGAATCCCAATTATGAACAGCTTTGTAATGGTCTATCTCATGGATATTCAATTTAAAAAAATTATTTTAAAGTAATGTGGAGTTCATGCCCAATTCAATGAGCTTAATTAAATAGAATTACTCCTACATTAAAAAAAAGAATCTGAGAAAAAGTGGTTTATAAGTGCCTATATTATTAGAACTATCTTATCAAATATGTGGCAAATGAGATGAGAAGCCTTGTGTCCATACTTTTATGTTACTGTATAGCACTCCAACATGGGTTCCATAATGATAAAAGGGTGGATGGGATAGCATTACTTCTGTCCCTAGGAGCAAAACCTGAAGGACGAATGTATCCCTTTGATTAAATGTTAATGTTTTTTAATCATTTTTATAAAAGTTACATGAATACACATAAGGTTATAAGAATTCTGTAGCATTGTCCTGTCCTCCCATTGTTCATCGATTTGCTCGAGCAGGCCCAGTAACGTCTCCATCGTGAGACTATAAGGTTATAAGAATAGGATTACAGGGGCTGGAGCGATAACACAGCGGGGAGGGCACTTGCCTTGCATGCGGCCCACCTGGGTTTGATCCCCAGCATCCCATATGGTCCTCCGAGCCCCATCAGGAGTGATTCCTGAGTACAGAGCCAGGAGGAACCCCTGAGCATTGCCGGGTATGACCCAAAAAGCCAAAAAAAAAAAAAAAAAGAATAGGACTACATCAACAATTTGGTTTGAAATTCATGTGCTTGTTTTAAGTTATCTAAGAAACTTTAGTTGAATACTGCATGTAAGTAATAAAATATATGTTTTTCTCTCTCCATTATGTCTTTTGTATGTTTTTATTTTAGAGCAGTGTCTTTTTTTTCCTTTTGGGTCACACTTGCTGATGTACAGGGGTTACTCCTGGCTCTGCACTCAGAGATTACTCCTGGCAGTGCTGGGATGGTGGGAATCAAACACAGGTTGGCCGCATGCAAGGCAAACACCCTACTCTCTGTACTATCACTCCAGCCCCAAGCAGGGTCTCTTTTTATATAGACACAGAAAGACAGATAATGCTTTGCTTTTGCAATATGTGAGCTAACTGGCTCCAAAAAATACTAGTGTGCAGGTGAATCCTGAAACTCCTGGGCATCTGTTATATTTATCTGTCTTAAGTTGCCCTAAGATTGGCTTTTGATTTCGAACAACCCAGAAGGTGACCCCCGAGGGCCTTGGATGGACCTGGGGCAAGCAGCAAACAACCCTGACATGACATGGGACTCAGTCTTAAGGGTCCACAAGAAGAATAACTGGTCAAGGGCCTGGAGAGATAGCACAGCGGGTACGGTGTTTGCCTTGCACGCGGCTGACCAGGGTTCGATTCCCAACATCCCATATGGTCCTCTGAGCACCGCCAGGAGTAACTCCTGAGTGCAGACCCAGGAGTAATCCCTGTGCATCACCGGGTGTTACCCAAAAAGGAAAAAAAAAAAAAGAAAAAGAATAACTGGTCAAGAGTACAGGCATGAAACAGGCTCTGACCCAAAGGAAGCAACTGGAAAGAACCCTTTGGGGTTATGAAATGCTAACAGAGTTTGAGAACTGCAGTACGGTGATGTCCCCAGGAAAAGCCACTTATCTAACCACTTGCCATGACTCCAGTTTAACTATTTAAGCTTACCAAAAAGGTATCTATATTTCTTACTGTGTTTATGTAAAATAACTACAAATATTTATCAGAAGTAAATTTAATCTGTTGTGATTGTTTAAAGAATTACCAATAAAGGAAGATACAAAGGAAAAAAATTATTTTGGCTCTGCTACAGGGGCAGGCTTGAGGAGTGGTTGAGAAAATAGAGGAGGGAAGGTGGTGGGATTGGGGTTGGAATACTAAATGCCTGTAACAAATGCATCATGTATAACTTTGCAAACCATAGTGTTTAAATTAAGTAGGAAAAAAAGAAGAAAAGAAACAACAACTATTCAAAGGCAACAGAAACTTAGAGCTGTCTTTAACCGGAAACATATCCCTGTAGGGCGGATGGAAAACGGGATGGGTGGGTAGGGAGGGAACATCACTGGGACATAGTGGAGAGAAGCGGTTCACTGAGGGGGTGGGGGGAGGGTGTTAAAACCCTGCCATTATCAGTTTTGTAAATTCTTGGTGCCTAAAATTGAAAAAATTGAAGAAAATCTAATAGAAAAGCTGCTTCTCTACTAAATTATGTAAACTTGTTTCTGAAGATCTCTGATGGAATATATTAAATATCAATACGGTAGCTACTATGGCAGGAAAGAATGTAAAAAATAAATTTAAACAATAATGCCAGGATTGGATAGGTGGCTCAAAGGCTGAAGCAACATGAATATGGATTCCCAGATTCAACCCCTGGCACCGGTGGTCCTCTGGAGGACAAAATAGAGTATTCCCCCATTAAAAAGAAAAGTAAACTAATTCATTTATAATAGGACCAGAAGGAATAAAACATCTAGGGGGAAAAAAATCAAAGATTTATAAAACACTGAAAACTTGCAAATATCACTGAAAGTAAAGATAGAAATAAATAGAAAATTTTCTCATGTTCAGGGGCTGGAGAGACAGTACAGCAGGTAGGTCATTTGCCTTGCATGCACCTCACCTGGATTGAACCCTGGTATCCCTGAGCACCACCAGGAGAATATAATTCCTCAATGCAAGCCAAGAGTAACCCCTGAGCATCGCCAGGTTTGACCCAAAAAACAAAAGACAAAAAGTTTCTCGTGTTCATTGACCAGATGACTTTACATTGTTAAGATGACAATATTCCTCCCAAACTAATCACAAAGTCTTGCTTAACACCTTCCCAAATCCTAGCTGACTTCTTGGCAGAAATTAACACGATAATCCTAAAACTCATAGGGAAATTCAAAGGACAAAGAACAGCAAACCACCAAAAAGAGCAGAACAAAGTTAGAAGACATGCAACCAACCATTGTTTTATGTTTCAAACAAGCAACAATAATCAAAACAGTGTATTAAAGCATACAGTGACTTTAAAATCACTGGAGGGCACTGTATAGATAGTTCAGCGGATAGGGCGTCTGTCTTGCACACACCAGCCTGGGTTCAATCCCTGGTTATCCCACATGGTCCACATCACGAGGTGTGATCCCAAACCCACCCACCTGCCCCAAAAAGGATGACACTGATGAACTGAAGAGACAGCTCAAAGGGCTGAGGGTCTGCTTTGCATGTGGGGTGATCAAATCCTGAGATTCAAAAATCCTGAGTACTGTCGTTTGACCCCAAAACAAAAAAACAAAAACAAATAGGAGTTGGAGAGACAGTTCAATGGACTGGAGCACATGTTTTGCATGCAGGAGGACCTGGTTTGTTAGTCCCCCCAAGCATCACTGCCCACCCCACAACCCCCTCCCTGCCTACCACCAAACTGAATAGAGTCCCTGAGTACCACAAAGCCTGGCACCCAAGCCCAAAAATATTAATAATGAAAAACATGGTCAGAACGATAGTACAGGGGTTAAAGTGCTTGTTTGCACATAGCTTGTTTGCACAATTTGATCCTTGACACAATAAACGGTCCCCCAAAGCACTGCCAGGCGTGACCCAATACCCCCCTTTCACCCCGTGATAATAATGATAATAATAAACAAAAGTAAATAATAAAAAGACTAATAAAGGCTAAGGTTGGGGAAATATCTTAGAAGAGGTGCATGCCTTACAAGGAGTGGAGTCAGATGGCTGGCACCTTAACGGCCCCTGAACACCTCCAGTGTGATCCTGATGGCTCCAGAGCAATGCTGGTATGGCCCTGAATCACAAGGGGCCGGAGTGACAGTACAGCAGGCAGGGGCTTATCTTGCACATGGCCAACCTGAGTTCAATCCCTGGCACTCCATATGATCCCCCAAGAAATGCCAGAAGCTATCCGTGAGCACATAGTTAATTCCTGAACACTGCTGAGTGACCCAAAACCAAACAAAAAGACTGAGGAGATGCAGAGATGCAAAACAGCATCAGCAGAAGCAGGAAACTGCAGTTAAAATCCCAATGAGACACCACCACACTCCCACTAACGTGTCTCTAATCAGAGGGGTCATAAGTGAACTGTGGATATGCCCCAAGTGCGAGAGCTCATGCCTTGCCAAAGGTCCTCAATACTTGTCATCCCCCCAAGGCCCTCGGCAGGATTGGGCGTAGCCTCCTGAGCAGCAGCAACAAGGAGAAAGTTCATTAACTGTCCAACAACAAACTGTGGAAGTGTTGAGCAGAATGTGGAGAAAACAAAAACTCCTGATGGGAATGCAAAATAATGCAGCTATATGAAAAAGTGTCTGGCAGCTTTTGCCAGAGTTCAACAGAGTGTGGAAAAGACCACTCACAGGGCTAGTGCACGTACTCTGCACGCAGGAGGACAGGCTCCATCCCCATCACCACGTCCTGGGCACTACCAACAACCCTCAAGTCAGCATTCAGAGTAGACCCTCAGCACTGCAAGATGCAGCATCAAAACTGGGGTGGAGGGGTGAGGGGTCGGAGGAAGTAAAGAGGTATGCAGTTGTCAAGTGAACCAGCAATTCTACTCTTAGGGATTGAGAAATGAAAATCTGTAGTCACACAAAAACTTGTATATGAGGAAGTCTTTCATTGCATGAAGTGGACCCAGGTCAGATGCCTGGCACCCCATATGATCCCCAGCACAACCAGGAGTCCTAAGCAAAGAGCCAAGAGTAAGCCCCGAGCACCTCAAGGAGTGACCATCAAACAAATAAACTTGTATATTAAAGTTAACTCCAGTGGATGTCAACTGATAGCCCACAATGCAAATCCACAGATATAATGTAGCTGAAAACGACTATTTCACACCATATAAAGGCTTTAAAAAACAATATATCAGTAATAATCAATAACAATGTAGATGTAGATGATGAAAAATTATCAGTTTGAGGTGGAGATGGGCCCTTTAGATAAGGCCAGCCTTGAACAATACAAGGTAACCTAGTGGACTTGAATGAACAAAGACAATATATTCAGCACTACTTGCCATCAAAATATTAATCTTATTGATGTATGAATCTTGACATACTTAATAGTCACTAGCCATTAAAAACTACAGCAGTACTGTGCAATAATTCTGTGCATAGCCTAAGAAGAATCAATTTTTTAAAAAGAAAAAGAAAAAAAAACCAACATTTAAAAAAAAATTTACATCACTCTGTTCAGAGCCTGGTAACAGTAAAAAAAGAAAAAATATTAGCTCCTTTGAGTCGTAAAATCCCAAAACACAGTCAACAACTACCTCTAGTGGTCAAAACAAACAGGTATACATAATCACGGTAGTAGTTTTCATCACCGGTGAAACTGCGCTGAAAAAAAAGAATACTCTCAAATCCCTTCTTGGGTCCTAAAAGGCTCTACAATCAATTGTGCTGAAAACTTTTCCAAAGAATCTGCAAGGACACTGGGGCACAGCGGGTACCGCACCAGCACCAAGAGCGCCCCCCCACCCCCACCCCCCGAGCCAGGAGCAACCCCGAGCTGGGCTGGCTCGGGGTCAGCACCAGCGGGGCTCGGGGGACCAGATGGGGCGTCGGGGGACCGAACCCAGTCGGCCACGCACAGGTGAGCTCCGGCGCCGAGGGTTTTTCTGAAAAAAAAAAAAAAAACCCTCCAAATTGTTTAATTCATTCATCCTCAGATGCACAAGGGCTGTGTCACCAGTAATGTAAAGAAAGGCGGGGACTGACTGGCCCAGCCGGGTTATCTCTGAAGAAATAAATCTAAGCGAAGGCAAGATAAACATCTGATCATCGCGTCATTTTTTAAATGACTTTAAAACCCGAAGGCACCAGGTTTCCAAGCACCTGTGCCTTCTGGTTTCAGAAACAGGCGAGTAGAAACTGCGAGGACGTTTTCCGAAGACTTGCAGGGAAGCCGGGTGGGCAGCGTGGGGGGGAGAGGGGCAGGGCCCGACCGGGGCGCGCGCCGCTCCGCCCCCGCAGGCCTCGGGACCCCCGGAGCGGCCGCTCCGCCCCCGCAGGCCTCAGGACCCCCCGGGGATCCGGCTCCCCCGACCCCGGCGCCGGCTTTCCTCCCTCAGTCCCGGGACGTCGCATCCGCCGCCGCGGCCACTCCTGGACCTGGACCCCCTAAGCGCGCCCCCGGCTGCCCGACACCCCGCGGCCCTCCTCGGCCAGACGGCCGCGTACTGACCGGCTCCAGAAAGCCACGACCTCCGGCGGCGAGCGCAGAGCAGGCCCCGCGGATAACGGCCGCCGCCGCCGCGTCTTTTGTTGTCTCGCGTTCTCCGGGCAACCAGGAAACCCCGGGTGCGCCGCGCCCCGCCCACGTACCTCAGGCCCCGCCCCCGACTCTAGCCCCACCCACAGGCCCCAGACCCCGCCCCTCCACCGTTCGCACCGCCCACAGGCCTCAGGCCCCGCCCCTCCGTCTCCCGCATCGCCCACGTGCTTCAGGCTCGGCTCCCCGCCTACAGGCCCCGCCCCGCAGGCTCTCGGCCCCGCCTCGCTACTCCAGTCCCCGCCCCATCGACTTTCCTGCCAAATTGGAATTTAGCGCCCACGGACGAAATTGTTGTTCCAGCATTCTGCTAGAGCTACCCAGCCAAAGTTTGAAAAATGAATGTGACAGGGCCCAGAGCAGTACAACCGGTGGGGGTTTTGCCTTGCATGCGGCTGAATCCAGTTCTGTTATCAACATCCTATCTGGTGCCCCGAGCATGCTAGTGGAAAGCCAAGAGTAAGCCCTGAGCATCGCAGGGTGTGTCCCCAAAACAAAAAAAAAGAAAATGTGACAAATTTTGAATTTCAGTATCCTAGTTACCAATTTCTTTTCTCTCGTTAATTTTCTTTGAAGTAAGTTTTAACATGAGAGAAACATAACATTGCAGGACACTTTTTAAGTGTACAATTCGGGGCCAGTGGGCTCAGTACGAGTTTGGCATGCAGGAGGCCTGAGTGTGATCCCAGGCACTAAATAGTTCCCAGAGTGATCCTGGAGCACAGTCCAGCAGTGTAGCCAAACAAAACAGTGTAGCCAAACAAAACAGATATAGTGTACAATTGTACAATTGTATGATATAGTGTACAATTCAGAGGCGCTAAAGACATAAGTATAGGAAACATCACTTCTGTCTCCTTCCAATACATTTTCATCACCCCATCTAGCCAGTTTTCCATCCCCTTTCCTCCCTCAACCCCCTGGAAACTAATATGCTTTCTGTATCTTTGAAATGTTCTGATCAGGGCATCTCATATTCTTAGAACCATGCAGTCTGTGACTTTTTGTGTTTGACTTCTTTGGCTTAACAATGTTTCCCAGGCTATGACATGTTACTCATGTTAAAGCATGAATCAATGCTTCATTTGTATAGCTAAATAATATTTCATTGTATGGCTATATCATATTTTATTTATCCATTGAGCGATAGCACAGCTGTAGGGCGTTTGCCTTGCACGCAGTCAACATGGCCGACCCGAGTTCAATTCCTCCGCCCCTCTCGGAGAGCCCGGCAAGCTACCCGGAGTATCTCACCCGCACGGCAGAGCCTGGCAAGCTCCCCGTGGCGTATTCGATATGCCAGACACAGTAACAACGAAGTCTCCAATGGAGACATTACTGGGCCCGCTCGAGCAAATCAACGAACAACGGGAGGGCCTTTACCTTACTTTACCTTATATTAGTGGACATGTGGCTTGTTCCCACCACATGACCAATGTAAGAATATTGTTGTAAATATCAAGTGTTTTTAATGGTTTTTTTTAGCTCCTTTCGATATAAGCCTAAAATATGGACTTCTGAGTCCTGAATCATAGACTAATTCTATATTTAACTCTCCTAATTTAGTTTAAAACACCTCAATGCAGCCTTGATTTTTTTAAGTAGTAGCATGGACTTCCATCACTGTGTATGTTTACAAGTATGTTCATACTTCTCCAAATGTAATATGACCATAGCAAAGCACCTATAAACCCTCCCCCCCACAGTCCTCTGGCCTTCCTCCACTCTGCTCCCACTTACACCCCTCTCTGACATATCAGTTCTGTAGTCAGATAGGCTTTGTCTTGTTTATTGTTCCTTTGTCTTGTTTCTTTGTTTTGTTGTTTGGACTCTATACTCAGAGGTGTTCAAGGCTCTCTCCCAGAAGGGCTCAGCTCTCCATATGTGATTCTGGGGATCCAATTGAGAGACAACCCCCTGTACCAGCTCTCTGACCTCTCCTGTGTTTCTTTATATTCTATATATGAGCAAAATCATGTGGTATTTTTTTTCTCCATCTTCACTTATTAGTAAAATCTGTTCAGATTTTATTGAAGCTGCAAATGGCAAGGTTTTGGGGTCTGTGTGTGTATGCATGTGTGTATAACATCTTTTTAACTGGGGTACACCTGGTAGTGCTCAGGAGGCTGTGCAGTACTAAAAATCAAACTGAGGTGACTGGAGAGATACTACAATGGGTAGGGCACTTGCCTCTTGTGCACCCAACCTGGGTTCTATTCCTGGCACCCCATATGGATCCCTGAGCACTACCAGGAGTGATTTCTGAATGCATAGCCAGGAGTAACCCCTGAGCATTGCCAGGTGTCACCCAAAACCACAAACTAAAGAATCCAATTGAGCACCTCAAACATGTGAGGCATGTGCTCTACCACTTGAACTATCTCCCTGTTTGTTCTTTACCCATTAATCCACTGTCCATCAGCTCTTAGGTGTCATGACTCTTGTTAATAGCACTGCAGTAAACTTATAAATGCATATCTCCTCTTAACTTCATGCTTTATATTCTTTAAATAAACACCTAGGAGTGGAGTTGCTGTGTCATATGGTAGATCTATTAAATTTTACTTTTTTCTGGGAAGGGATAGTACTTCCTCTTCAGCTACATCTAAGTTCAGAAAATAAATTTCAACTAAAGAATTCAACAAAATTTGGGGCTGGAGCAATAGCACAGCGGGTAGGGCGTTTGTCTTGCACGCGGCCAACCAGGGTTCGATTCCCAGCATCTCATATGGTCCCCTGAGCACCGTCAGGGGTAATTCCTGAGTGCAGAGCCAGGAGTAACCCCTGTGCATTGCCGGGTGTAACCTAAAAAGCAAAAAAAAAAAAAAAAGAATTCAACAAAATTCAATAAAAAGACAGTAATTCACACTTCTCCCAATTTAGATCTCATTAATGCTGATGTGTTTTCAAGACTTGGGATCATGATCCGGGTCCTCAAACAAGAGGTATTCCAAAATCTGGCCCATCGAGGGCAAGGTATAAGTGTCACTTGTTTGGCTTTTGAACCACACCAGGCAGTCAGTGCTCAGAGGGCCATATGTGGTGCCAGGAGTTTGAATCAGATAGTGTAGATATAGCCACGTGCAAGGCAAGTTTGGGTATAGATTCTAGCTAAGATCAGGCATAAAATAAGCCATCACACCACACCACACACTCATCCTACCTCGTCCTAAAAATTCTTTCAAATATGCCTACTTCCCATAAAATTAAAGAAACAGAACTGGTATGAAAACCCAATTTTATTTTTTTAAGAAAAAGGTTTAGATTATTAATGGATTTCTTCAAAAATTGAAGACGAGGGCTGGAGCATAGCACAGCGGGTAGGGCGTTTGCCTTGCACGCAGCCGACCCAGGTTCGATTCCCAGCATCCCATATGGTCCCCTGAGCACTGCCAGGAATAATTCCTGAGTGCAAAGCCAGGAGTAACCCCTGTGCATCGCTGGGTGTGACCCAAAAAGCAAAAAAAAAAAAAAAAATTGAAGACGAGTGCCAGAGATGAGGCAAGGCATTTGCCTGCATACAGCCAACCCCAATTCATTCCCCAGCACCACCTATGGTCCCGAGAAATGCTATGGGTCTCGCCACCCCTGACCATAGAGCCAGGAATAGACCCTGAGCACTGCTGGGTGAGCTCCTCTGCCTTTTTCTACCTTCTATCCCCACCAAAATGTTGATGATGGAACCAAGGCAGTAAGCATAGTGGTTCCCCTTAGGACAGAATACCTGTACTCTGATCACTTTACATTGCAGAGAACTCACAAATCTGGACTTCCTTAAGGGTCACTGTTTACCATGCTTTGGGAGCACACATGAAGGTACCGACAGAGGAACAAAGGCATGCGGGTCATGGGGCTGAGATCTCCAAGCCTGCTCGGATCGGGGCTGAGCATCCTCCACCCAGATCCTCCACCTTCCAGTAGGCGGGGGTCACACCCACCAACTGGCCCCCTGGTGCCGTGTAATCCCATCAACAGCCAAGACCCAGAGACTATAAAACCAAGCTCCCGGAAGCGACATCTTATTATCTCATTCTTACTTTGGACAAACTGGCAGGCTACCGAATGTAACCTGCCCACACGGCAGAATCTGGCAAACTCCCCGTGGCGTACCCAATATGCCAAATACCAGTAACAATGATGGGTCTCATTCTCCTAACCCTGAAAGAGCCTTTAATATGGCACTTTTTAAAAAATCTTAGGGCTAGGACGAAGGAGACGTTACTGGGGCCTGCTCGAGGCAACCGACGAACAACAGGATGGTCATGATCGTGATCGTGGGAGCAAATAAAATGAGTAGCAAGAGATAGTAAAAAGCTAAGGCATTTGGTAGCATGTCACGGTCACGGTCCTCCCGTTGTTCATGGATTTGCTCGCGCGGGCCCAGTAACGTCTCCATTGGAGACTTTGTTGTTACTGTGTTTGGCATATCGAATACATCACGGGTAGCTTGCCAGGCTCTGCCATGCGGGCGAGATACTCTCGGTAACTTGCCGGGCTCTCCGAGAGGGGCGGAGGGATCGAACTCGGGTTGGCCATGTTGGCTGCGTGCAAGGCAAACGCCCTACGGCTGCGCTATCGTTCTAGCCCGCTGTGGTATAATCCTGATACTGTATGTGGTTCCCAGAATACCACCAGGCTTGGCCTTTAAGCACTGCTGGGTTTAGTCCCAAAACCAGAAAGAAAAAAATAAAAGGAGCAAAAATACATCTTAAGTCATGGCAGTCACTATACTTCTAACCAATACACAAGCATAAGGGTTGATGTTAGAATGTAGCAGGTAGAATACTTGCCTGTCATACAAGATCCTTCCCCTTTTGCCTAAACATGCAGTCAAGGCAGACACAAAACTCATTAATTGCCTGTCCAATGTCTCACAAAATAGCTGAAGTTTAAACTGCCTAAGACTAGCCAACAAAAAGATAAATTTAATTTCCCTGTTAAGCAAACTAAGAATTTTTCCTGTTAGACACATACCATTGCTTACAGTGATACAAATCGTGCAGTGTAAAACTTCAATCCTATTGGTCATGATTTATAAGGTTATTATGACAAATTTATAGCAGGTGGCAGTAAAGTTCTTGAGGAAAGGAGACCTTTTCCTGATTCGCACAAAATCAACATGGAAGTTAAAATTCTGTTAGCAGGAAGGTAGGCATAATGATGGAAAATGAGGTGCTGGCTAGCCCGTGACATAAAGAAAACAATCCAGGGTCAGAGATAGCACAGGGGGTAAGGCCTTGTAACCTGTCCATCCCAGTTTGAGTCTCTAGAACTACCACACAGCCCCCCGGAGCATTGCCAGGGACACTCCTGAGCACAGAGCCAGGAGTAGCCCCTGAGTACTGCTAGGGTAATTCCCAAAATAAAATAATCCAATTTATTATAAAAAACTCTATGTGGTAAATTTTATTTTAATGAAATAACTTGTTCCATATTTAAGAACGGTTTAAAAACACCTTTATTCAATTGCAATATAGTTACTCCTTAAAAAATTAGTAGGCAGGAAGGAACCTCGCTGGCGGGCACCATAGCACCAGGAGAATTCTCCGGGCCTCATACTGAATCAATATCGCTGGGAGGTCCCAGATGGGGCAGGTGCAGTCTCCCTGCCTTCTCCAGATGGAATCCTGGTGACCATGAGTTTCTACAAGCATGACTCCGGTATGTGGGCACCAGGATTATTCTTCAGAACCGCACTGGGGCACTTGACCGGGCAGTTCCATCCAGGCTCCCAGTCAGCCCCTGATCCCAGAAGTCATGCCCTCAAACCGCCCTCAGCACCATCTTGCCACACACAGCAGTGAAGAAATCTGGCCGGCGGGCACCTCAACACCCGGAAAATTCTTCAGTCCCCATACCAAGCTGATATCACTAGGAGGTCATGCCCAGATGAAGCAGGTGCAGTCTCCCCGCCTTCTCTAAAACATGACTCCACGGCCACGAGACCTTTCCTGATATGCAAAGTGAGCAATGGAAAATAAATGATCTGGAAGGCAGGCTTGAATGGTGGTGGGAAAATTCGAGCAAAATATAATGCCCAACAGAAATGTATCTGGACTGTGCATTAAACTACAGCGCCATGCTGCCCTGGGAGGGGAAGGGTGTTTGTGCCTCCGCCTTTTCCCCCTGGTGGAGGTGGCATGGTGGCCACCATCTTTCAGAGACTAATGGACAGCCAGGTATGAGACTGCAGTGAGGAGGCAAGCTGGGCCTCATGGGATGGCGTGTGGAACCAGCTCCCCATCCCGACAAAGCGCCAAGTTGCAACTCACGAATGCCTCCTCTGGCTCCTTGAATGACCATGATCCCAGAGGCACACAAACCAATCTCAGAACTCAGCGGCTTTTGGCAGTAATCCTTCCAGACTTATTACAAAAATATCAGAAATCTAAAATCGTGTGGCCACTATCGCAGCCACACAACATCATATGCTCTTCATAATCAGCACTGTAGCACTGTCCTCCCGTTGTTCATCGATTTGCTCGAGCAGGTTCAGTAACGTCTCCATTGCGAGACTTCTTGTTACTGTGTTTGGCATACTGAATACGTCACAGGTAGCTTGCCAGGCTTTGCCATGCAGGCGAGATACTCTCGGTAGCTTACTGGGCTCTCCGAGAGGGGTAGAGGAATCGAACCCGGCTCGGCCGGGCTAGCTGCACGCAAGGCAAACACCCTACCGCTGTGCTATCACTCCAGGCATAATTAGCAATAGAAATCAAATTATCTAATGATGTCTTTTTGGCAGGTCTGATTGTTGGGGGAAATTACAAATAATAATGGTGGGTCTTTTGTCATAATATTGAATGTGATCAACGGAGAGAGTGTAAAGTGGAAATCTGCCACACAGGCAGGGGGAGGAGTGGGAGGGAAGCATACTGGAGTTCTTGGTGGTGGAAAATGTGCACTGGTGAAGAGATGGGTGTTTGATAATTGTATGACTGACCAAGACTTAAACTGAAAGGCTTTGTGACTGTTCTCATGGTGATTCAGTGCTCGAGCGGGCCCAGTAACGTCTCCATTGTGAGACTTCAAACAATTTTTAAAAGACTGAAGATATCCTAAAGATATCTTCAAGATTGAAGATAATCTTTAAAAGATTAGGCAGATATCCTAAATTGAAAATCATCATTTACAAAATCACTGTCTTGTTTTTTGAGACACACCCAGCTGTGCTCAGGGATCCCTCCTGGACATGCTCGGGAGATCATATCAGATGCCAGGGATCAAACTCTGTTTGCCCACATGTGGACACCCCATCTGCTATACTATTGCTACAGCCCATCTAGACTGATTTTACAGGTAAAAAAATGTCACAAGAGTAGAGCACATGAGGGGCTGGAGCAATTGCACAGCAGGTAGGGTATTTGCTTTGCACATGGCAAAAACCAGGTTCAATTCCCAGCATCCCATATGGTCCCCTGAGCACCACCAGGATTAATTACTGAGTGCAGAGCCAGGGGTAACCCCTGTGCATGCCCGGGTGTGACCCCCCCCAAAAAAAAAGCAAAACAATAGTAGAGCACATGACTAGCATGTGTAAGACCCTTAGTTTGATCCCCAACACCACAATGGTCCCTCTAGGTCCAGGTTGCTGAACACCTGGTCCATATAAATAAAATTTTTTTTTCAAAAAAAAACACACAAACATGATTTTTTTAATCATTTAAAAATTTTGTTATAAAATTTAGTTTAGGTAACATGATTACAACAGTATTAAAATTTATGATATTGACATACAAGTTGCTGCACCCTACCACAACATAAAATGCTCAATTCCCTCCACAAATGCCCTTATGTTACCTCCAGTCCATCTCTTCAATTTCCTCCATGCAAAATTTGCTTAGTAATCAAAGTCCAAGGGTTTTCCATTGTTATTGTTCAATATTATTTCCTTGCAAAACAGTATTTTTACAAGAGCATCATATTTCAGAATGAAGACTTTATCTTTTACATCAAAGGGTCCAATATCAAATATTATACCTTGAGAAAATATAACAATTGAAATAGAGAAAATGTCACCACTGATAATTATGCCATGATTAAAAGGTAAAGGTAAAGGCCCTCCCGTTGATCGTCGATTTGCTCGAGCGGGCCCAGTAACGTCTCCATTGGAGACTTTGTTGTTACTGTGTCTGGCATATCCAATACTCTCGGTAGCTTGCCGGGCTCTCCGAGAGGGGCGGAGGAATCGAACTCGGGTCGGCCATGTTGGCCGCTTGTAAGGCGAACGCCCTACCCGCTGTGCTATCGCTCCAGCCCATGCCTGGGATGCCATGATTAAAGTAAAAAAATGAACAACCCTGTTATTTAAATAAAGCACTAAAATTCCTGGGCCAGAGAGATAGCTCAGTGGTAAGTGCCTGCTTTGCAGGAGGCTGGTCTCTAGTATTGTGTATGGTCCTCCAAGCACCACCAGCCATGATCCCCAAGCACAGTTCAGTGTGGTCCAAAAAACCAAAAATGTTAAGGTCCTTCATTGTTTATATCGACTTTGTGTCCACAGAAGGGAAAATTATAGTTACAACTAAAAAAGGTATAAAATTGGGAGGAAATACAGAGTGATATGTCAGAAAAAAGGTTTAAATAGGGGCTACTCCTGGCTATGCTTGGCCCAGCAGAACAGAACTAATGGCCTGATACTCACTGGGGAGTTATGTAGTCAGAGAATCAAACTTGGCCTTGCAAGTACTAGGCTCTACCACTTGAACCCTATACATGACATCAGGGAAAAAAGCTTGTTCTTGTTATCTCTAGTACCTTCTCTGAATATCAAAGCAAATTGTACAAATGAATATGAGCCATAAGATGCAGAGAGTCTTTGCTGGATTGGTTTACATTCTGGTTCAATAATAGATGCACCGTGTGCGATGAAATGGAATTGCTTTCATGTCTTCCCTATGATCACGAGCATAATCCCATAAGTAATAATCCAAGAGAATGGAATTGATTTCTCTGCTAGCTTTTTCGCCTGTTTTGTCAAGAAGTTCGAGAAGACAATCACGGATCAGCTCAACACACCAAACTGAGCACCCTCTGATTTCCACCTCTTGCCTGCTTCCATTGGCGAGCTCTTCCCCTGTAAGAAGCATTGAATCAAAGATTAAAAACCTACTCAAAATTTTACTGTAGATCATTAACCATCAGGGAGATTCAGATCAAAACAACAATGAGATATCATCTCACACCACAGAGACTGGCCCACCTCCAAAACAAAAGCAACCAGTGTTGGCACGGATGTGGCAAGAAAGGGACCCTCCTCCGCTGCTGGTGGGAATGCTGACTGGTTCAGCCCTTTTGGAAAAGTTTGGACGATTCTCAAAAAATTAGAAATCGAGCTCCCATTTGACCCAGCAATACCAATCCTGGGAATATATCCCAGAGAGGCAAAAAAGTATAGTCGAAGTGACATCTGCACTTGTTTGTTCATTGCAGCACAGTTTACAATAGCCAGAATCTGGAAAAACTAGAGTGCCCGAGAACAGATGACTGGTTAAAGAAACTTTGGTACATCTACACAATGGAGTACTATGTAGCTGTTAGAAAAAATTAAATCATGAAATTTACATACAAGTGGTACTACATGGAAAGTATCATGCTAAGTGAAATGAGTCAGAAAGAGAGGAACAGACATAGGAAGATTGCATTCATCTGGGGAACATAAAGTAACAAAATAGAAAACTAACTCCCAAGAATAGCTGAGATAAGTACCAGGAGGTTTGCTCCATGGCTTGGAGGCCAGCCGCACATGCTAGGGGAAAAGGCAGCTCAGATAGAGAAGGGAGCACCAAATAAAGGGTGTTGGGAGGATCCTCCCAGGATGGGAGATGCATGCTGAAAGTAGATTATAGACCGAACATGACTGCCACTCAATTCCACTTTTGCAAACCACAGCACCCAAAAGGAGAGAGAGAACAAAAGGGAATGCCCTGCCACAGAGGCAGGGTGGGTTGGGGGGTGAGGGGGGTGGGAGGGATACTGGGATCAGTGGTGGTGGAAAATGGGCACTGGTGGAGGGATGGGTACTAGAACATTGTATAATTGAGACCCAAGCACAAAAGTTTGTAAGTCTACAATTGTACCTCATGGTGTTTCACTAATAAAAGTTAAAAAAATTATTGTGGAACAAACATTAAATATGAAGGTGGGACTAGGGGAGGGGGAGGCAGGGGAGGTCCCAAGTTATGCACAGGAGGCCTGGAGGCTCCACAGACAATTCTCAGCCAACTGAGCTAGCCGTTCCATGCAAGGGCCCAAGGACAAAACAAATACTATTTTTAAAGTATCATAGGTGGCCAGATAAATAATACAGCACTTAAGGTGTTTGCCTTACATGCAACCATCCCAGTTCCATCCCTAGCATGACAACATATGGCCTCCTGAGTATCATCAGGACCACTGAGAACATTCATCTAAAATCTGAAAACCTCAGACTTTATTTTTGATAGTTCTATCATGTATATCTGCAGTTTCATACCTCTTCAACCACACTCACCACCACAGTTCATATGTAAAATAACAAAATATAGAAAACATAAAATATCGAAAATCTGGGTAGGGTAAACTAGACATGAGAGTGGAAGCAGAAATTACATATATATATAGATATAGATATATAGATATATAGATATATATGCCCAAATGTAATCAGCTGTACAGAGCTGTATGTAAAGAGAGGCCTTTACTATAAAGAGACACCCTTTCTTCTTTTGGTTTGGGGGGCCACACCGAGAGGAGTGTACAGAGGACCATGAAATATCAAGGATCAAGACCAGAGCTCAAACATGCTAAGCATACATTCCAGCTCTCGACCTCCTTCCTTACCCCATGATTCTCCCTTCTAAAGATATCTAGACAGCTTGGATGGACATACAGTGCTTGCACTGCAAGCAGCTGAGCCAGGGCCCATCCCCAGCACCCCAGATGGTTCCCCGAATTCTAAGAGAAGTGATCCCTGAGTGCAACAGTCAGAAATAAGCTGAGTACCACTGGGTTGTGGCCCCCAAACAAAAACAATTTGTGTCACAAAGAACAAATGAGGTGGCAAACCTTTAAGAAGCTTCTCCATCAGTTCATCAGAGTATTTCAGGGCACCCAGGTGAGCAAGAACCTGAGGCAACCTATAGTCTGCGAACATGGTGATAGTAGAGATATCCTCAAAGCTTCCATCTCCTTTCCCCTCGAACACACTCCACGTATCTGCTACAAGGATCTGGGCCCGTTTGTAAAAAGAAATTCTTTCCCCCTGATTAACAAAGAGAACATAAAAGTTACCTGGGTAGCTGAAAATTTGTGCAAGCTATCTGAAAAAAAAAAATACTTTATGCTGAAAAGTTTTTTTAACTGACTTTTTGAGATTAGTTCACACAGCTGTGTTAGTTTTAGGGGTTTTCCTATCATAACACCACAGCATTCACTGTCCCATCCTCCCCCAGCTGCTGACCATGGCCCTGCAGTCTCAGCCACAGGGATGTTTCCACTGGCGTGGCCCACTGCCATGCATGGTTTCTCTGACCCTGACACGAGTGAGATCATCCACTGGGCAGTATTCCCTTTAGGATCATTCCCTCTAATTAAATCTATGCTGCTGCAAAGGCAAGATTCCACTTTATTGTTCCAGCTGAATAGTTTTCTCTGGTGCTTATTCGCCACAATTCCTTTACCCACTCATCCTTTAGAATTTGGGCTATAGTGCTGCAATGAATAGAGATTTATCTGTCTTTTCAAATTAGTATTTGTGTTCTTTGGACAGATATTGATGGGTGGAATTACTATAGGTAGATTCACTTTTACCATTCAAAGAGAATTCTCTAGGCCAGGGAGATGACTAAAAAAGCTGAAGTGGGTTTTGGGGTTCCTGGGTCATACCCGGCAGTGCTCAGGAACAAGCATGGACTTTGCATGCCCAGGAGTCATTCCCAGTGGCACTCAAGGACCCCAGGAGTAACACTCCCCCAACTAGCATTGCCAAACTTGGCCCCAAAGCCAAAGTAGCACTGCACTTCTCTGTAGCACTGTCCTCCCATTGTTCATCGATTTGCTTGAGCGGGCCCAGTAACGTCTCCGTTGTGAGACTTGATGTTACAGTTTTTGGCATATCGAATAAGTAATGGGTAACTTGCCAGGATTTGCTGTGCAGGTGAGATACTCTCGTTAGCTTGCTGGGCTCTCGGAGAGGGGCAGAGGAATCAAACCCAAGTTGGCACGGCAAAGGCCCTACCTGCTGTGCTATAGCTCCAGCCCAAGCCAAAATAAATAAATAAATAAATAAAATTAATCTTACCCTGTTAAGAATTTATAAGTATTTCCCACCATCCCCATCCCATATTCTCCAAGTCTAGGAGTTAGTTTTGCTTCACTCATTCGTATCCCACATATGAGCAAAATCATCTCATGTTATTCATTTCTTTATTTCACTTAACTCAGTTTTGAAGCCGGAGCGATAGTACAGCGGATAGGACACTAGCTATTCATGCAGCCAACCAGAGTTTGATCCCAGTCATTCCATATGGTTCCCCAAGCCCCACCGAGAGTGATCCCTGAGCACAGAGCCAGGAGTAAACCTTGAGCACTCCTGGGCACGACCCAAAATAAAACAAAGACAAAGTTCTTTTGGGGGTTGAAGCGATAGCACAGCAGGTAGAGCGTTTGCCTTGGATGCAGCCGACCCGGATTTGATTCCCAGTATCCCATATGGTCCCTCAAACACCGCCAGGAGTAATTCCTGAGTGCAGAGCCAGGAGTAGCCCCTGTGCATTGCCAGATGTGACCCAAAAAGCAAAAAAAAAAAAAGAAAATTATTTTTGGTACCAGGGATTAGAACCCAGAAACTCATGCATGTTACACAATTATTCTATTCCTATGCTACAATCCAGAGTACATATACTCATTTTCAGCAGTGAAGTCTGTATATTAAAGTCATGCTGGGGGAACAAATCTTCATTCAGAAATAGTCCTATATTGGGGTCAAAGAGCTAACTCCCTTTGTTACCCAATCTATCCAATTAAGACAGCCTGTACAAGAGAAGTACAGGAGATGAGTCACTGCACTGCATATGACATATGACTAACCCTTGTTCAACTCTACCACTGCACATGGTCTCCCAACACCCCCTGGAGTGGCTCCTGAGCAGAGCCAGGAATAATTTCTGAGCACTGTCAGGTGTAGATCCAAAACAACCCCAACACTATTATTAATTTTGGGTTGGAGAGAAGTACAGCACGTAGGGTGCTTGTCTTGCATATGGTTGATCCAGGTTCTATCTGCAGCACCTCATAGGGTTCCCCCAATCCCGTCCAGGAGCAATCCCTAAGCTCTGAGCCAGGAGTAAGACCTGAGCACTGCTGGGTGTGGCCCCAAAACACAACAAAAAAGAACTCTTCTGGGGCCAGAGAGACAGTAGGGTTAAGGTACTGCAAATGAGTGACACTTGAGCACAGAGCAGGAGGTATCCCCTGAGTACTGCTAGGTCACTAATCCCTTAACTTCCCGTTAATCGTCGATTTGCTCGAGCAGGCACCAGCAACGTCTCCATTTGTCCCTGCTGCGTGCTAGTGTAGCCCAATGGCGTCTGTTCGCTCTAGGAACATGAAGAGCCTCAAACTGATCGTTCATGATCTTGATGAAGAAGTCTGACCATCTGGTAGGTGGGCGGCCACACGGTCTTTTGACATCCTGTGGAATCCAGTCAGTAAAAGCTCTAGTCCAGCGGTCGTCATTAAATCTCATTACATGACCAGCCCATCTGATTTTTGACATCTTGGCAAACGAGACAGCGTCCCTGATTCTTGATCATTGATGGATGTTGGAACTCCGGATTCTTTCTCTCATTTAAGTGAAATGTGATATTCCAAGCATACCTCTTTCAATTCCTCTTTGGGAGACCTGAATAGCGTTCTCATCCTGTTTGTGTAGGGCCCAGGTCTCTGAGGCATATGTTAATGCAGGAAGGACAGTGGAATCAATGAGATGTGCCCGGAGCCGGAGGTTCTTCGTCCTCTTAGCTATTTCTTCGACCTCTTAGCTATTTCTTCGAAGCTCCTGAAGGCGTTCAAAGTTGCTCTCTTCCTCCTGTGCAGTTCAGGTGTCAGGTCATTTGTCATGTTGACTTCTCAACCTAGGTACACATAGCTGTTGCATTCGGAGATGGTGCTAGGTACAGCCTGAAAACTCAGAGGAAGAAAGCAAAGCTTTTTGATCTTACTACCTGATCAAACTATTTGAAAAAATAACTGAATTTTTTATTTGAAAAAATAACTGAATTTTCTTTGGGGAAAAACAACTGAATTATTTTTGGGGGGAGGGCACAGGTGGCAGTGCTCAAGAGGCAACTCCGTGTTCTGTGCTTAGGGGCCATGCACGTCAGGGATTGAACCCGGTCTTCTGCTTGCACTCCACCCTGTAGAGTTTTTGCTCTGGCTCTATAGTTGAATTTTAAACTTTCCGAACTGACTCTGGGCTAGAGCGATAGCACAGTGGTAGGGCATTTGCGTTGCGTGCAGCTGGCCCGGCCCAGCCAGGTTCGATTCCTCCACCCCTCTCGGAGAGCCCGGCAAGCTACTGAGAGTATCTCGCCCACACGGCAGAGCCTGGCAAGCTACCCGTGACGTATTCGATATGCCAAACACAGTAACAACAATTCTCATGATGGAGACGTTACTGGGCCCACTCGAGCAAATCGACGAACAACGGGAGGGCCGTCACCGAACTGACTCTGGGTTACAGATGAGAAATCACTGACAAATATGACAGAATTAAAATTTTCTGATTTTATTGCAGATAGTATCTAAACTGAATGATAAGCTCAGCAAACATCATTTAAGCAATAAGACAGTACAGTGATTAGGACACATGCATTGCATGCAGCCAATTCTGCTTTTATCCTCGGTAATAAATACTGTCCCTGAGCACCAGCAGGAGAGAGATTCCTGAGCCAAGTCAGGAGTAGAGCTTGACCACCACTGGATATAGTCCCCAAGCAAAACAATAAAATAGAAAATGGTGGCTGCTTCAGACAATTAGCTAAACATTTTAAAACATAGCAATATAGATCATGATCATGTTATGAAAGGTGATTCTTTGCTATCATCTTTTGAGGGGAACAGTACTCTTTATGTATTAGAAGTCTGAATGGTGCTGTAGAGTACAGCAGGTAGGATGCTTATCTTGCAAGAAGCCAACCTGGGTTGGGCCTCCCCACCCCCCATTCCCCATAAGGCCCTCCAATTCCCTCCAGGAGTGAATCCTGAGCACAGAGCCAGGAGTAAGCCCTGACCACAATAGGGTGTGGCCCCCAAAACAACAAGTAAATAAAATCAAAGAAATCTAAAACTTCGGGCGTGCTCCAACTCAGCAACACAATTGTAAAAAATCATTTCTAAGACATAATTACAGGTACTGAGGGGCTGGAAAGATAGTACCATAGGTAGAGTGGCTGACCTGGATTCAGTCCCCAGCATCCCACATAACTCCCCAAACAACACTAGGAGTAATTTCTGAGTGCAGAGCCAGGAATAATTCCTGAACATTGCTGGGTGTGGCCCAAATAGTTACAGGTATTGAATTGTTGTACAGTATTACAAATAATTTTATTTTTAAAAAAATCCTAAAAATCTGGGGCCAGAGAAACAGTACAGCAGATAGGAAAATTGTCTTGCATGCAACCAACCCGGGTTCAATCACTGGCATTCCACATAATCCTCCGAGTCTGCCAGGAGAGATCCATGAATGCAGAGGCAAGAGTAAACCCTAAGCACCACCGTGTGTGCCCAATCAGGCCCCCTCCACCAAAAAAAAAAAAAGTAAAAATCAATTAAAAATAAAAAGTATCAGACACAATAAATATGGTAAATTAGTTTGGGTAAATAATTATGGGAAGGTCTATCCACACAGTAGGACATGAGAAATTGTTAGAGATGGTACTAAGAGGCGGCCAGGGGAATAGCTGCGATGTCAAATGCCTGGCGGGTTCAAGATCCTGTGTCTGCTCCTCAGAACTGCTGTGTGAGGGCCTGTGGCCCTTGAGCAACCAGAGGCCTGACCACAGGTGGGGATGGCTCCATAAATAAGGCACTATGAAAAAAAGCATGCTATGAGAGAGTTGGGGGGTTTGGAGGTGAGATGCAGCCATACTTAGCAATGTTCAAGAGTTTATTCCTTATTTTACTTTTTGTTTTTGTGCCATACCCAGCAGTGCTCAGGGCTTATGCCTTCACTCAGGGATCACTCCTGGTGGGGCTCTAGGG